GTAATACCTTCTGTTATCATGGGCAGATGTAGAACCCTAGACCAATGGGACAATTTCATAAAAATAATAATAAATACCAATTTTACGATACGGTGATAACTATATAAATATTAAATTCAAATAAAGTTTCAAAATTTACGCTATATATGTTTTGCGGAAAGGTAAAGGAAAAGGAAAATTAGAAAAATAAAAGTAGAATATTCATTTATCAAGTAGTATATCTTCCGTTGTTTTTGCTAAAGTTATTATGTGAAGTAAAGTGAGTAAGATGTCTAAGAGCTAAGAAACTTCGAAAAAAATGAAAAGAAAAAGATATATATATGCTTTTAAGATAAGTTTGGGCCTAATCTTAGTTGGTTTAAATATATAAGTAAATATGAATTTACTTATTTTAAATTACAAAAATAAAGAACATGATTCTAACAAGTTTAAATATAATTAAGTTTAAATTTAATAGGTTCATCATTTTTTTTTAGAGTTGAAATAGATTAAAGTATTTTTTATACTCTAAATGTTTTTAGTAAAATATTTATGTTTAAAAAAAAATTAGTAGATTCAAAATTATAAAAAAAATCATTCTTATTTATATATATTTTTTCAACATGAGAGGTTGTATTTGTCCACCCTCGTGTATATTTTCAATCCTATTGAAAATTAATTAAATATTTGGTATTGGTGAACATTTTAAAACAAAATTAACATAAATTTAGAAGCTCACGTATATAAAACAACATTCATCGAATAAATTAATCACACATGAATGGGAGTTTTCCTTTAATTATTTTTAATATTAAAAAAAAAGTGAAGAGTTTTCCAACAATTGAAGGGAAGACATACGTGAATCTGTGTCCTTAATAAATGTTTCATATGTTTAGCATATATTGAATTGTGACAACGAAAACAAGGAACCAAAAATTAAATGTGTAAGACTACATATAGCAACGTGAAACATGTCACCTACTTTTTTGGTGGGCACTTTGGCTACTTTTTTTTTTATATTGTTTTTTTTAATTTAAAAAATATGAGATTTTTTTTGTAAAATTACAAAAATATAGAGTTTAAAAATTGCCAAACAAAAATTCAGAAATAAAAAAGTAAAAAATTGATAAAATTTTAAAAGTTGTCAATGACGATTTTTAAAAATAATATTAAAAAATAAAAAAATAAAAATTGCTAATGACTATTCTTAAAAAATAACTAAATATTTAAAATGTACATAAAAAGTCGCGGGTGACAGTTTTTGGCATTCGTTAACTACGATTTAAAAAAAAATCATATTCTATAATTTTGTAAAAAATTTCATATTTTTTGAATTTTGAAAAAAAAAAATCATATATAGAAAAATGTTCCCACTTGGCTCACTTTTTAATTATTTTTTCAAACTATTTCAAATACTGCATAAAAATATATATTACAAAGCTAGAAACAAGAACCGTGACAAAGATGTTCAGGAGCAGAGGGTGAGATAAAAGAAATCAAGAATTAAAAAATGAAGAATATCACGTAGAGCCATGAGCAAGAGTTATGCGATGACAGTGAGCTAATTTATAAATATATCATACTCTATCATCACTTGCCACACCGTCCCCAAAGTCTTGACTTGTCTGCCAACTTGTCTAATTTCTTTCATTCAATTATCTGATAAATAATGTTAGTTGTTGGCAGATGTAAATCTGAAGTCATACATAGTAAAATTTGTTTTCAAGGTTTCAGACATGCTATTTAGCCAATATACCAAGATTAGAGAAAAAAGACATGAGTTGAAAGTGCATCAATAACAGAGATTTTGATTATAAGAAATTCAGACAAAGAGGAAATATCTCTTGGAGCAGTGAGTCCCAAGTTAGTAACACAACTACCTTGTTTGATGAGCATTCAATGCAGCAATTAAGCAACACGGTCCTTTAAGGAACTTTTAAGTCATCCTTTTTTATATTAGTATCTTCTAACAAAATATGGTTTATGACATGTTCTATAAATTAAATAAATAAAATTGTTAAGAGATAGTATAAAAGTCAAAGTAAATAAAATTAATAAACAATCTAAGTTAGGAGCCTAAATAAAGAACAGTGAAGTGCAAACCACTTTTGTTACACCATCTATAAAAGGGAATATCCATCTCTTGAAATATCTAATCTTCATCATCTTCTTCTTCTTCTTTACTGTGGGCACTAGGCATGAGCAACCTCTGCCGACAAGTTAGTCTATCCATAAAGCACTTTACTTATATTGCTTACTTCTTTATGCTGAACTGCTAATATTCTAAAACTCATTGAGCAAAAGCTTGGCAACTCCCCTTTGAGGTGTTTGACAGGGCAGAGATAAGGGTGATAAGGGAGAGAGTATTGTATCCCCTTACACCCTTATTAATGGTATACTAAATTAAACAAAATGTTTGTAAAATTTAAAATTTATGTACACGAACTATTATACTATAAGACATTAATTTTGATGTATTGCATAACGATTTTTATATTATTAATTAATTAAAATGTACAATAAATGTGACTTTTAAATTAATTTATATTATATATAAAAATAGTTGTTTAAAAATTTTGTCATGTAAATTCTGATTTTGTCACTAGGAAATAGTTGATGGAATTCTTATTTATATTATTAATATTTTTTTAGATTCTCAAAATTATTATTATTTTATTACTTTTTTTAAAATTTTTCTCTGAATACTTATTAAGTTTTATCTTTTTCCTATCATTTTATTTATTAAATTTGTTATTCTTTTTATTTTTTCTGTCTCAAAATCTATAAACTTCAAAATATGATTTCTGTTAAAATTTATTTAGAATTACCTTTTGTTTTAAAAAATATAATTGATTATTGCATATTTATTTGTTTAATAAACAAATTTTTATTTAAATAACTTATAAAATTAATAATATATTCACCGAAATAAATATTAGTCGTACAAAAAAGTATTAGTAATTCTTTTATTATTTTCACGTATACAATAATATAGTAACGAAGCTTAAAATTTTAGAGAGTATTAATAATAATAATTAAATATAAAAAACTTGTGGATGACATGGATATTTTAATTAATTTACATAGTTTTATGACTAGTAACTCTTACTAATCGCACGTACATTGCAAGAGTTTTTTAAATATAAATAAAACATTTAAAAATTATTTTTTATTAAATGTGACATGATGTGATAAAAATAAGCTATTAAAATTAAGACTTAAATTTAAACTACAAGATAGATCACACTATTGCACATACTCACACGATGAAAAAATAATAAAAAATAAAAATATTTAACATACTTAAAAATTTAAATATGCTTAATATTTCAAACAATTAACGAAATTATTAAAAGAATGAAAATGATCTAAACGAAGAAAATTCCTATATCATATCGATATTTTAGTTTTAAATTTTTTAATCCTTTATCAACATTCAATTTTATAATCATCTTAATTGGGAAAAATGAGATATTTTTCTACAGGTTTAACTTTTTTTTGTTTTTGTATACAGTTTTTACTCTAAAGAATCAAAGTTTTGTGTTATGTATTTTTAGTCAAACCAGCGATTAGTTTAAAGAATACTTATTTATTATCCTCTTTAAGTAAGATCTCAATTTTAAATTTTACGTTTGAAAAAAAATTGTTAAGAAAAATAAATTTAACCTACTAATTTTTTTTTTAAAATAAAATTATAATTTATTGAGAATATTTACAATTTAAACAAAAATGTATGTGTTTTTATAATTTTATATATTTTATTTGAAATAATCAACAGAAGACGTAAACAGATTTAGATTTAAATAAATATAGGAATTTTTAAAATTAATAATTAAATGAATGGGGCAAAGAAAGAAAGCTTTATTAAAGAAAGGGAAAATAAAAGTTTGTAAAATGAAATTGAAAGTCAGATTACTCGGTTATGAGTAGATGCCTCGTCAGATAGAAGATAGCGTCCCCAAATCCCGAGTTCGACTGTAAACAACTACAAGATATCTTTCACACGTAATGCTGACTCACGCTTATCTATTTCTTTTTAAATTATTATTATTTCATATACCCCCCTCAATCACCTACATATTTTGTTTTCGACCCCTGCGCCTCAACTTCAATTTTGTAGCATATAAATATTAGCAATATGTTCTTCTAATTAACTATGTTATACCATAATAAATGAAATTAAGCAAAAAATTATATGAATTTATGCAATAATAAAAAATATATTAAATTTATGCTGTTAACATCATTTATTATTAAAATTATTTAAATATTTTATTAATTTTGATCTTTAGAGTTGAATTTAAGTATTTATAAATAATTTTTTATAAAAAATTTAAAATTATTGTATTAAAATTATAAAAATATAATAAATATTTATTTTTTTAATAAAATTTTACAATTATTAACTATTTATCTTCAATTCTAAAAACAGAGATTAATACAATTTATTATTTAAAGTTCAACTAGAAAAAAATAAACAACAAATATAGAATCATAGTTATAAATTAATATTTTAATATATTTGTAGTTATTTTTGCATAAATGAAAAAATGCGTTTGTACATGCATATATTTTATTCTTAATTATTAAATTGTAATTCATTGTCAACCAGCTTCAGGCAATTGGCAATAAGAACTTTTACCATTTTAGATTATTGTTTCACCTTTTGGTAGAAGTAGTCTTACCCTTTAAATTTTGTCGTAACTAATGCGTAAAAAACACGACAGATAAAAACAAATGAAAAATCGAACTAAACGGTGGCGGTTGATATAATAAGGCCAAGTTGTCGTAAAGTAAAATCCTAATTGGCAAAATCGAAGTAACGATTGTTTACTATGTTTGGAAAGTTCCTCGGATAGCATAGTTTTTATATTTTGAGACCACAATAAGTTTTTTTCTGTTGAGGACTCCAAGCTTCCAAATTCTCCGGGAAGGACTTTTGTTGGGATTATATAAACCCAAATTTAGAGTTGGCTGCCACATCCATTTCAAAGTGATTTCTTTTGCTTTCTCTTTTGTTCTGCTCCTCCATTGGTTCTTTGCTCTTCTGTTGTTATTGTTTCAGTGCAAGAGAAAATGACCATTGTCATTGAGCAACCTGACCTATGTATGATTGGTTTTTCCTTTTGTTTTAATTATATATTGCTTTTAGTCTAGCACAAAAGTCTCATCATAATTAAGGTCACATTACATGCTTTTCAGGCTCTCAATTTGATGGGAAAAATGTGCATGCTGAAGAAACCAATGAGCTTCTGTTGGATGGTGGATTTCCGCTACCAAAGCAGATGTCAGAGGACGGATTTAAGGCCCCGGAAATTAATTCATTTGGTCAATCCTTCAGGTAGCAATTTCATTTCATATTCTATGCTCTTCAGTTTTTTTAATAGCTTATTGACATTGAAGTGTTCTTTTTTTTTTTTTCTAATGAAACTGACATGGGCCAAATATTTGGCAGAAATTATGATGCTGAAAGCGAAAGGCAAAAAGGTGTAGAGGAAACTTATAGGCGGCAACACATCAACCAGACATATGATTTTGTAAGAAAAGTATATTTTCATCAAATATGTGTGTCTATTGTCTATTTGTGTGGCAATTTCATAGGAAAATAATATAATGCTGACCAAAATTCAATTTGCTATATGCTAATGCAGGTTAAGAGAATGAGGGAGGAATACATGAAATTGGACAAAGCAGAAATGGGCATGTGGGAATGTTGTGAGCTGCTGAATGAAGTGGTGGATGAAAGCGATCCTGATTTGGACGAACCTCAGATTCAGCATTTGTTGCAATCAGCTGAGGCCATTAGAAAAGACTATCCTAATGAAGATTGGCTGCATTTGACTGCTCTCATCCATGGTACATGGAAATATTCTTTTTGAATATATTTAATTTTTAGAATATTCTTTCTGTATATGCTAAATTGCTTGACCAAAATGCCAATTTAAAACTTAAAAGCATAATCATTCTTATCCTCATTTGACCTGGTATGGTTACCCCTGCCCACTCGGATTTTTGGGTCCCATCATATATCATATATGAAAATGTTGTGCCAGTTGTATATTAAAAGAGTCAGCGATATTTTCAACCAATAATAACCTATGATTATTGGGTTTGTTTCAGATCTTGGAAAGATTCTTCTCCTCCCCAGCTTTGGTGCTCTTCCTCAATGGGCTGTTGTAGGTGAGAATTGTTCCTTAAACCTTATGTCTATAAGATTGTTTTTCCAACTTTCAATTTATTCTTTTATTTAAATTTGAATCCAACATTTTAACTGAATGGTTTATGGGAAATTTTCAGGAGATACATTTCCTGTAGGTTGTGCTTTTGATGAATCAAATATTCATCATAAGGTAATTAATTTCTTCTAAGAAACTTAATGACACTATTTTTTAATCCTATAGTATCAACTGACCTAAATTTCATCCCTGCTGCAGTATTTCAAGGACAACCCAGATTACAAAAATCCTGCTTATAACACTAAAAATGGTATCTACACTGAAGAATGTGGACTAGACAATGTAGTGATGTCATGGGGACATGATGATTACATGTGTATGGTGAGTCTACATATAATAGTTCATCACACGTTTGAATTTTTTTTTATATATTATTATATAGCCTTTATTTAAGATCTAAAACATGGTCCACTCAAAACTGCAGGTTGCTAAGGAAAATGGCACCACTTTGCCATCAGCGGGATTATTCATTATCAGATATCACTCTTTCTATCGTAAGCATTTTCATTTTAAGTTATCCAATTTTCCTTATATATGAACTTGTTCTATAAGTAGGCATTATGTGACCAGGCATTATAATGACTGCAACATTTATTTTACAGCTTTACACAAGGAAGGTGCATATACTCACTTGATGAATGAAGAGGATATTGAGAATTTGAAGTGGCTCAGAATTTTTAAGTATGCTTTTATTTTAACTTCTGTAGATTTTTTTTTTTATTTGTATACATCTTTTATAGATGCTTACATTACCTATTATACAATTTGTGCAGCAAATATGATCTATACAGCAAGAGCAAAGTTCTAGTTGATGTCGAAGAAGTTAAGCCATACTATCTTTCACTCATTGAGAAGGTGAGAGTCAAATTTGGACGATTTTGTGTATTTTTGTTCATTTTATTATATTTTTCATTGTTTTTCTATGTGGGTTTCTTACTTTCTTTTTGGCCGTTTGCAGTATTTCCCAGCAAAGCTTAGATGGTGAATCATATGAGTAATGTAAGGGATTGGGATCGAGGTCAAGAGCTCGGGGAGATTGGTTTCTATTTATTCAGAATTATTTGAAATCAGAGCATTTTCCTTCTTTTTTTTATACACGAATTCAGATTACAATTCATTATATCATAACGCATTGATGTACTCATTTGAATTCCACAAATAATTAATTTTATATCCATTAAATAAATAAATAAATAAATGATTTCATGTGATTCGCCATTCTTCCCATGTCCAAGTGAGCCTCTTATTTGCATCACATTCTTCATCGTTGAACAATAAATAAATACAAAGGTAATGAATACATTCACTGATCAAACAAATACAAACATCCAGTAATGGGTAGTTCTGCAACTTATCTTGGAATCCTAATGGTTATAATAATACATGAAACTTTAATTTAATTTGCATTTAAATTACTTATTGACTCTTGTTTTTATTTTTTATTTTTAATTCTACATTGTATTAAAGGTTGAGTGTTTTGTTGTCGTTTGTGCTTAAAACTACTGATTCGGCAATCATTAATTCTACACTGTATCAATTGATCAAATAAATAAGAAATGAAATAATCATTTAATTTTTGTAACCACACAACTTAAAGAAAATTTCCTCGCTAAAATATTTTAATGATGCACATTTAATTACCATACAAGCGTAGGAAACAATATTTTTAAATACAGCGATATTATTAGGATACTTCCATAAAAATATTAACGTGTGATTATTTTTCGTAATTGAAAATGATGGGACTTATTGATAATTCTAAAAGAGTATTTTATTAAAGAGTTTGATTATTACCCAACAAATTCATTTTTTAAGGGATGAAATTAATTAAAAATATATATTCTAAATTATTATAAAGGGATTATTTGTTTCCTAGCTGTTTAAATATTGTTATTAATAATCGCATTGTTACAAGTAAAGTAGTGTGAGGGCATTTTTTGGAATTATTTTTTGTTAATATTATTTATTAAACAAAAATTATTTTAATGAAATATAAAAATATTGAATTAAAATTATTTTAATGTTATCTTTTTGGAATGTGCAAGAATAATTTTAAACAAAAATAAAATAAAATGGTATTATATTAATTTATATATTTTTATATTTAATAACTATATATATAAATTAAAATTAAAATTAGTTTATTAAAATTATGGTATTTTTATTGAAATTTTTTTAAAATTAAAAATAACTAAAAATGTAAAAAAAAAGGATTAAATTTTAAAAAATGAGAATACAAAATGTTAAGAAACATGTAGATGAATTCAATAAAATAATAAAATTAAAACTTCATAAAAATGAAAGACCATATAATAATTTTAATGAAAGACCTTTAATGGAATGACATTCAAATGGTTCATAACTACTTGTTATATAGTTATATATCAGTTTTAAATTAATATTTTTTAAATTTTTGTCATAACTAAACCTAAAAGCAACACCGTATAAGAACAACAGAAAATGCGAATTGATCGGTGCTAGCATATAATATAGCCAAGTTGTGTAGCAAAGTAACAATTTTGTTGGGTAAAAAGAGGTAAAAAAGTCGTTTCCTATGTTTGGAAGATCCTTGGAAGACCACAAGTGATTTTTCCAGCTTAGGACTCCAAAAATCCAAATTCCCCGGCAATGACTTTTCATGGGACATTATTATATACCCTCTCATCAAAGTTGGATGCCACGTCCATTTCTTAGTTATTTCTTTCCCTTTCACTTTTGTTCTGCTTCTCCTTTGTTCTTTGCTCCTCTTGTTACATTATCTCAGTGTAACAGAAAATGATCACAGTCATTGAACAACCTGATCTTGGTGTGATTTGTTTTCTTTTTGTCTTTATTTTAATTTGGTTCCTAGTCTACCACACAAGTCTCATTATAACTAGGGTCACCTTACATGCTTTCAGGCTCACATTTTGAAGGAAAAAACGTGCATGCTGAAGAAACCAATGAGCTTGTGTTGGAAGTTGAATTTCCCCTGCCAAAGCTGATGTCAGAGGATGAATTTAAGGCCCCAGAAATGAATGCATTTGGCCACTCCTTCAGGTTTCAATTCCATTTCATATTTTCTGTTCATTTTTATGAATCCAAGACTGCTCAGGTTTTTAGCCGTTATAGTTTATATGATATATACGTATGCAGGAAATATACTGGTGAGAAGATTTTTTTTTAATGGAAGGGTAAGACAAGTAAATTCAAATCATACAATTGTATATAAATGATCAAGATTAAAAAAGTTTAATTTTTACCATGTATGATAAGATCTAATGATAAATGATTGTTTATCTCACTCTTACATTGAAAAAAATCTGTTTATTTAATGTGTCGCATATGTATATATTAATGAAACCAATGTGGGGCAGTGGAAAATATTTGGCAGAAATTATGCTGAAGAAAGCGAGAGGCAAAAGGGTGTGGAGGAATTTTATAGGCTGCAACACATCAACCAGACGTATGACTTTGTAAGAAAAGTTTATTTTCACCAAATATGTCTACTTACTTGGCGATTTCATAGGAAGGAAATGTAACTTTGACCGAAATCCAATATGCTAAACGCTAATGTAGGTCAAGAGAATGAGGGAGGAATATATGAAATTAGACAAAGGAGAAATGGGTATATGGGAATGTTGTGAGCTACTTAATGAAGTGGTGGATGATAGCGATCCTGATTTGGATGAACCTCAAATTCAACATTTGTTGCAATCAGCTGAGGCCATCAGAAAAGACTATCCTAATGAAGATTGGCTACATTTGACCGCTCTTATCCATGGTACATACGCTTTGAATTTGCTTATTTTTAGGACATTCTTTCAATATATGCTACAGTGGTTGGCCAAAGGGTCAATTTAAAATTTAAAGGCATAATCATCCTTATTGTCATTTGACCCAGTATAGGGTAACCCCTGCCTTCTTGGATTTGGGTCACACTACATATGAAAATATAGCACCAGTTGTACATCAACGTGTAATTTTTGGCTTGTTTTAGATCTTGGAAAGATTCTTCTCCTTCCTAGCTTTGGTGAACTTCCTCAATGGGCAGTTGTTGGTGAGAACTGTTCCTTAATCCTTGTCCAAATAAGATTTCTTTTTCCAACGTACTTTCAATTTGTTTTTGTATTTAACACTTTGATTCCAACATTTTAACTGAATAGTTTATGGGATATTTGCAGGAGATACATTTCCTCTAGGCTGCGCTTTTGATGAATCAAATGTTCACCATAAGGTAATTAATTATTTCTAACGTACCTAGTAATGACACTTTTTTATTCGTAAATTATTAACTAACTAAAATTTCATTCCTGCTGTAGTATTTCAAGGACAACCCAGATTTCAAATGTCTTGCTTATAACACTAAAAATGGGATCTACACTGAAGGATGTGGACTAGACAACGCAGTGATGTCATGGGGACATGATGATTACATGTATTTGGTGAGTCTATATTGAAAAATGTTTGATTTCCTACTAGAAGTGAACATCTTTAGGTATCCTTTCGCAGGGTAGGTATATTTCTGAGACACGTGTACATAGAAAAGATAAAAAATAAGTAGAAGATGGAAACAATAATATAGTGTCACAAATAATATTAGTTTTTAGCACTCTGTTAAATTTAAGGTCTAATACATGGCTGACTCGACTGTGCAGGTTGCTAAGCAAAATGGTACTACTTTGCCATCACCAGGATTGTTCATTATTAGATACCACTCTTTCTATCGTAAGCATTTTTATGATCAGTTATCCTTACATATATATAAACTTGTGCTGTAAGTAGGCCTTCAATGTCCATAAAATATAATGACAGCAACATATAATTTAATCTGCAGCTTTACACAAGGAAGGTGCATATACTCACTTGATGAATGAAGAAGATATTGAGAATTTGAAGTGGCTCAAAATATTCAAGTATGTTTCTATTTTAACTTATGTAGATTGGTTTATTTGTACACGTCTTCTATTGTTGCTTACATAACATTAATATTCGATTTTGTACAGCAAATATGATCTCTACAGCAAGAGCAAAGTTTTAATTGATGTTGAAGAAGTTAAGCCATACTATCTTTCACTCATTGAGAAGGTGAGAGTAAAATTCGGATGATTTCGAAGAATTCGTCAATTTTTCTATTTTTTTTCCTATTGTTTTTCTATGTGAAGTTCTTATTTTTCTTGGGCCATTTGCAGTATTTCCCAGCGAAGCTTAAATGGTGAACCGCATGATCTGAGGAGATGTGGTTGAGTCCAGAAATGAAAAACTAAAGGCCAAATTAGGTTATTTTATTTTATGAGATTTGAAAATGTAATATACCGAACTATGGAATTTTAGAGAAAAAATATAGAAATATAAGAATGCAAGAAAAATCAATTGACAATTTTTTATTTCTGAGAATTCAAAAATCGTTATTGGTCATTTTTATATAAAACTAATTAATTTTTAAAAAAGTCGTTGACTAGTTTTGTATAAAATTAGTTAATTTTATGAAATTCAAAAATAGTTTTAAGTTATAAGGAATAAAAAATTATTAATGATAATTTTGTTTGCATCCTCATATTTTTATAATCCTTCCTAAAATCTCATATTTTGGTATATAATATTTTTAAATCCCACGTAAAAAAATCTGGACAATTACTCTAATTGAAACTTAGGAAAATATATTAAATTAAAATATACAAATTAGAGGATAATTAATTTCCAAAGTTAATAATTTTATAACAAGAAGAGTTACTTATATTTTCCCTTATCCTATAAGTTACATCTAATTAACAAATATGGTTAATTAAAAAGAACAATTTACGCGTTATTTATGCCACTGATATCCAAACTAAAATATATATATAGAAAACATATTTTACAAATTTTGGCATTAAATATTTGTTTAGTTTAAAGAACATTTGCAACACCAATGTAGACAAATTTGTAATGGAGAAATCAAACAATGTAGATAAAGTGAAAGAAATTTGAAAAATAAGATTGTTCAACGCGGAATCTCATTTGCAGTTTGTGATAGAACTTGAAGACAAAATAAGACGTTGAATAATCTACGATTTTGCAGCAAAGGCTTTTGTCGGTTTGTTGCATTGATATAAGGAAAAAAAATAAAAATAAGAAAAGTCGTGCAAGAGAAGAGTGAAGATGGAGTTACGTGTAATGAATCCAGAATCATCAGTGTTTCATGATCGATTCTCATTCTCAACGTTCGAGAAATCAAATAAAAATAATTACTTGTAAACAATTTTTTTATATGCATTGAAAAACATTTAAACTATATATACTAAATTTTTTATTAAAAATTAGAAAAAAATATAAAGTTTAATATTTTAATAATACTGAATATTATGATATTTTAATATAAAATTACTGTTTATTATTATTTTTATTAAAATATTGAAATGCATGTTAATTTTTTTAGAATAGTAAAAATCTTTTATTGTAAACCCTAAACCTAGTAAGAAACGAGGGATATATTTATTGCAACTAGACAGTTTGTCACCTGTGAGTGGTTGGATGAATGAATTTAATTAAAAAGTCGATTACGTGTAGCAATACAATTCATAACATAATTTTTATATATCTATTATTATTAAATGAATTTATTAAATGAAGTAAATTTGAGTTTTTATTTAATAATTTTAACTTAACAACATATATTATTATATTTTCTGGCTATAATTATTTTTTAGCTTAAATATTAATTCAAGAGGATGAGATTTGGAGAAAAAAATTATAGATTTAAATACGGAATTAATTCCCATATATTGAACGGTTGTATTTAGCTTTAATTCTTTTGATTTTTTATATTTTTATAAAAAAATTATTTTAGTTTCTGATGTTGACCTAGTTTAATAAAATATTAGCAGATAATAATATCTAAATAGATTATATTAGTAGAAGGTACTGAAATAAAATGAAAAATTATAAAAAATTATGAAGTAACAAAATTAAAGGGACCACAAATAAAATACTCAAATATTAAAATAATTTTTATATATAAGTTAAAATTATAAAATAAATATTAATACAATGTTAATAAAAATTATATTAAAAATTGTAACAAATATTTTTATAAACATAATAGATCCATCAAAAGTAACGTGGAAAAAAATAACGAAATAAAAGTTTGTTCAATACATGGATCGAATTATGAATACAATAATACATAAAAATTAAGGTATTTTAAGAATAATTTTTGTAAATATTATTTTATTTAATAAATTTATATAAATTTTAATTTTATTAATATAAAAATTGAATTAAAAGTCATATATAAATAAATTAAAATTGTAAAAAGTATATAATTTTAAAACTAATTAACACTTTGTTAGATAATTTTAATTTAGTGTATAGTATATTTTTTAAGATACATTTATACTTAAAAAAATGATATATTATGATTAATATACTAACATTATATAATTTAATGATTAATTTTGTTAACAATATCTTTTATAAAAAATATAATTTTAATAAGAATTAATCTTAAAATAATTTAATTTTCACCTAATAATAATTTACATTAAAAAAACTGTATTATTATTAAATGATGAAATCTATTCAACGTTCCAGTCATATATTTTTTACGCTTAAGTTGAAAAAGAAAACTCTATATTTAATTGGGAAGAAAATAATACAAAAGAAAAATAAAATAAAATTAAAGCTGAAGAGAAAATAAGAGAAATAAAAATTGACTCGTAAAAACCATATTTTGAATTAAAAAAGATTTTAATAGGCAAATACTATTCTCACAGATGTCAAGAACTGACAACGTATGAAAGAAGATGGGAGTCAACACTGAAAAGGGGAATGTGAACGGAAGAAGTGAAGAAAGAATGGAAGTGCACGTGCCTGCACACGTGCGTATCGCTCACCGCACCCAAGCCACCTGTTCACCCTCTCTTTCCTTCGTCTCTTTCTGTGCGACTCACTGTGTTGTTGCTTTTCTGCGCTAACTTAACTACCTCTTCTAATTTTCCTTTATATACCTTTTTTTTTAAGTCATTTTTTCTGATAATTTTTATTTTTCTTCTGCTCTAAGTTTTCCCAATCCTCGTTCCATTTCACCAATTTCCCCAACCCAAAACCCTATTCCCTTCCCAATCTTCACACATACCTCTCTGTATCTGTGATGAGTTTGGCTTCTTTTTAATGGCTCACACTCTTCACAAACCCTATTCATTAATATTCATCCCATACCTAACCACACTTTTCATACTGTTATACTTTACTTTCTCTGTTGCTTCAAACTCACACCATGGATTCTCCATCATCGATTCCAATTTTGATTCGCTCTACGGAGATTACACACCTCCGTCGCCGCCGCCGCCGCCGCCGTTGCCTCACCCGCCGTCCTTTTCCTGCGAAGAGGGACTCAACGGAACTGGCTCTCTGGCCACTTCCTGCGATCTCAATTCGAGCTTGGTTTTCAGCAGCGACGTGTCCATAGAAGGGAACGGAAGCCTGCACATACTTGCTGGTGTCAATTTGAGTTGCCCCTTGTTGGGTTGCGTGATTTATATAAACGTGAGTGGGGAATTCACTTTGCAGAGTGGTGCGGTCTTAACTGCGGGAACGGTGTTGGTGGCGTCTAAGAATGCGAGTTTGTTGGATGGGTCGGTGATAAATGTGACCGGGTTGGCCGGTGCGCCTCCGGCTCAGACGAGTGGGACGCCGTCGGGTACGCAGGGTGCTGGTGGAGGGCACGGTGGAAGAGGTGCCACGTGTGTCTCTGACAATACTAAGCTTCCAGATGATGTTTGGGGTGGGGATGCGTATTCTTGGTCGTCGTTGGATAAGCCGTGGAGTTATGGGAGTAAGGGAGGGACCACAAGTAAAGATGAGAAATATGGTGGGGAAGGAGGTGGTAGAATTAGGTTTGATATTGTTGATTCGATTGAGGTCTCTGGGGATCTTTTGGCTAATGGAGGTGATGGTGGGATCAAGGGTGGAGGGGGTTCTGGTGGCAGCATTTATATTAAAGCTCATAGAATGTAATGTATCTTGTCTTCTTTTGAATCTTAATATTGCATTTGTTAATTAAGTTTTATGGTGATTTGCCCCCCAATTATTGTGCTTCGTAGTAAGTATCAATGTAGAATTAGAGATGAATGCATTAGAGAGAAAGTTAGGGACAGCATGTGTTGTTGAAAAATGGGTGTGTGTGGAGCAGATTTGTTAAATCTCCCAATTAGGGGAGTAGAGCATATGCAGGGTAACCTATGTCTAGGGATTCTTAGAAAAACTTCGGCAATACTGTTAGGAAGGATCTACAGGTCAGTGGTTTGTCTATAAGCATGATTTATGATAGAATATTTTGGTGTTCATTGACCCATGAAGCTGAACCCACTTAATGGAAAAAAGGTGCTGATGTTGTTAATGGTCAGTATCACTGTTAGTTCATGACCTTTTAATATGCTATTGTAAATGCTACTTGCTTTTGCTGAAGTGCATGTAAATAAGATTGGTTCATTCTGTTTCATATTACTTCCGTGCAATTGAGTAGTCTCCAATATGCAGAAACTGGATAAACATTGCGTCCCTTTCATGAACTTCAATTATTCACTATTACACTCACTATTTTCAGATTGCTTGGTCTAATAAATTTGTTAGCAACTAATCATGTCTTTTGTTTGTAGGACTGGAACTGGCACAATCAGTGCCACTGGAGGTGGTGGGTTTGCTGGGGGTGGAGGAGGAAGAGTTTCAATTGAGGTCTTTAGCAGACATGACAATACAAAATTCTTCATTCATGGTGTGATATGATGATTATTGTTTTAAAGATGCAATATTCTTGATCTCCGTTTTACTTTCACTTCACTTTAAAATGTTAAAGAACAAAATTCTTATAATAACGTTAAATTATTTAAGGAAAATAAGTACATACAGGAACCTACATAAAGTTTGTTCTGTTGATTGCAGGAGGAATTAGTCTTGGATGTTCTGGCAATGCTGGTGCTGCAGGGACATATTATGATGCTGTTCCTCGAAGTCTTACCATTTGCAATCATAACTTGTCTACTCAAACTGATACACTCCTGTTGGAGTTTCCTAAAGTGCCTCTTTGGACAAATGTTTATGTCCAGAATCAGGCCAAGGCACTGTTCCCTTTATATTGGAGCCGTGTTCAGGTGATTTAAATACATATTTTCTTGCCCCTTATTTGAAATGGAATAATGTATTAACACTGGGAAAAAGAAAGAAGATTTTTTTTGAGAGAAGATAAAAGTGAGGAGTAATATAAATAAGACAAGAGAAAACACTTTATATGCATATTCAGAAGATCTGGCGAATAATAGTTACTGTTGGAACCTTAAAAGTAAAGTTTTAAGTTACTTGATTTGGATGACTACACATATTGCCCTTTTTGCTTGGCATGTTGTTTTTATAACTTCTCTGTCAGGGAAATATGTTTTGAAATAATGATAGGAATAGACCTCCTATTAGGAGGGTCTATGAGAGGAGGCATAGAGCAGTTATAGGGGATCACAAACTTAAAGACTTTCAGTTCAAAACTAGCTATCTAACTAACAGACAGAAAGTTAGTATATTAGGAGTAGCAGCAGATGGTGAAGTTTCTAGAAGACTAAATATAGGATAGGGATTGTGCCTTGTATCAGTATTTAATTATATGAATTGGGGAGTGAGCTAGAACACTTGAAGCATCCAGCAACCTATTGTAACCATTCTTGCTCTATTCCTAGGTTTGTTCCACATTGGGTCAGATTTGGGAATTAGGGTTCAACTGCAATTAAATCATTCTTTCTTCCAATCTTACTACCAGTTTTCTGTCAAAAAATTACCAGGAATTGATAGACAATAGGCAAAGCAAATTTGATATATTTAGTTACTATTAGAGCTTTTAAAGGAACTTTAGGTTGCTTCATTTGGAGGAATATCTATTGTGGTTTGTAATGTTATCTTTTGTTTCATTACTATTGGATTTGAAGGATGGCCAAAATACCATTTCATTAACTTGCAGGTTGGTGGACTAATTCGTTTGACTTTTGGTGCCGCTCTAAGCTTTGGGCTTGCTCATTATGGTTCATCAGTGTTTGAGTTAATGGCAGAAGAGCTTCTGATGAGTGACTCTGTAATCAAGGCAAGTAGAACTATAAGGCTTTTTTTTTTTTTTATTTTCTTATCAAACTCAATAGCGTCATGGAGCTGGCTTCAGCTAGTGGGGTAGGGCTAATGTTGTTGATTCGGTTACTTTCACACGCTGCTTTCTTCCATTTTTTTACTAGCTTGATGTAAACTAAAAACTGTTGATATTTGGTTTACCTTGTGTTTCTCACCCTTTTCCAAATTTTATGAAAAGCTTTATCCTACAAACTGAAACAATCTAAAAAACCATGCTTTAGTATTTGTACGAGTTGCTTATTTTAAGAGACTAATATTGTCTTCCTTTCATGATCTTTTACCCTTCTTTTTGTTTTTAAAATTAGATATATGGAGCTCTTCGTATGTCTGTCAAGATCCACCTGATGTTGAATTCCAAGATGCTTATAGATGGTAATGGTGATTCAATTGTTGCCACATCCTTACTTGAAGCTAGCAACTTAGTAGTTCTCAAGGTTGTTATCGTATTTTTCTCATTTTACACCTGAACTTTAATTTGTATTCCTTGCTCTGACATGCTTAACCATATGGCGGTGATCAGGATTCATCTATTATTCATTCTAATGCAAATTTGGGAGTTCATGGGCAAGGTTATTTGAACTTGTCTGGACCTGGAAATTTGATTGAAGCACAACATCTGATTTTGTCATTATTTTATGGTATCAGTGTAAGTCAAAGTCACATATTTTTATATTGCTGTTTATAATTATATTATATGCTTTACTGTTTCTCTAGAACCAATTAAATGACTATCAAAGAATGTTCATCTTTCATCTTTCCCTATGTTGATATGATATTTATGTACACTTGATATGTAAGCGAGGATAGTCACGTGGTTCACTTTGATGGAAGTTCTTGTAGGAAGCCTTTGGTAATATTAAAAGTACCATTTATTGTGAAGTTTGGTATTACTATCAAAGAATCTTCATCTTTCCCTACGTTATATGATATTTATGCACACTTGATATGTAAGCAAGGATAGTCATGTGGTTCACTTTGATGGAAGTTCTTGTATGAAACCTTTGGTAACATTAAAAGTACCATTTATTGTGAAATTTGGTATTATGAATTTAGGTTGGCAGCTGAAAAATTAGGAATTTTTAAGCAATGGATTGTGGTTTCATGTGTCAGAAATGGTTTATAAACTTGATGGATTGGAGGTTTATAATGGAAATATATATGTAGTAAAGAAAGATTTGAATTTCTGCCTTTCTCACATGCAAAAATTATTGATAACTTACATATTGTCGTCTCGTTCCTTGTATATTTATGTGACTTGGAATTTTGAAATTCTTAAAATTGCTTTAAACTGTTTACCTGTTTTGTTATTTCTGTATTAACTCATTAACTATCATCTTCCAAATGTAAAGGTTGGGCCTGGATCTGTTCTAAGAGGTCCTTTAGAGGCTGCTGGTGATGATATGTAAGTTCATGTAATGCATAATAAGAAAACTTTGGGGCATCTCTTTATATAGTTTAATATTTCCTTTTCATTATATTATGTAAAATGGTAGGACACCAAAACTCTACTGTGAAGTTGAACATTGCCCTGTGGAAATGCTTCATCCGCCTGAAGATTGTAATGTGAATTCTTCATTGGCTTTCACCCTGCAGGTTTTTCTTTAGCCCAATCAAAGTTAAATGCTTATGTTGGTCAGATCTCTTTTGTATCGTGAATGATAGTTGTCTTGGGCTGCTACTGCAGATATGTCGGGTTGAAGTTGTTATTATTGACGGCTCCATAATTGGCTCTGTTGTGCACTTCCACTGGATTGGAAATGTAGATGTCTCTTATTCTGGAGTAATCAGTGTGTCTGGGCTAGGTATTATCATTTCCTCCAAATACTCTGCTCCCTACAGACTTTCACAAATCACTTGAGGCTTGCAATGTCTTAATTATGGTTTATTAAATTGTTATTGCTATTTGAACCATTTGCAGGCTGTACTGGTGGGTTGGGTAGAGGAAGGTATTTTGAAAATGGTATTGGTGGTGGAGGCGGACATGGAGGATATGGTGGGGATGGATATTACAATGGAAATTTCGTTGAAGGTGGTAGCTCATATGGGGATGCTGATTTGCCATGTGAACTTGGTAGTGGCAGCGGAAATAATAGCCTAGCTGGTGCAACTGCAGGTGGTGGCATCATTGGTAAGATCTTAATTAAAATTTAGTTCTGGCTGAATAAATATTACTCAACACTGATAAGTGCAAAAGGCTATTTTATATAATTATTATCTTTACTTTGACAGTGATGGGTTCATTGGAGCACTCATTGTCAAGTTTGACTTTGGCTGGCTCACTTAGAGCTGATGGAGAAAGCTTTGGAGATGACACTAGAGGGAAGGATGGTGGGATTTCTTCAAGCATCGGTCCTGGTGGTGGCTCTGGTGGAACTGTTCTTTTGTTTGTTCGGACGTTGGCACTTGGTGACTCTTCTATAATATCAACTGCTGGAGGACAAGGAAGTCCTAGTGGTGGTGGGGGTGGAGGTGGTGGAAGGGTTCACTTTCATTGGTCTAATATTCCAGTTGGAGATGAATATGTCCCTTTAGCGAGTGTCAATGGAAGCATTATTACTGGGTTAGTATATAGCAAAATATAACAATGATCTACTGCCTTTAGTTTATGCATCTGTCAATAAAGAATTGTTTGATTGTCCCAGTTCATGGATTGTTTGATTCTGAGTTATAAGCATGTTCATGACTACTGAATCAATGTTGGGATGACATTGATGGGTATGGGTATTAGATATGAGTTGCTTTGGATTGTGGCTTATGGCTTCTTGGATAAAGTCAACAGGTCTCAACAACTGGAGACCAGTATTAACGTTACTCTTTCTAGATAAATTGATGCATACATGAATATGTTACACAGGGGAAACCTGGAAATAAAATAGAGCCCTGAACTCATGCTCTCCTATTTCATCAGGATTTGCAAGTAGCAGATTGATAGTGTAACAAATTACTTGTTTTTTAAAGTTTATTTTTATTTTTTTTTGGTGAGGTGGGTTGGGATTGGAAATCTTTAATTATATAATTGTCTTGTTGTGTGCAATTGCTCCTTAAATTGACTTGCAGCAATTGTTGATTTTGTATCCCAAACAAAGAGTTTAACATGAGTGCATAAAATGTCATCTACCTGGATCATTTTGGTTGAGATTTTTGCTTCTGATTTCAGAGGAGGATTTGGTGGAGGTCAGGGTCTTCCGGGAAAGAATGGATCTATTAGTGGAACTGCTTGTCCCAGAGGACTTTATGGTATCTTTTGTGAGGTAGATGAACAATCATCCTTAACAATTTTCAGTAATTATTAGTGTAGTTAGAATGAGATTGAGAGGATTAGGTGGCTTGACATCATGAACTTCAGTTCTTTGTGATATTTTTCTATCACATTATTTTGCCAATATAATGTTATTTCGTGTTTTTATAATCGAGATGAAATTTTGAAGATCAACTTCTCAGCTTCTTTGACTTCGTTGCAGGAATGCCCTGTTGGTACTTACAAAAATGTCAGCGGGTCTGATAGAGATCTTTGTCATGATTGTCCTCCTTATGAGCTTCCACATCGGGCCATATATACTTTTGTACGAGGTATTTTTAATATCTTAAATTTCCTTCACACTTGAAGGGAAGAATAAAGGCTAAGTTATTTATGTTTGTGCATTTAAGGGCCATTTGAAATAGTTTATGTACAGTTAATGAAAGTAGCTTATGGCTCCTATAAGTTATTTTTAGCTTATGTCAATAAGTTTTTTAGTATAGTTTATTAAAATAAGTTCTTTTCAATAAGTTTCACAATCAAATCTATGTCATAAGGCCTCATGTGCTAATAAGAGCTTATTGAATAAACACTTAATTAAGTTACTTACTCAAATGCACCCCTTGCTTGGAAGTTCTCTTGATAATCTCAGTCTTTCAAACCTTTAGCCAGTGAGGTTATTTTAGTATGATAATATTTATTGTGTAAGTTTTAATTGATTATATTTCCAATTTCTTTTTCAAAAGGTGGTGTGGCAGAGACTCCTTGTCCATACAAGTGCATATCTGATAGATATCACATGCCAAACTGTCATACAACTTTTGAAGAGTTGGTATACACTTTTGGTGGACCATGGCTTTTTGGTCTTCTTCTCTTAGGTCTTCTTATCCTGCTTGCTCTAGTTCTCAGTGTAGCACGAATGAAATATGTAGCTGGGGATGAATTACCTGCTGTTGTGCCTGCTCGAAATGACACTCGACTGAACCACTCTTTCCCTTTTCTGGAATCACTGAATGAGGTCCAAAACCAACTTATTGCCAATGAATTTCATGATTACTCATCACCTTTGGAACTCGACATTTTCAATCAAATTTAACTGTGTATTTCTGTAATCTTTCAGATTATGGAAACCAATAGAAGTGAGGAATCTCAGAGTCATGTGCACAGGTTGTATTTCCAGGGCCCAAATACATTCAGTGAACCGTGGCATCTTCCTCATTGTCCTCCAGAGCAAGTAAAAGATATTGTGTATGCTTCTCTTTCTATGAAAGATATCTAATCCTCATTTAGTGTCGAAGATATTTGGTTAGCACATGCTTTTAGTTCATGTTATGCATTAACATTGACCTTTTAATTTAACTAATAAGCAAATCATTTCATTTTGCAGATATGAAGATGCCTTCAATAGATTTGTGGATGAGATTAATAGTTTAGCTACTTATCACTGGTGGGAAGGGTCTATATACAGTATCCTTTGTGTCATTGCGTATCCCCTTGCCTGGTCATGGCTGCAAAGGTGTCGGAGAAAGAAATTACAGAAACTTCGAGAATTTGTTCGATCAGAGTATGACCATGCATGCTTGCGTTCTTGCCGTTCACGAGCTCTTTACGAAGGGCTGAAGGTACTTCAGCTTTAATTTTATGAATTTGTTCTCTACTTCTCTTTACTCCTATAAGGACTGTTGTGGTGTACTAAATTTATGCCTCAACTCATTCATTAATGTCCTGATTGAACCTAATTTACAATGTTTTATCTAATTAAAATATCTGTAATAAGCTAAACATAGTTTCCTTGATACCTCAGTGACCTAGTGATAGAACTGGATCAGAATATAGTAAAGAAGTGCAGAGTTCATAGACAGAAAACATCATCTCTAGACTTGTATCAATGAAATATCTGAGATGAGGGAATGCAGATATGTGATAGGCTAGCACAACACTCTTTCAGGCATTCAATAGACCAAGGCTTTCCCTCTCAAATCTGACTCTAAAATAAAGACTCATCACTATCATTTTCCTCCTGCTATTTATACAGTTCAAACTAACTTGGGGGTCTGCTTCCTTTCTCTAACCAAGTAATGATTCTAACTATTGTTAATACCTCTTGATAAGAACTTTAGGGGAACTACACCACAAAAGTTAGCTGAAGAGTCCTGGGCTTTATACCCGTTAGAATCTCATGTTTTGCAATTGGATTCTAACATTCTATTACTTTAGGCAATCCTAGCGCCCACGCAAGTTGGTTGTATACTGGCCCTTTAACTAGTTTTGGGTGAACACTCCAATGCCAACACACCTTTGTGCCACTTGTTTGTAGCTGAGAAACATGATGGAAGACACTAATACTAATTGATAAAACCTTGGAAGAACCATACTATAAAAGTTAGTTGTTGTAGTTGAAGGGTCCAAAGTCTTATAAACTCCATACAAAAGTTAGTTGTTGTAGTTGAAGGGTCTAAAGTCTTATAAACTCCACACTAAAATCCCATATTTCCAATATGTGAGTCAAGTTTCGTACCTTGTAAGGATCCAAACAATGTGTTAAGATATCCTACATTAGTTAGAAATTGAGCGAGAATACTCTTTATAAGGGTTAAGGTAATCCTCCTCCTATAAGCTAATTTTTAGGAGTGAGTTAGTTTCAAGTTTCTTAATACAATGCTTTGTGGGAGTGGGTGATCTAACACTTAATTTCTCTTCTAAACCTGTATTCTGGTTAGTTTTAACGTGAAACATTTTGATTCTTCTGTTGTTTTTGCTTTATTCTCACCCTGGCAAATGTAGGGATTATCATTTGCTAGAATCATTCAATGACTAGTCACTCTATCATGATACAGGTAGCTGCGACATCTGATCTGATGCTGGCATATTTGGACTTCTTTCTTGGTGGGGATGAGAAAAGACCTGATCTGCCCCCTCGTCTTCATCAAAGATTTCCCATGTCTATAATTTTTGGGGGAGACGGAAGTTACATGAGTCCTTTCTCTCTTCATAGTGATAATATTCTTACTAGCATCATGAGTCAGGTTTGCTCAACTCAAAATTTATCCTCTTTGTGAAATCCCACATTTATTTTGTTAACTGATTATTATGTTTGCATGCTCTGCAGTCTGTTCCACCAACTATATGGTACCGATTGGTGGCCGGTCTTAATGCTCAGCTACGCTTAGTTCGCCGCGGACATCTAAAAATAACTTTTGGTCCTGTTATCAGCTGGCTTGATGTGTATGCAAACCCTAAGTTGGCTACATATGGTGTACGTGTTGATCTTGCATGGTTTCAGCCCACAGCTTCTGGATATTGCCAATTTGGACTTGTGGTGCATGCTATTGAGAATGAAAGTGTGTCTTCATCAAGGGAAGGTTATGATGATTCAAGAATAGCTGAAAAGCAGTCATGGTAAAGTTAAATTATTATCTGTTTTGTTGATAATTTTATGAATTTAAAATTAACTTACTATGTATTGTTATGTGCAGTTTACTTTTAAGTTTCAGAAACCCAGTGCATCATGCGACTGGCAATGAACACCTGATGATGCCTAGAAGGATGTCTGGTGGGATATTGCATGCCAAGAGCCTAAGAACACTTAAAGAGAAGAAAACTGTATATTATCCCATTGCTTTTATTATTTATAATACAAAGCCCGTTGGTCATCAGGTATTAAAATATCTCACATGTCAACTGCATGTCATCCTTGAACATTTTTCTTACTCTCTTATTATTGCAGGATCTAGTTGGTCTGGTTATCTCCATACTACTCCTGGGAGATTTTATCTTAGTATTGCTTACCTTGCTTCAGATGTATTCCCTGTCACTGCTGAGCTTCTTCTTAGTTTTATTTGTCCTTCCTCTTGGTGTACTATTTCCATTTCCATCTGGAATCAATGCTTTGTTTAGTCAAGGACCTAGGAGATCAGCTGGGCTTGCTCGTCTGTATGCTTTGTGGAATTTGACGTCCCTAGTCAATGTTGTAAGTTGTGCTAAAGCTGTAGTTGCTTTTAACTAGCTTTTAATATGAGTAGTTACCAGTGTCCTATTACTGAATGCGTACTTCTAGTATGGAGTACCTTGTTTTCTTTGTATTTCATTTTTTTTTCAAGGGGTGTGAAATAAGTTCTCAAGTATTTGCTTTAACCTTTAACAGTAAAAAATGCCTCTTGAAACAGGTAGTTGCCTTCTTTTGTGGATTTATACATTATACAGCTCATTCACATAACAAGCTTTCCAACTTTCAATCCTGGAATTTTAGTATGTAAGTAGCTTTTACTATCTACCATAGTAATAATCGTAGCAGATAATGAAAATTGATGCCAAAGATTTATGTGTTGTCACTGTTTGACTACTTTCTCTATACGGATATGTTATGCTGGGCCAATGCAGGGATGAAAGTGAATGGTGGATGCTTCCTTCTGGTCTGGCCCTCTGCAAAATTATTCAAGCGCGTCTTGTTGATTGTCATGTGGCTAACCAGGAAATACAAGATCCCTCATTGTATAGCAGTGACACTAACGTCTTCTGGAATTCTTGAACATTTTAACTAGTCTCTATATTTTGCTTTCTGTATATTCATTGAAGTGTAAAGCTTAAATGGGTGAGAGCAGTCACATTGAGTGGCATTGTGTAAATTGTAGAATTAGGAAAGGTTCTTTAAAATGTGCCGTGTGGAGTGGGTGATTATATAATTTCTGCTTGATGTTCATCAGTCACTATAGTTGTACTCTTGATAATGTAAATTTTTTTAGGCTTCATTCCTTTTGTAAAGGCTGCCGGATCTGTGAATATATCAAGTATACTACTGGTAAAATTTCTTGGTCTCTTTATTATCTCATGACATGATATACAACAAAACTCTCTTCAAACCGTTCAAACCAATCTGAAAAAAATAAAAATTAATTAAACTGAAGACTATAACAATTATACTTTATATTGTAGTTCGATTCAATTTTTTATTTTCATTGTTAAAGCTAAACTGTACTAAACCACACTTATAATGTGTGTGTATATATATATGTTTATTGTAATAATATATGATGAATCATTTCTATTAATTTTCAATTTTTTAACTGAATGTTTTTTCTATAAATAATTTATCATTTTTCATAATTTTATTCTTTTAATTAATATTTTTCTCTATTATTCTATTTTTACAATCTTATTTTGATTTTTAAACTATTACTCAATCTAAATTTAAAATTAGATTAAAAGCCATATAATAATAAATAATTTTTTGAAAAAAATAATTTAATAATAGATAAAAATTGAAAATTTTAATTGCAAAGTATTGATTTGATTTAGTTTTTATATTTAAACTAAACTGAGTTAATTCACATGTTATTTTTAGGTTGATAAGTTTTTGAGTAAAAATTGAATCAAACTAAATTATGATTTTGTAGATTATCACGAAGGAGGTATAATGAACGTGCAATGAATTCTTTTAGAAGTTGGTTTGATAAATTTCACTAGGAAAAAGAAGGGTAGTACAATTGGTCACGGTATATGTTTTCCCATTTCTAGAAATCGCACTTATACAGTGCATCTTGTAATTATTTTTCGCTTTTCAGCAAGTTTACCAGTTGATAAATCATGTTCAGCAGTCGAATGTTGAACATGGGGTGATGGGAGGCTCAATAATTTAATTACTTTCCGACATTTTCCACTGGGGAAACGCGCTTCTTGACCAGAGAATGCATGGTTTTTCAACTTCGGATATTTCATCATTGTCAACATTGGTATGCTTCATTTGTCTAACCATCTTAATAGAGCATGTTATATGTAAACTTGAAGTTGAACCGTACCACACCACCAGGCGAGTCATGAATGAGAATTTGAAACGAGAATTCGTGGGCAGATAAATCAGAATTCTTTCAAATAATTTCAAAACATAATAAAAGAATAATAAAATATTTTCCTCATGTAAGACTGAGCATCCCAGTACTCCACGGCCATTTTATGGACGTGGAAGGGAAAAAAGGCAACCCAATCGTTATACTACTTACAAGGCAAGATATTAAGGTAGAATGATGGCAATAGCATGTACAAAAGTACAGGAAAAAATGCTCCCAACTTTCTTAACCAAACAAGGCCCTTCCTACTGCCCGGTTGCTTCTTCTTCCTTCTTTTCTTCAATGCAACTCTTACCAATCGAAAAGCTGGGCTGATTTGTTGAAGATAAAAGCCTAGCCCACATTCTATCAGTTATGATTACTTTGTTCTGTCCCTCAGTGATTTTCTGCACAACCCAACACCCGAGAGAGTTAAGCATGACAGACTACAAATCCTTGTAGGCCAACTTAAAATTAAAAATTAATTCATCTTATCATAACTAGAAAACTGATTTTAAGTTTAAATTCACAAAGTTTTAATAAGTATATCCTATCTATCCTGCAGAAGCAGAACCAACAAATATCAAACATGATCAACGAACTTACATAAAAGGGTATGTATGTTTGTCTTCCATTGACAAGCCCACTTGTAAAGCCAGTGTAACCTGCCATTGCTCCATGAACAGCACTTTGAGCAAGAAGTGTGCAGTACACGTTGTCAGAAGCATTGCTTGGAACAGCTCGGATCATATATGTTGGATCTGTCAAAGAGAAAAAAGAAAAGGCAATGCTTAATACTTCATCCTTTCAGTATACATACATAAATATAATCGCACATGCACACACGTACAAATAAATAGTTTTTAATCTTTACAAACCTATATATTTGAGATTTATGGTCATTTTCTTCTGTTTGAAATATTCCTGCAAGATTCAAAGGCAAGAGTCAAAATGCTGGACATTAGCTGTAGAAAATATCTTCATACATAATTTCTTCAATTATGAAATAATTATCTATGGAAAATAAAGCACATTTTGTCACACTACAGTTTATGAGCACTTCTAAAATATATCATTCAGTACGGAAACGTGTCCACCACAAGCTACTTATAAAATGATCCTTCCAAGACTGCCACCGATTCTGAGATTCTCATAAAAGAAGTGCAAATGGGAATGGTTTAGAACAACTTTTGGCAAGGTTCCATATAGAAATAATCAATCGGAAACCAACAACAACGGAAAACATTTTCAAATTCATCAAACGGACACTGAACTTTCTTTTTCAAATATGCAAACTAGTGTGTAGGGATTGTAGGTAATGGACCACACAGATTAGCCAGTAATCATAGCCTAGATGGACATGGCTGCAAGGTAGCAGGCAAGTCAAATCTCAATCTAAATTCAAGAAAGAAATCCAGAGGATAATAGGGGACAAAATCACATTGAAATATCGAGCAAAAACAGAATAAATAACAAGCCACACCTTTATCTTTTGGGATATCCATAGCCCGACATCTTGAAGAAGTTTGTTTCCGGAAGCATCCTGCATTTGCATAGATTGGATGCTCTCAGAAACAAGTTCTTGTCCTGCCCCTTCAGCAATCACAATAACCATGTGGCCATTTTCTTTTAGTCTCTTCTCTGCAAACTCAAAAAGCCCACCTGGACCTTCAAGGTAAAAGGGTGACTCTGGAATTAAGCAACAGTCCACATCCCTACTGGCCAGTGTGGCATACATTGCAATAAACCCTGCACCATGCATACAAAATAAGGCATATTTAATGGAAATTTAGGCTTGATAACTACAACAAGAAAATAATTTATTAACGTAACATTTGCATATTGGTTTATTTCTTAACAATTTACAAATGATAATTGTTAAATGACAGAATGATTCTCATTTTACTAAAACCAGAAAGGTTTTGTAAGATGCTAATATAATGATTAAGTGTGTGTTTGAAAACACCATGAAAAAACTGTTAAACTCAGATTAATTGCAGAAACTATAATTAGTAGAGTTGAAGTAAATGTGAATCCATGCTTATTCAAACTTGTAACCAAACACGCTTTAAGCTGATGAGTGGAGGCATTACAGGCATTCAAGAAACTTACCACTGTACCGGCCCATCAGCTTGACAACACCAATGCCATTTTCACCACTTTCAGCTTCAACATGTGCTGCATTTATAGCACGCTGAGCCTCCTCAACAGCTGTGTCAAAGCCAAAGGACTTATCAATAACCTGTGAAGCCAGAGACAACATAGAAAACCATTTTACAAGTTAATGATGCTGAAGATATAAATAAAAGAGTTGCACGACATGGAATATGAAAGGGTAAAAAACGTACCTGGATGTCGTTATCTATGGTTTTGGGAATTCCTATAACTGCAACTTTGATGCCACGCCTTCTAATTTCCTGCATAGATAATCAGGATCTATTGTCAATAAATTGCTAATTTGATGAAATTAAGTTCACACATGTCAAATATCAACATTGAAGTATGTGTCTAGGAAGCTCAGTTATATTCCTAAACCCGAAGTTCTAAATTAATATTCTCATTATCAAAATTATGTATACCTCAAAAATCTTAGCTGCACCCCTCTGAGTTCCATCTCCTCCAATTATATAAACCTGAAATTGATTGAGTTATTAGATTGATGTCCTACATACAAGTGAAATAATATTTATATCTATCTGTTTTAATCAATAGAAAGAAATACAGACCTGATTAATGCCCCGATCTTGAATACTGTCAACTATCTTAGTGGTGTCGTGGCCCCCTCGTGATGAACCAAGAATAGTTCCCCCACGCTTATGTATATCATTCACGTTTTTAGGAGTTAGAGCGATTGTATTGTGAGCATAGAAACCCTTATATCCTCCCTTCAAATCACATTTTTCAAAGTTAATGAAACTAAATAAAAATAAACTGCTTAGCAATACTAGATATTTGCTCTGCTAGATTACAAGGTTGCATTTTAATTTGCAATTTCATTGTTTTATATTCATATTATTTTCCTTGATTAGTGTTTTGCATTGTTTTACATTCATTTTCTTTCCACCCTTGCACCAAACCCAAACTACAAGAGAAAATGAGTTATAGCATGTTTGGAATTGTTTTTGAACATACTTTAAAATCACTTCAATGTAAAACTGAAACTAACAGTGGTGAGGTAGACATAGATATATAATCATAAAAAATGAACCTAAACATGCACTTAATTTGAAAACAACTAAAATTGTAAGTGAACTTCGTGGCATCCCCTTACATTGATTCCCAAAACTTTCTTCACGCCATACATGTGATATAACGCACATACAAGTTCTCTAATCACGGTGTTGAGGCCAGGGCATAGACCGCCACATGTCACAATGGCAGCCTGAACATCATCTGATTCGAAATACACCTGAATATCCAATTTTATACGGTCATAATTCATAAATACAAGTTACCTAAACAGATAAATCCACACACATGGAAACGTAATAACCTTTTGACGAGGTCCAGCACGCCGAAAATGTACCCCTCTTGGACTATCTTTATTAGCAATAATCTGTTAGCAAATTTTAAAAAGAAAAAGGAAATCAATGACATAAATTAACGCATTTGTGTCTAAGTTGTAATCAACATTTCAGCAACTTTTACAATAACCTTTTCATTAGAAACTCTTGGACCAGTGTTTTAACTTGTACCGTACTTCAGGAAATTACGTTTAAAGAGCTTTTGATCAAGTTTGTAATCACAATCATGACCGAGGTGAAACTAGTGATTTATTTGAAAAAAGTGTAAATACCATTTAATTTTTAAAAGAATGATAATTAAGAAGAGAGAGTATTTAATGCTATTTCAAGTTTAAGAGTACACCACCAAAAACCTTCAATTTAAACCTCCCCAAGTGGTTATTTGTTGTTCCTTTTCGTTAATTTTGATCCATCGTAGTCCATACAGACTTAGAAAATTCGTGATGTATGTTGAGGTTTACTCTTAACGACATAAGTTATAAATCTTAGGTTAAATATAAGACATAGTTAATCTCTATAATTAGCGTATTACGAAGTGCTGTATTAGTATTTATCACTTTTATCTCTATTGTAACATGATATTTTCACACCGTTAAGAATTATTTACGTGGATTTATTAAAAAAAATACATTTAATTTATACTTATTCAAAATTACAATATATAATGTTATTTTTATAATAACATTCATTCATGAATGATCATTATAAAAATTATATTTTAGTCCTTATAATTTTTTTATTACACGTAAATTCTTATCATGTAAACCTTTTCTTACCTACTAAAAACCAAAACATAATACAATATTTATAAAAGATTAAAATATATTTTTTTAGTATAAAATTCATAGAGTAGTTTCAATTATAAGCCTCAAATATTAACCTATAACGTATTAGGATGAGAATAATACAAGATTAACCTGACAGGATAAATTCGATTTCTGCAGCATGTGTCATGTTTAATCTCAGTTAATTGTTAATACTTTCAACGCTCTTTGATAAACAATGTATAAAATCGAGGAAAGTTCATCTAATCATACGCAAAATAAAGCAAAATCTAACCTTCAGCGGAACACTATCATCGACGTGCACGAAATATTGCCTGAGAAGTGGCAAGAAAATTTAAATTATGAATAATAAATTGGAAGAAGAAGAGAAAGGAGATACGTATATATATGTATGAAACTTACTTGACAACAGAGTAAGCAGGATTGTCCTGCAAAGGATTAGAATAAGTCTGCGAAACACAAAAAATGATACATCAGTAACGACAACTGAGAAATATAGAGAAGAGTATAGCTATAGCTTGGCGGAGAAGAAGCATGTTTTAACAGGTCGTAAGAGAAAGGAAAACAGAGGAAAACGACGACGTACTGGAAGGTCAGGAATGTAATCGGACATGTGTGGAACATCCTCCAACACATAACCAGCGGTGCCTCTTACGATCTTAGGCTTTGAATTTGGTGAGGAACCCATCGCAACCTTCTAACGTTGAACTGAGATAGAGAAAGAGAGAAAGAGATTGTGATTTGAACGAAGAAGAGAATGCATAAAAGTATCGCATTCAATGGTGTAATGAACGGACAAGAAAAGGGTCTTATTTATAGTAAACAGAGAGTGTTACTAATGATCACAGATAGATAGGAAACAGAGAGTGTTACCGAACCCAATGCGACGCTCGGGCCTTCTTCTCTTTTGAATAAATAGTAAGTTTTCTTTTTGCGGTTGAAAATAGATAATAAATAAAATCAAAACAAGTGGCACTGCTGTTTTTGATTTGACGCTCAACCCTTTGACTTTGACTTTGACACACTGTAGAAGTATAACAAAGTATATATTAGTCCACAATGGCGTTTCTGAGAAGGTGTTTTCACAAATATACAAACTATTTCCAGCATCCAAACGATACGAAACTTTAATGATAATCATATCGACTTTATCTTTTTTAACCTTATTTTTTTATTTCGTTACATTAGATAATATTATTTTATCTTGTATTTTTAGTAACTAACATAATGATAAAGCTATCTTTTTGTTAGAACTTTATGTAATTTTTCAAAATTAACTTTTAATGTATTTTAAATCATAAAAAAAAATACGATATATGTTTCGTAACGATATCAGGATGTTATGTAAACAAGAGTTTAGATGCTCTCCTGCAGCTGGATGGTTGGTCATACGTGTAAATTACTTAATTGTACACTTGTGATGATGATTACTTGTTTTTTCATTTTAAATAATTTAAATATTAATTGATTGATAATATTTTATTGGAGAGAGGCTACATAAAATTTGACTTAGAGAACATCATTCTGAAAAGGGGTGCATTTATACATGTTTCTTGGACCAATTTTAAAATTAAATAGGAAAAGGGATGTTATTTTAACTTGCAAAACAAACAAAAATAAATAAATAAAATACGAGAAGAGAAAGACTGAAATTAATGATATATTATATGAACTATTTGTATAAGATCTAAAATTTTTCATAGAATAATATGAATTTAATTAAAATGTATCTATATATATAACAAATAACAAACAATAAAGATCTTTGAATAATACATTAAAATTAAACAATAATAATATTTAATAAAAGTTTAATGATATTAGCTTTAAATAGTTAATTTATAATTCTAAAACAATAAGAATTTAATGAAATTATAACAATTTAAAATTTTGCTATACATTTAAATATATTAATTTTTGTGTATGTAATTATTTAGTTAGATAGAAAATAATTACATACGCGGGTATATTTAATTGTTTTGTTATAAATATTTACTAATTTTAACTTTATTTTTGTTAGTAATTCTGTTTTTTACTCTTAAATATTTAAATAGCAACCGTACAATTTGAGCTTACCCAGATTTTTAAAATTTTCTTCACCCCAGTGTTTAAACAAAGAAATTTAAGAGAATAATTCAAATTGTTCAGAAATTTTAAAATATTTGTGGAGGCTAGAACCTTCTCATGTTAACATCTATCAAAACTTTTTGTAACTTTTATTTCATTAAAGAAATATAATTTTAAGTTTTTAAACTTTTCAAAAATTATATTTGGCTTAAAGTTCTTTTGAAAAAAAGAGACATAGTCTCTACTGTAAAATAAACTGTACGGATAATATTGAGGCAAGACAAGTGTGAGTAATTAATGCGTTTCATGTATCCAGTATTTATACGAGTGGTGAATATTCACAAATACTTGTAGGCATTTGAGAAATTAAAATATAAAAAAAAAATATTAACGTCATATGATATAATTTATTAATTTTAATTTTTATGAAATTTAAAAATATTATAAATAATATTCAAATTTATTTATATACTTTAAAATAATCAATCTACTTAAGTATTTATTACATGAATAATATATACGTATATGTGAAATGTTTTTTTATTATTGTGTAATCATTCATTAAAAAACATTATGATGTAATAAAAATGAATTTCTATTTCATATCAAAACAATACAAAAATTATCAGATACATATAATATTTAAAATAAATAAAATTTATGAAACACAACAGATATATTTATAATAATTATTGCAAAAGTTAATAACTTTCAATACTATGATAATTTATAATAAATGGTAAAATAAAAAATTATATTAGAAACACACTTAATTATGTTTTTCCAAAGAAATAATTGTCTGCATGACAAATACTCATATTACTTGCCTACAGTTATGAGTATGTTTATCATTCTTTAAGAGCTTCTTTAATATCGATGTCAAAGACTTTTAAGAAAAGCTAATGAAAATAATGTGACATTTATAAACATATTTTAGTAAATTTTAAAATTAAATTTATGTTATAAGTGTTTAAAAGATAAAGATTATTCAAAAAAGTTAATTAATTATTTGTTTATACACATTTATATTAAAGAAAAACTAAAAAGGCATGATTTGACAGGACAAAATCACTGATCACATGAACTTGATGACGACCTCATAAAGTCGAGAAAAAAAACAGTAATCTCATGGTTGAGACTTTGAGAGAGAGTAAAGAAGAAAAAGCCTGCAACTGCAAGGGTACACCACATAACGCCAGAAGCTCAGAAGCAGGTTCACATTCGCGGAAGGAGTTGAACTAATCAAACTTTGGATCACACCGAGACAGTTGATTTATGAACGCATGTAAGAGCAATGAGTAAAATAATCTCTTCAACACGTTTTTAAGAAAAGTTAACATTATATTTTTAAGCATATTTTTTAAATATATTTTTATTAAAAATATAAAAATTTATTAATTTAGATTACAAAATAATGAAATTTATGTAATTTTATCATTTTAAATAATTTTAATTAAAAAATATGTTAAAAAATATATTCCTTGTGCCACCAAAATTTGCCATTCACGAGGACAGTATTACTTGCTTCTATCTTATAAATTGCTCAATAAATTTACCAAAAATTCATTACTTAGTATTGGATTGAATTATCATTTGTGATAATATGAAAAATAGTTCAAAATTATTTACTTTAATTTGAATTCTAAAAAAATTATAAAGAAAATAACTTATGTAATAATATAAATAAATCTTTGAAATTTATAACTAAATGGTATTTTTTTAAAGTTAATATTTCTATTCTATCCTTAACTACTAATTAATTCAACTACAAAATTAACTATTATATATAATTTCATACCCTTTTTATAATTCATGTTGTTTTAAAATCAAAATTTATTTTGTATGATCGATTATTGCACTAATCAATTATTAAAATACTTTATTTTTTTAACTTATTTACTTTTTTTACAATATAAAATTAAACTGTCACTTGTCACAACTCTCCAGTCATTTCACTCTAATTTGATATTGACCTTTATATAATAACTTTACCATTCATATAAAAATAAACTTACTACTTAATTTAAAAGTTAATTCATCTAAAATTAGAAAAATACATATTATACAAATATTGTAATTTCAACGTGGATTTTTAATTCATCAATATTCATGTATTTTATCCTATAAAGTATATATTTAAAAAAAATGTAAAGCTAACGATTTAAATTTACTTATTCATACGATCATAGTCTTACACTTGCACCTTTTATTGTTTTTAAAAAAATCAGTATTTGATTTTTTTTAAGAATATAATTTTTAAAAAGAAACAATAGAAGATATATAAATTAACATAAATATAGTATATTAATGATTTATTTGCTTTTATAATATATAATTTTATTAATTTAAAAATTAAAAAAATTCATTCCCCTGTTCTTAAAACCTCCATCTTAAACAATTTATAAAATAAACATGTAGATCAATTTAAGCTAAATCTTTTATATTTATATCATATGCAATATTAAAAAACGATAAATGCTAAATAGTATTTTAATGGCGTTGATAAATAAATACTATAATATTAAATAATAATAACAATAAACACAAATTATTAATTTTGAATATATTTAATTTATTTATTTTTATAATTACTAATTTATTAGCTATTACTTTTAAAATACGGGTTCTTAAAATGTATGAAAAGAGTCTAAAAATATGATGACGTGATTTGGTTGACAATCTTTTTAAATAACATGTATACTAAATAAGTTTAATATTTAATGAATATAATATAAAATATACTTTTGAAATTTTACTTCTATTTATAAAAGTATTAAGTAAAGCTTTGATAATAAAAAGAAAAAATACAAACATATTATAATAGTTTTTTTTATTTAGACATATTTTAGAAATGCTGAAAAAAAACGAGGAGGAATTATTTCATACGAGTCATATTAATTGAATAGAATTATCTTAAAAGTTAATAGGATTTTAGGGATAACTAATAATAATATAACATTTCAATGGTTTAATTACTTCCTTTTTTAAAAGTTCTCAGTGACATTATATTTTTATACATAAAAATTTGCTACATACTTTAAATTTTATGATCAATGGTAAAATTATTGACGCTATATTTACTTTTTTTTATTCATTTTACCTTTAATTTTTAATCAGAAGAGGGATTAAACTATAATAATATAAATTATATTTATTTTTATACCATAAATAATTTAATATAGAATATTTTTAAAGATAAACCATTGAATTATAATTATATATTATTTTAATTATTTATTAAATTTTTAAAATTAAATAAATATAAAGAATGTTATTAAATGTTTTTTATGTATTAAATAATTTTAATTTTATAAATATAATTTATGTGATTAAAATTTTAATTTAATAATTAACTTTAAAATAAAATTATCTAAAAAAATATTAAATGATATTAAAGCAAATATAATTTATACCGGTGCAATTCAGTCATTTCCAAATTATACGTTATTAATTAATATATTTATTAAATTAAGTATTTTTATCATTTACATTTTTTATTTTAATAATTTAATTTTTAATATTTTTTATTAATATAAATAAACATTATTATCGTTTTTTTATCGCTGTGTTTTGCTTTATTACTGAATGCAATATTTACTTATTTTCACTTAATGGAAATTATTATACTAATACTATAATTAGATACATAGATTAACAAACAAAAGGGTTGGACTTGGGCTGGTGGTAGAGCCCAGAGTCCACTAACAACATCTGAGTATCGTTGTCTTTGCTGAAGCTCAAGCTTGAAGCTTTTGTTGCTGCCAAAAGCCTAACGAACGGAATCAATCAAATAAACAACTATCCTTACTCTTTGATTCCGAGCTTCATTGCCATCATCAGCATGTACAGGAACGTTGCTTCACGCATCAGGACCTTCAGGGTTCGTATCTTCATCTTCCAATGTTTCAATTTCAAATGCTGATTATTATCATGCCCTAGATCTCACCATTTTGATTGCGACAATATCAACACTGATACTTTGAATTATTGTTATGTTACTCTGCCATTGCGATTAGGCCCGTTCGTGCAATAGGGTTCCGAACAGGTTCGCAAGTTCAAGTTCTGTTGCCACGAAACAATCCTCTTCTGGTTTGGGTGGTATACTTGGGTGGCTCACCGGAGAGCGATCTAGTTCTTTACCGCCTCTGGATTTCCCTCTTCCTGGCGTTACACTTCCTCCTCCATTGCCTGATTATGTTGCTCCGGGTAAAACTGTTATTACTACACTCCCCAATGGAGTTAAAGTGGCCTCTGAAACTTCAGCGGTATAAATTGTTAATTATTTATTATCTGATTTTGAATGTATAGAGTGTAAAATTTAAGTATATTGATTATATCCATGTGGTTGTTCAGACTCCTGCAGCTTCAATCGGTTTATATGTGGATTGTGGTTCAATCTATGAGAATCCGTTAACTTTTGGAGCTACACATCTGTTAGAACGAATGGCTTTCAAGAGCACTAGAAACCGGAGCCACTTTCGGGTAGTTCGAGAGGTGGAGGCAATTGGTGGCAATGTGCAGGCCTCGGCTTCTAGAGAGCAGATGGGTTATACTTTTGATGCTTTGAAGACATATGTTCCTGAAATGGTGGAGCTACTCGTTGATTGTGTGAGGAACCCTGTATTTCTTGATTGGGAGGTTAATGAGCAGGTACTTTCCCCATATGGCTGTGAAGACTAGTAGAATGCTTTTACCGATAGTTTTCGATATAGCTTGAAGCAGTGCTGTTGAAACTTGAAAGTGTAAGACAGCATGTGGTGCCCACCCAAATGCTAGGCAATTATGCAACCCACTTCTTTCAAGAAAATAAATTATTTAATTGATAATTGTTGCTCAGATAAGACATGAATTGCAAAGTCTTGAGAAAGTACAGTAAACAGACAGTAATGTTCCATAAAAGAAATAGTAGTTCCAAGAGATATATATTAGAATAATTTGTAATAGGTTAAAATATCTATTTAGTCTCTATATTTGATACTCATTCATGAATTAGTCCCAGTGTGTGAAAAAACTTACGTTTTAGTCCCTGTAGAATGTTTTGTTACATTTTGGTTTTGCTAATATAACACAGTTAGTAAATGTCATCGTTCATTCTTGGTATTTTTTTAAGAGTGTTATAACAATAGGAACTAAATCATAAGTTTTTTAAATATGTGGACTAATTTGTAAATGAGTTTCAATTGTAGAGACCAAATGTGTAAAATTAACCTTTATAGTACTTAATTCAAATGAACATGAATATATGTGGGAGGCACTACTGCTGTGTAGTACACTTATGGTGATTTTTAAAGAAACTACACGTGTACATGTGTGTGATAAATCATAAAACTAATTGGGGAACTGGAAATACAATTATGCAAATAAAATAGTTGTCAATAGAACTCAGTACTGCACTGCTGGGTTTTGTTGAAACTAAAGTAAAGCAGTGTGTTTTCAGCTGAGATGAACCTTGCTCTGTCAGCAATTTGTCCGTTTCTCCTCTGGCATGTGCTTGTGTTTTCTTGCTTTGATGGTCCTTCTGCTACTTCTTTATGATCAACTGTCAAAACTAAATTATGTGTGATGTGTGTTGCTGTTGTTATTATTTTAGGGGAAGAGGTGCTTTGAATGTATTATTGCTGTCTCAAATTACCCTTTAGTTCACATACCCCAATGGCTGGTGTGTGGTTTAAATGGGCCTGTATTTTTGGCTTTCCTCATCAGGACACTGTGCCTGGAGCTGGTTCTACACTGGCCTAAACATATCTATATGGTCTGATATATAACTTGTAAATAACTTACTATGTGCTTTGAAAAAGGTTGAATGCACAGTAAGAAGATTGATGGTTATTCCCTGGTATAGTCATTAAACTCTATATTCTCGTAAGGATGTTTATATTAACTTTTTAACTTTAACTGCCATTTTAGCACAGTACAAATTTGCTGTCAAAGTTTATTAGGACTGTGTTTCATAGTGAGACAGATTAGCAATATCATTTTTGTTCTTGTTTAGCGCTTACATATCTCACATCCTTTTGAAATATTGCAATTATGTGTAGCTTCTGAAAGTGAAGGCTGAGATTGGTGAAGCTTCCAAAAACCCTCAAGACTTGCTTTTGGAAGCAATTCATTCTGCTGGATTTTCTGGTGCCTTGGCAAATCCTCTTTTAGCTTCAGAATCAGCAGTAAATAGACTAAATGGTACAATTCTGGAGGAATTTGTTGCTGTAAGCCTTCAAAATTAATCTTTATGTATTATATAATATATGTTTAGTTGTCTCTCAAAAGTTTAAAGATTCTTTATTAGCTGTTTTGTACCTTTCTTATAAGACTTAAAATTTTATGAAACATCAGGAAAACTATACTGCTCCTCGGATAGTACTTGCAGCTTCTGGTGTTGAGCATGAGGAGTTATTATCTATTGCAGAACCTCTTCTGTCTGATCTACCCAGTGTCAGACGTTCAGAGGAGCCAAAATCAGTATATACTGGTGGTGATTATAGATGTCAAAGTGAATCAGGGGTATGAAGTAGAAAAAATATAGCTGTTCACACTTCTACTTTTTACTTTTTGGGCTGAAACAGTTGTCAAGTCTAACATTCCTTGAATGATCAGCGGACCCATTTTGCTCTAGCATTTGAACTTCCTGGTGGCTGGCATAAGTTGAAGGATGCTATGGTTTTGACTGTTCTTCAGGTCGATAATGTCTTCTGTTTACATGCTTTTCTGCACTTCAAATTTCTTTTCCTTTTGTGGTTAAAAATCTTCCTAAGGTTCTTTAGTTGGCTTCTTAAAGTATGTATATGCTTTACACTATTTTCTGCTATTTAAGTCAGTAAATAACTGTATTATCTCATTTTACTATAGATGCTATTGGGAGGCGGTGGATCATTCTCAGCTGGTGGACCTGGTAAAGGGATGTATTCAAGGCTATGTAAGTTATCTTGAAGTATTCAGTCTCTTTTTGCTTTGTAGTTGAAGCTAGGAACAGATAATGAAATGACTGATACTCAGTTACATTTAAGATTGCAGTGTGTTGTCGTGTATTATTTGTGATGGTCAAGATTTTATGTATAATTTTTTCACTGTCTTTGCTTCTCTATTGATCTTTCTGCAACTAAACACAGCACTTTATCCACCCCCACCCCCCAAACAGAAAAAGTAACTGCATTTTTTGATATATTATTTATTACCTTAGCATTCTTGTTTTATGCCATGCAGATCTCCGTGTTCTAAATGAATACCCACAAGTTCATTCAATTTCAGCATTCAACAATATTTACAATAACACTGGCATCTTTGGTATCCAAGTCACAACAGTAAGCCTCTTTTGAATCCTGTCCATTATGAAATCATGGTTTCTGGATATATTGGAATATTTGTCAGTCAATTTTTATATGTAAACTAAGGGTGCTTTTATTAAACCTTGTAAGATACCAGAACCAAAATTTCAGCATGTTTTGGAGCTATAAGATAATTCAACAACAGTATAATACTTCACGTTCACTTAAATCACCATTGTGATGATGAGCAAGCATTGGTGCCTTATTATGAGTCTGGTAGTAATGTGAACAGATTTGTGTTGTGTTTTTGAGGCTAGACTTCAGCTTATTGTATATGGTTGGTTTGTTTAGTCTAAATGAGATTTTGCATGATCGAGGTTCTCTTTGGTGTTAAGGCACAACAGATGTAAATTTGCAATATATATCTGTTGTTATATATGTAGGACAAAATTTAGATCAAGTTCCTTATAATTGATACCCTTGACCATCATGTTCTGAATCCAACAATGACATGTGAATGTTTTCCCAAAATTATGCAACTTATTCTTCATGGAAGCTATTCAATTTTGAAAACAGTCCACTTGTTATTGTACAATTTGACAACTTGATTGCAAAGATATAAAGAACTTGATGCAAGTTTTGTCCCTATGTTTTACGCTTTCAGGAGTTGGTCCCAAGTTGATTAGGTTATTACTACCTTTATGATATCTATGATATGCTAGGATTCATGAGCAAATCACCTAGAAGAAGATTGAGTCATATGTTTTGGGGTCTTTTTATCCGAGATCTTTCTCAGTTCTGAACTTATAATGTATGGAACAAATATTTTTTTGTCTCTAATTGTTTGTAACAATAGATATTTAATTAGTGTTCTAAGAATTCTTTAAATTTTCTGAGGCGTGTGATCTACTTACTAGTTGTTTTGTAAATATTACCAGTGCCGTGCTTATTTAATGTTAGTCTATTGACTGGAATTATATGTAATGCTGCATTCTATATCTTTGTTGGAAGATTTTACTAACTTTCCATGAATAGTAATATATAGATATGCATATGCACATATTATGTGACACATGCCATGCATGGATCTTTGCATAACCAGGTGAGAAGAATATAGGGTGTACTTCGTTGTGTAGGTGGAAATTAGGAAGGAGGAAAATAGAGGTTAGAATGAAAATCTTTTTCAACTGAGGTTATTCACTACATTTAAAAATGAAAATGAATACTGTTTATTTTTCTTCTGCCAAGAAAGTGGATAGTGTTTTATCATTCCAAAATTTCCACATTCCCACTTTTCTTGCACTCAACTAAGTGGACTAGTTTATTTGCTGGCCCAAATGCCTGGAATCATTGTTCTTATGCACATATGATGGATGTGATCCAGCTGATCTATTCCTTGCTCTAGCTCCACTATGGCTGTTTATAAAATCTATGTTGATACTCTAATCTTTTTTCAATCATCTGTGACCTTATGCTTGCTTGTGTATTAGGGCTCGGATTTTGTATCAAAAGCCATTGATATAGCAGCTAATGAGCTTCTTGCTGTTGCTACTTCTGGACTAGGTTTGTTGCTATACTCTTCACTTGACTAATATTGTGTTTCTTGATTATCACCTTTAGGTTGGTAGCTTTACATGTATTCTTTTGTTTTCTGTCTTCAGTTGATCAGGTACAGCTGGATCGAGCCAAACAGGCTACAAAATCTGCAATTTTGATGAATTTGGAATCAAGAGTATGTAAATCCATCTCAAATTACTTGGAAATTGTGCAATGGCAAAAATTTATTTTTCATTTATTATTATTATTTTTTGTTTTAATATCTAATCACTATTAAACTTAAATTGTATTCAGATGGTTGTTTCAGAAGATATAGGAAGACAGGTTTTGACCTATGGTGAAAGGTATGTCTCAGGAATGACATTATAAATTTGCTGTTAATTTGAGCTTAATAGAGCTTTGTTTGGTTGGACATTGGGACCTACTTCAACACTTTCCAAAACAAGTTAACAAAGTTTTTACAGTAGACAAAATATTCACTTTGGTTGAACAGAGTTTCCTAGTGTGCTTACAAGCATGTTTATGATTAATTCACTGGTACTTTTTATGTTTTGGGATGAAATACCTGGGTAGATGTTTTATTTACAAAATTTTTGTTTGTTTTCTTCTTTCGCATCATTTCCTTAGATGTTTTAGTATATTGGTGTGTAGCAATTTGTTCTGCAATGAGTTTAAGGATGTAGATATGAGGGGGAAAATATATTTTTGATTTTCAAAAAATAAATTATCAATTAGCTTGTTATTGTAACTTTAGATAGAACTAGTCTTGGCTAGAGTATTCTTTTAGATTGGAGATTCCACCTTTGGTACTAGTTGTTCTTGTCGGTGGGGAATTGGATATTATATGCTGAATATGGATTGAAACCATATAGTTTTCTGTTCCTGTGATTGAAAAGAACGGAAAAGGGAAGCTGTTAGTTTTTCTATTAAATGTTGCAATTGTTGCATACTTGAAATGCTAGTGTCTCTAGCTAAGATATCGTTCCCCTACTCAGGAAACCTGTGGAGGATTTCCTAAAGGCAGTGGACGAAGTAACCTTGAAGGATATCACTTCAATTTCACAAAAGCTCATTTCTTCCCCTCTCACAATGGCATCATATGGAGATGGTATTTCCTTGTTTGTGAACAAAATTCTCCTTGACTGTTTTTATATCTTTTTGATTAGCAATCTTATTCTTATTCCTCCATGTTCTGCAGTTATCTATGTTCCAAACTATGAATCAGTGAGTGGCAAGTTCCGTTCAAAATGAGATTGCTTTCATCCATCACGTTGGGTCTTCTTGACATAGATCAAGTCTTGTACGACTGAAAGGTGTAAAATTAAGTTAAAATCCTAAAGATCCTTGTTGTAGTCAATAAATTAGTGATTGTGCGCAAGCGGCATCTGCACATCCCATTATTTCGGGCTACATAACCATTGATCTTGAGAGTTTTCACCTAAATATTTTTTTGGCCGAACTTAAAACCGCTGGATTATTTTTGGATTAAATACCTTTGGGAAGCCAAACCACAATCGATTGATCAAGAACCTGTTATGAATAAGTGTACTAAATCTTGTTTATTTTGCTTGCTATTCCTCCTTTTATGCTGATTATACTATGGGAATAAGTGTACTGCTAGTTGAAATCTAGATTATATTATTGCATGTTGTTTTAGTTAAAATCATTAAACATAACCATTATTAAAATAACACTTAAACTTTACGGAAAATAAGTGTTTATTTTTACATAAATGCTGTGTTTAAATTCTCTTAAGTAGTAGAGTTTTGATTCTTCCAACAACTCAATCCGTGCCGTATCCAACATCGGCTAATTAATAAAAGCTTATCGGGATGTCAAATTCATTTCATTAGACAGCATCTTCATTTGTAAATTTTTCAAATGTAACATGCTTTATGTATATTTCACGAATCTGTAAAATTCTTTTAGGGATTCATAGGAAACAACTTTTTGTTTATAGCCTTTACAAAAGGATAACTTGATATTTGCATTGCTGGGATAAGTTTTGACCTTCGTCTGCGTAGATTATTAAATCATTTTAGAATATGCATGGTATTACCCATATATCATTTCTTTTACATACTATTTATTGAAATAAGAGGAGTAATTAACTGATCAATCACTTTTAAACACATTTGATCAGTAAGTATTAAGTATAACCAATCAATACCATCAATTTCCTAATTTTGATAATTGATTATCTTCAATATGAGAGATGTACGAAAAACTGCGCATCATTACTATAAATTTATGACAAAATATATTCTCTGAAATTTCCTGCCAAACATGTCATGTCTTGGTTATTATTCTTCTTCTTGTAGTTGTAACATGTTTCGCAGCTGACCCGAGAAGATACATTAGCTCCAATAAGTCAAAACAATATTTTGACGAGTTAAATAGAAGAAAGCTATTTACGATCTGATAAACCAATCAACGTCATTCTTTTTCCATATTTTCAGCGGCCATATCCACTTTTGTACTTACCGATACCATTTTTCATTCTTTTGGAGTCATAGAAGGTAGCTCTTGAAAATTAATGTTTTTACTCTTAATTGGAAAAATGGATTACTTCATCAGGTCTTGAAAATTAAAGTTCTTATTCGTGGATGAGAGCGCAAATTAAATAATTGACTTCCACATGTAAAGAAAGCTGAATTCGACTGTGGTAAACTTGTGCTCCCTAATTAAGTTTTCAACTATCTTTCACCCAACAAAGAATTGCACTTCACAAGGAACATCGAAGAGACATCCGTGTTAAAACAAATAATAAGTAGATCAAATTACTTAAAGGTCCTCCTTTCTAGCAAAAAGAAATAATAATAAGTATAGGGCCCTTTCAAATATTATCGACATAGGCGTTCACTAATCATATATTATTAGACGCATTATATGAGATATGAAACGAGATCATGTTGTTTCCTTGTCAAAATAATTGTGAGTTTTCAACAAAAGTTGGACAAGTACATGGCCTCTTACCTCTTTAGATGATGGTGAAACGGAAAACAACGTTTTCTTAAATAAATTGAAAATTCATTGATATGCTACTTTAACATCAAGAAATAAAAACATATCATGTATGGACAGTTAGACGTGTGGTTAGTTTTCATTGGTCTACCCTTTATCATTGAATTAAATTATTTATATAAACTTTGCAGGTTTAAATTATAATAGGATGCTATATTATATTGTATTAATATGTATTTTCGCTGTTATGAAATTAATACATATTATTAAATAATACATTATATTATGTTAACGTGTATTTTTTTATTAATAAATGATTTTTAATAAAAATATTTAAAGTAATTATTGGTTTTAAAGTTAAGCAAAATTAGTTTTCAATCGTTAAATATAACTAGTATGTGTGGCTAACTTAATCTTAGTAAAATAGTTAATACTAAAAATGTGTGCACAATACGCTAAATTGATTCTTGATGTAAAATATACACAGAACTAGATCTCTAAGTTATCCTATGCCCTAAAAGATGGGGAAAATCAAATGTTATGGCCTGTGGGTAGGGATGGCAATCGGATGAATGTGTTCCCAATTTGGTATTGCCTGCTTTGCTGTCGTGCAATGTTTTCTTATTTTTATTTGCCTCGTGATTTATCTATACTTACTTGATGAGAACTCTCATGATGCCATTTTTTGTCTCCCATATTATATTAATTAATGATGATAATAATAACTCTAATGGTTGTGAGAAAAATTTCATTTTTATAACTGAATGTATTACGTTGACCAGCAATTGAAGGGATACAATATAAATAGCTTGTGCAAGTGCAATAATTGCTAAGTTTAAATACTTAAATCTTTGTTTGCGAAATTATAATTAATCTGGAATATACATATATACCGTACCAAGAATTGTACTCCTTAAGAAATATTCTTGAAGATGAATTGTGCAGAAAAAAAGAGCATTTTGGAATTTCTTTTGTTTGATTGTGTATTTGGGAATATTTGAATGTGTATAAAACTACACCCTCCTTTTTATTGTATAATAAATAAAACTAATGTAACTGATTATATTCCCCGGAACTGTGTTACCAACCATGTATTAGTGACAAATAAGGGGGGCCTAGGCGGAGGATATGTAGAACTGTTTCCATATGTGGGTTCCATGGGTTGGTTCAGCAAAGTTAAATTTAAATGGATAATTAAAGCAATTTGATTCTCCTATTCTCTTTCTTAAATTTTAGTCAGAAAAAAAATATATGAGAAACGATGTTTATCATTTTTCTTTTGTGCCTTTTTTAAATGGGTAGGTCCAAGTTTCACTCAGATCTACCCTTAAGATAGGATATATTCCTCACTCTTGGGGACTGTCTATAGATATTTTGGGTGAAAATTCTGATCCTCCCTCCTCATTTTCAGCTCCATGAAATAAAATCAAGGCTTGCAATTTGCAAAGACAAAGAGGCATCATAGCCATCTATGTGTATACTGCAAACATCATTAGGGTCCCTCCATCATTTTTATATTGACTGCCCCAAAGAATGTAGTTATAAACGTGAAATCTAACCATCATCTGATTAAGATACTTTATAAGGGCCAAAGATTTCCGTGCTGATGCCCGGACCCACATAATGCTGAGGGTATACTCTTTAGTTCTTATGTGAAACTACACTAGTTATGTGCAACTCACCAACACTTTAGACAACCCCTCCATAGAAATAACACAGGCCGCAAAGATGATGACAAAAAAGGGAAAATAATAGTACTATCCTCCCCCTAAAAAAACATTAGAATCTTATTACCTGATGTTAAAATAAATAGAAATTATGTTAAGAGTCTATATATTAAAAATTATGCTGAAAATATATTAATAATTTTTAATAAAAACTATTTTTAATTTGTACTTTTATGACACTAATTATTATTTATTAAAAATTATACTTGTATATTACTTTACTTTTCTGCAGCCATAAAGTAAAGTATTTGGTGCTTCTAGTCCAGATTTCATAAATTTATATATTTTTTACATTATGGATATTTTCCAATAAAGTTAACTATTTTTTTTTTCATGTATAAATGAGGAACTGAACCTGAGCATGTTCAAACGATCTAGTTATTTTTCAACAATTATTGTTGATCACATATTTATGTTTTAAAAATAAGATTTAGCGTAAGTTGAAGTAAATAGAAGAGGGGGTGGTGGTCCATCAAGTACGTCTCATTTTCCTTGATTATCAAGCAACCTCCCAACACTGTCCACACATCTCTCTCTCCCTGCGTGTGTGCTCAAAACATTCATGGCAAAAGCATCATGATCTGCACTCCAGCTCAAAACCCATGTGAGTTTCTCTCATCTTTTTCCCGTATTTTAATCCGGGTGTCTCACCCTCTAACTCTCTATAAGAAAAATTTGGCTTTATTTCTGACATTAATCCGTTATGTGAGAATAATGAGACTGTTAATTCTGCCCTTCTTGTTGTCTTTGTCTTTATTACTCTATGTTCTAAGCTTTGTGATACTGACACGTATTAAGAGAAAGTCATTTTTAACATGTAACCATGTAAAACTCTAACCAAAAAAGAGAAAGTGAGTTTTCACATTGAGAGAGTTAAACTGTAACCATTGATAAAAACCATATCATTATAAAAATACTTATTCCTAATCCTTTAATTACCTTTGTCTTCTTTTTTTTTTCCTTTTTTTTATGGGTTCTAAGTATAATTTTTCTTGATTAGTAACAGCTGTGTGGCCGTTTATTGCTTTTTTGCTTTAGCAGTCAAGGCTCAAAGAAAGGTGTAGGGTGGCTACAGTATATTAGGATGAATGTAACATAGAGGAGTGAAGAGAGTATGGGCTTTGAGCTTTAGTTAGAAAAACCAACCGGGTTTTCTTTCTTTTATACTGTTTCTTTGTTTCTCTCTCTTTCTTTTTCTCATAAACCGCCTACTTACATGCGGTTCATAGATTAACAAAGGCTTAAAGTTTCTGTGTGTGTTCGAAGCAGACAACTTTTCCTTTATTATTTTTCTCACTTGGCTTCACTTAAAGTAGAGGGAGTTCTGGTGTTTTCCATGGTTAAAGCAGGTTTATAGCTCAACCCTATTGTAACAGTTTTCTCTTTTTCTCCTTCTTTCTCCTCTCTTAATACTCTCATCCTTATTCTGCATAATTTATTGCTATGGATTCATTTGATTTTTTCTCCGAAATAGCCATATGATTGAGAATTAATATTTTCATTTTTTCTTCGTTTGCCTATACTTTTGTTAATCGTTTATTTTGGTATCTCTTATCTAGCCAGTTTCTGAATCGAATCATGGCCTGATCATAAACTATCTTTTTCTTGAATATAGTTCTTAAAAACTCATAAAAGTTAGCCAAACCCACTTCTTTTCTTATTACAAGTTCTTTATTTTCGCTTTCAATTCACTGACAATTAATGATTGTAACATGCCATCCAATTTCTTCTATTGATCTTTTAGGGAAATTTTAGTTCTGAGCTCAACAAGCTCTAGGATTTTCCTGTTATATACAAGAAAGATATGCTGAGTTGTGGACTATTCCATAGTGAGAGGATTCCAATTCAAGGTCTCATAAAGAAGTTTGATCAAGAGAGATAGCAATAGCATCATCACACGTCAAAGGTAGCAGAACATGAACAAGATCAGCAACTTGAGTTGTGTTAGAAGCTCTGATCTCATAGATGCCAAGCTCGAAGAGCATCAGCTATGTGGATCCAAACAGTGCCCTGGTTGTGGACACAAGTTTGAAGGGAAGCCGGTACGGAAAATAAAAATAAATAAATAAATATTAGTAATATTCTTGCCTTCAACGAAAAGCCTTTGACAATTTGAAGAAGAATCATACGACAAAAGTATACCAAATTAATATGTTTACGTCTGTTTTGTCATTGGACTAGTGCAATTAATTTAATGCTATATTGGTATCACTTTTTTTCTTCCGTTAGCTATTTTAGCCTATTACTAAAGTTTTAGAACTTGTTAAAGCTTTAATATCTTCTTTAATTTCTTTCTCTATGTTTCCTCTCTCTTGTACTCTTCTTATCTCTTCCTTTTGCCTTTTTTTTGTTTTAATTTGAATTTCAATGGAACCAGCAGGACTGGCTAGGTCTACCAGCGGGAGTGAAGTTTGATCCAACAGACCAAGAACTCATAGAACATCTTGAAGCAAAAGTAGAGGCAAAGAATATGAAATCACACCCTTTGATAGACGAGTTCATCCCTACCATTGAAGGAGAAGATGGGATTTGTTACACCCATCCTGAGAAACTTCCAGGTTGAGATATTGAAACTAGTAAAATTGAAATAGCCTCTAACTCTCTCACTTCTTTACGCAAGGTGTTTGCAGTTTTCTTCATATTATTATTTAATTTAAATTTAGCCTTTAAAGTGTGAGTGTAAAAAGTAAAAAATAATAATAATAATTTTACCGTACATAAAAGATCAACATTATTTTACTTAAATTATATACTAATCATCTTGTGACATTATATAACTAGGATGTGCACTTCTAATCTTTCATCCGATTTTCCTTTTTAACTTCTATATTTAAATTAAAAAACTCTTGATATCTATATCGAACTTAAATACTAAATCAAAAAGGTATTTGTGTTACAGTTCACCTAAGTGGACCTAACTTTGATTTTGTCCATGTGATTTTCAGGAGTGACAAGAGATGGCCTAAGCAGACACTTCTTCCACAGGCCTTCAAAGGCTTACACAACAGGAACACGAAAGAGGAGAAAGATTCAAAACGAATGTGACTTGCAAGGGGGAGAAACCCGATGGCACAAGACTGGTAAGACCAGGCCAGTGCTGGTGAATGGTAAACAAAAGGGGTGCAAGAAAATTCTGGTCCTTTACACCAATTTTGGGAAGAACAGAAAACCCGAGAAGACCAATTGGGTGATGCACCAATACCATCTTGGTCAGCATGAAGAAGAGAAAGAAGGAGAACTTGTGGTGTCAAAAATATTCTACCAAACACAACCAAGGCAATGCAATTGGTCAGATAGAAGTGCAACAACCGGTGAAGCAAGTGGAGAACAACCTAATAATGGAAGAAGAGACAGTGGAAGTGGAAGTTGTTCTTCAAAGGAAATCGTTACTCACAGAGATGAAATGTCTCCTGTTAATCTTGGGGTCCCTTCAATGACACCTTTCACCAATGCCTTGGATATTCACCACCTGAAATCTAACCATTTCAGCTTCGTTCCATTCAGAAAAAGCTTCGATGAGGTACATACATATATATAATTCATGTAACGTCAAAATCGCTTCCATGTACGTATTATTTACATCATAGTAATTGGGAAACTTTCATATGTAGGCACCTTTCTTAATTAAGAGCAGTTAATGAACACGATGTTTCACTTACTACATTTGGTAATATATAATTTACCTGATTTCAACGTTCGTTTGGTAAATAGTATATGATTTGTACAAAAAGGTGAAAGAACATGAAAGGGCTAAGGAAGCTGTTGACAATTGACATAAACATTGCTTCCATACACCGCATAAATTTGTAGGATCTGACCTTATAATAAATCCGCGTCAACCAACCACCCGTTTGTTTACCTACCTTAAAAAGGTAACGTCATATTTAATGTTATTATTATTATTATTATTATTATATTGATGCATATAGTATTGTAGGTTCGCAAAAAGGGTCAAAATTAAAATTAGTCAGTGATTATAATCACTTAAAAAAGTTATATTATTATTTTAACTTTAATCTTTTACAATGTGATTTAATAAATATTAATTATTTTTATCTATTTGTATCTCTCTCTTTTTACATAAATGTGTATTACTTCTTCCATTCCTTATGTTTTACTGTTTTAACTTCTGTAGTTTTGTTTCAACAGTTTTATTATTATATATTTTCAAATTTTATTTAGTTTTTTCTTGTATCTTTATTTAATTCTGAAAATTCAAAGAATAATTAGAAGTATAAATAAAGATATTTAAGTCAAAATATAATAATGTGCTATATTAATAAAAACTTGCTTAATTTATATTTAAGCCATCTTAAGCAAGAAAATATAAGAAATGGAAGGAGAATAATGAAATCGAGACATAAGTTGATAGTTAGAGCTAATTAATAATATTCAGAGAGGTCCCCCCAAAAATGAAAATAGTGAGAGGTTGCAAAAACAAGCTAGCTAGAAAATTTTGTGATAGTTAACAATTGAAGATGATTATGACCACTGCAGGTTGGAATGGGAGAAGCTTCCACGGGAAGTGAAGTGCAAGCATCAGGCTCATGCGAAGAAGTACATGAACGGCATGTAGCACATCATCATCATCAACAACAACAAAATCAGCATGCGCACCAACACATTGCAACCACAGCCTTCCATATCAGTAGGCCTTCGCTTCCCATCTCCACCATCATCGCTCCTCCTCCCCTTCACCACGCATCCATTATCCTAGACGACAACTCTTACCATGTCTCTAGAATAATGGAAAATTTCCAGGTAATCCAATCATCTTCATCCAAACCCCGGTTCTTAAAGATGATTGCTTATAATATTTTACTAAATAAACTTCTGCATTAATTCTTGAGATTGTAAATATTAACTACTATAGTCTTGGATTTTATAAAATTGTCATTTTATAGTGTTTAGTTTTCAAAATAGATCTTGTTATAATCTTTAATTATAATAAAATAATGTAATTAAAAAGTATTAAAGTGAATAATATCTTTGTAAAATTAATTAGCAAATGAAAATATAATATTAAGTTAGAAAATAAAGTAATCGACGCTTAGAATTTTAGACAACTACCCAAAAGTTTATAATATTTTTTTCTATAATTTTCATGATCTAAATATAGATATCGATCGAATAATTGTGACAGAATCAGAAAGTAGTGTCGGTAGGTCACTCAATTAACATTTGACAAAGAAGAAATGACTTTAGGAAGAATGTTACTTTTTCTATTGTATAACATGCTCATAAAAAATAAAAATAAAAAAAATGGTGGATTGAGTGGTGCAATCAATAGGGCACTCAGTGTGTTGAATTAAGTCCAAAATGGACTGGTTCTGCATGGTATGGTGCACGAGGTAGATTCATTAATTGGAGGCTTTTATAAGTGCTTGCTAAATTACTAGCATGAAACTGTCTTTTCGCTTTTTGATTGTTGTTCAAACGTGATGATTGAGATATGGGCTTTGAATTTGATATATTGCTGTCTTTTTAAATGCATGTATAATGTATATCCACATGGCAGCAACAGCAGCAACAACATCATAAACTTGGAGGAAGGTCTGCGTCTGGTTTGGAGGAACTCATCATGGGGTGCACTTCAACTGATATCAAAGAGGTAATTGATAACTTTTTGACTCAGAATATATATATATATATATATATATATATATATATATATATATGACTCTGAAATATATACACCATAATGCCGAATAGGGAAAGAGAAAAGAGGGTCAAGAATAAATGATTCAAATAAATATTGAAAAAACAATTTTCATTTGAATTAAAGACTAGAAGCCTTCGTCCTTTTCCCTTTATTACTTTTAGCTCTCGTGTTTGCATATCTGAACAGGAGAATATCTTTCTTTACACGATACAAAAACTTATGCTAACATTTTCTCCCCATGAAAACACTGTTCCTGATGTTTAACAATTTATTTTTTTTTGGGAACAAGAAGGAAAGATTGGAAAAGTGAAGTGACTTAAAATCTTTTTAATTTTTGCACTCCTGGCCTTATTAGGCCAAATGCTCCTTGACTTTGACTATGAGGTTTTTCTTCTTCTCCCTCAGAGTGTGAAAATATTTCAATTAAAAAGCCGAACCCTAATCTTTTCATTATATGCAATTTCCTTGCAGGAATCATCTATTACAAACCCACAAGAAGCGGAATGGTTGAAGTACTCTTCTTACTGGCCAGACCCTGGGAACCTACATGATCATCATGAGTAGAAGGAGACACCAAAAAGTAGAGAATAAACAAAAACCACAAACAAGACAACATCATTATCGTCATCATTAATGCCTGAAGCGTACCTCAAGTTTCTTTCCAACAAAAAGCCAAGTAATCAGATCCATGGTTTGCTCAGTTATCTTTCTTTTCCAATGGGTGCTTGTTTATAATAAGCTTTGGTGGCTGCTCTCAGCGGAATTAACTGTGTGCAACGGAACAAATTAGAAAGAATGGGAGAAAAAAGAAAAGGAAAAGAAAGAAAAAAAAAAAGAAGAAAAGAAATCCAAGCAAAGCTGCACTCCCTCCTGAGTCTGACACACGGTGAGGGAGAACGACCAAAGACTCAAAGTTAAATATGCATCCTGCTGCATGAAAATCATCACTAATATGATTACAGTATCATCCCTCTTATTATTCATATTATTTTTTATTATTTTATGACGTTTGTATTTGTTCACTTTTCCTGTTTTTTATACAAGAAATATACCAATGAGTTTGTGCAAACTGCAAACCGCCCTCTTGCCCGTGCCATGCATAGGAAATTGAAATGAGATGAGATTTTATTTATTTATTTTTATCAAACCAGGTTCATTATTAATTGAGAATATTGTACCAAACGATTCAGATTCTTTTTTTTTTCAATTTTCATACACTATAATCATTTTGTCAATTTTATTAAAGATTTAATTTGAACCATTCACGTAAACTCGTTAAAACATTGAATTCTTCTTATATCATTTCTCTCTTGCATGTGTTGTAATTGTAATTGGTTTCAGTTTCTACCTAGCTTGTTCCACATTTTTTAAAGGTTATTAGAGGAATCATATAACTTTTGCTTTCTCTTTTAGAATTTATTATCAAGAACTTTAGGTGGAACCTCAAGCACTGCAAGATTTCCAAGAACCAGGATTGTTACTCGGGCCTTCATTCCGAATCCAAATTGCTGGTCAAGTCACAAAGTACAGCAGGTAGCTGCTCATTTTGGGTTTTTTGAAATTATTAAAAATTTTAAAATAATTTGAATTGGTTTAATTTTTGAATATATTATTATATTTTAAATTTATTATAAAATTATATTTGAATTAATTTATATTTTTTAAAATGCATTAATATTTATTAAATTGATTTATGTTAGTAATTTATGTTATTATCATGTTTAAATATACTACATTATTTAATTGAATGAAGGAAAAAATGACAAATTCAATAATAAAAAATAGGGCAAATTATACTTATACCCTTTAAAATTTAATAAAATTTCACGTAATGTCTACCCTTTTTTTTTAATTTTGCACAATTTTTTTTAATTTATGTAATAATATGACACCACACATCTTTTTTGATTAATTTAACAAGTTACCCATAATTTTTTATGTAATTGTTTAAATTATCGGAAGTCAAATTAATATAAAAACGATACAAATATTAAGTATAATTTTATTAAACTTTAAAGGTTGTGAAGCAATTTGTCCAAATACTAAAATTATATTAAATTCACTCATATTCAAACTAATTTATATGTATACAGAACTAAAATAAAATTTTTCAATTCAAATAAATTAATTCCTAATTTATAACTTTCTAATAAAACATTTAATTTATAAATCAAATCAAGTTATAAAATCCTTGACTCCGAGCATATCTACTCTTATCATTTCACTTTATATACCTTTAAAAGATATACTATATAACCATTTATATAAGCTTCATATATATCATCTTCTATTATCTATTTAGCTATATTTTCAAATTTAACTCATTAATTAATTAACTCGTTAAGTAGTACTTCACTTGAATACAGGATGGATTAATTTATCCGCGTAAAATAATTTGTATGTCCATTTAGTTGATCTCATGCATTCACTACGATGCTTTCTTTACGCCACACGACCATATATGTACAGAAATCTGCAGAGCATCGCACCTTCCTTGGGCTTTATATTGCTGCTGATGTTTGCACAATAAAAAGAAATTGTACTTTAGGAGATGAGTTTTGTGAAGATCTTTTAGTTTTGATGGGTCCCTTGACTGACGAAAGAGTACTCTGTGTTGAACCACAATGGATATAACTCACCTTTTTTTTTCTTTGAAATGTATAAACTGCTCATGAAAATTATTTGAGTACTTCTAATGAGTATACAAAAAACAATATTAAAAATACAGGTCAAAGAATCAATAAATATTTTTTATAAAAATTATACTAACAATACATTGATAAGATTATATATACATTTCTTTAATAAAAAATTTTCACTTTGAAATTTTAACCAGTGATATTTTTCAAATTGTTAACTTCTGTTAATGATGCGAAGCTACACTTTACTTCTTTAAAGGCATTATAGCTTCGTGTCTATCAAACTTATAACTTGGGAAAGAAGGGACGTTAAAATTTCTTTTATTTTGAGCCTTAGGTTTTGAATAACAACGCAAGTTGAATTTTATAGGCGAGGTTTTCGTTTTCTTATTTGGTTTTTCAGAAAGTGATACTAGGAGACAAACACGTCTTTATTACTTTATTCTGCGTTAGATTCGAGCTTTTCCTGCTGGATTATTAGACTGATGATATACTTATTTTATTTTAGAGAGAGAGAGTAATGTGCATGTTAATGCTTTAAAGGGACATGTGCATGCAATAAAGCTAAACTCAAGATGAAGACGGGGCAACTTCATAGTAATTTCTGAACGGAATAAAGAATGAGAAGACAAGAATAAACTTTTTTGGTTCTTTTATTCCTCTACTCTTTTTAAATAACTGCTTACCGTCCCCAAACTCATGGCTATATATATATACCTTCTTTGAGTGTATAGTAGAAAAAAAGGCAACCCACTATAATTATACATCTCTTTTTATACAGCTAAGTATAATATGATCTTGGAGAATATCTTTAAACTAGTGTTTCTCATATTAATGTTCTAATTAAAACAAACAAATAACCAATAATAGAAAGAGAGGGTGGGTATTAATATGAAATTAGCAAGAGGGAGTACCCCTTTCCATGCATATTTCTAAAACTTAAAATTTAAAGAAGGCTTAAAAAGGTGATATTCAGTTCTTTCACTTTATGGAAGATTTTGGATGCTTTTGAAAGGAGCATATATGGAGAGAGTATATGTGTACTGCCAATGCTATGGTTTCTTGGTATGCCTGAGATTTGGTCCCATAAAGAAGTCGCAGGAAGAATGGTGGTAGTGAAAGGACGAATATAACAACATGCTCTTATCGACCTTTTTAAGATTCTTCAATTGGGGGGCCAACTCTATGCCGGATTCCATCTAATAGACCCCACCATTTGGTTGTTTTTATTTTTCTGATTCATTTCCCTCCTATAGCTAGAGAAGTTGAATAGCACATTGATTGATTAAGCCATTTAGAAGTAATTTTCACCACTTTATTTGTTAATTATTAGCGGATCCCAACTCCATAGACCACAGTCCTCTACGTGAATTTGTAAATCCTGCGTTCCCCATAACTGAGTTTATTTCAACATTATTAGCAGATACCAAACATGGTCTACCTCTGTTTCATGATTCATCCTTATATATTAGCATAAAATAAAATCCCATGTATGATCTTTGAAAAATTAATTTGGTATTCAAAATATTTATTACGTTAAACGGCTGGTTCTCTAATAATAATCTGTTATCACTTTAGGTTTTGTAAAAGGACTTCTGAACTATTAATGTGTGTGTGTTGGTACACATATTGTGTATGTGGAGAAAATTAAAGACAATTTGATAAAAGATTAAAATGATAAGAATGGTCTCATTGACGTGTTAATGTGTTATATATTTAAAAATTTTATTATATTTATAGATGACATTAACTTGTAGCATCATATATTAAATTCCATTTTATCAGTATTAAAGTTTTTTTTTTTTGGATAACGAACAAAATTCATATTCATCCTAAAAATTAACATTATAATATATATATTTCAAGTGAGAAGAGTGTGTTATTGTAAGAGGTGAGAGAAGAGAATTAATTAACAAGAGAGAAAAAAAATAGTAAAATAATAACATCAAATTTAAGTTCTTTATTTAATTTAATAGTAATTATTAATGTCTCTTAACTCTAATAATAATAAAAAAAAATTTACTTAAAATGTCGCTTATATATATATCTTCAGATATTTACGGACCCAGTTATTCCCTATAGGCCGTGTAGCCCATATCGTTGCGCTTTATGGTCGTAGTATGAAACAGTTACCTGACCGATCCGGCTTGCTTTGGGGCAACTCTAAGGCCTATCAAAAACATATCAGTCATGTGTTCTATGAAAAGAAAGCCTCTCTCAAAAAGAGCTTATTTTCAAAAGTTAAAAAAAAAAAAGAGATTATAACCTTCAATATTAGAAAATGCATCGTGATAATGTCTATTTGTATGGATAATCAACCTCGTACAGCCCATTTTTGGGCTATAAAAGTGGAAGAGAGATTAAAGGAAAAAGGGGGGGGGGGGGGGGGGGGAAAGGGGATAGATGTGATAAATGTGACGTAATAAAAGAAATAAATAAAGAGAAAAATCGATGTGCATCGTAATTCATTTATCAATGATCTTAACAGTTGATTTTGACCCAACGTGTGTGCTATTAAGAAAAAGAATAACTAAACATGCACCTTATAATCTACTGAGCGTGAACATATCTTCACTTGTTTAAGAAACAAACTTATTTTATGGACAAAAAACATCTTAAAGAAATTTCTTTGGTATAAAAATAGGAACAAGTTATTCAAGGAAAATTAGCATTAGGCCTTGTTGCTCAAGTGCGAGATGTTTTTCTTTGCAGACTCCAAGGAGGAATTGCGCTTATTCGTATTCGTCATCCTGTAAAGGGGGTTGACACACGCACCCTCAAATCTTGGACCTGTCTGCATGGACTAATTGTCTAGAAAGAAAAAACTATTCTGAGCCCAAATTAGCGCCGGCAAACGTATGATCCAGCGAATGGTAAGATTTACGCTGCTACTCATCTAGATTCTGGAATATGAATGCGCTCCCCTCGCCCCCGGGCGGTGGTGGAAACAATCTTTTTTCATGAATCTACTTCCAAATCTGAATGGAACATGGTATCAATTAGGTTTAAATATTCAGTGTTGAACCACTTGGAGATGCTGATGCCTGACAGCATATGATCCATTCCACTTACATGTGGCCATAATGACTCGGTGTCATGTCATTTACATAAAAGGGTCGGTAGTCAATTTTAGGAACAAAAATATATCCGAATTTGTACACTGTTGCAGGAAACTTTGCCAATCATAATATACCAGAGGAAGATACAGCAAAGCGCATGCATCATCAGATGGAACCTTCAACAAGTTGCTTGAAATATTTTGGCAATCATTTATGCTAGGAACAATTATAGGGCAGTGACCAACTGAGAAAGTGGACACAATTGAGCAACAATATTAGCAAATTCAATTACTTTACTCATTTCAGGCCTGTCTGCTTCTAGCCAGTCTAGACGGTTTTTTGTTTTTTCGGTAATTCCACCTTTAGATTTGAGGCTTATTGGTAATTCAGTTTTCTTAGGAGCGTTTATTTTAAAGATGAATAAAATATTGTTGACAAATTAACTTTCGAGGAACATTTTTCATTAAAAAATACAGGATTAATTTGTCAATTATTATAAACCAAACAAACACACAATCCGTGGGGAACAGTTCACGCCGTATACACTGCACACCCATTCCGCTGTTTCTTTGGCAACAAAAATTAAGCCGTAGACACTGGCTAGTCTGCAACAGCCTGTCAGCGTCTGGCATACAAGTTAGACAAATGCATTTTATGAAAGAAATCGGCTATGGTTTTGTATCAGTAAAGACAAGTAACCATTTGGTCACCACCTGACACATTCTGTTGATCTCACATAAATAATGCTTTAACTTGCACGAGGAATTCACTTGAATTAACAAACATGCAAATGACAAATATATGTACAAGAAAAACTACATGTTCCTCTTAACCTGTAACACAGCATTGGAGAAATCTTCTCTCCTATCTTTCTTTCTATGCACCCTCTCTTCATGTAACACAATTGCACCGACTTTGTGGGAAATTATCAGACTTCACTTATTTTCATCATCATCATCTTCTGTACAGGCCACAAGCTTGACATCAAGCTGGCTTAGCAAGCACGTGACTCAGAAACTGGCAGCTGCCTGGTCATTGGTTCACTACTACCGGATACTTTTAAGTATGCAAACAGGCAAGATAATCTTGCAATCATGAGCTTAGTCTTTGGCACTTTAGGAACAATTGCCAGCTCCATACCAGAATCGCATGGATTATGATAGCCTTCAAGATCAGCTTTGGTTATAAGCACTGCATCCCCAGAGGGAGAGTGCGGTAAAGGACAAGGTCTTCGCTTCTTGTAGTTTTGAACAGCCTTCTTACAATACATGCAAAGATTACACAAAAATCATTACCAAAAATACATTACAGTAATTGCTTCATTATCACCAGCCTTCCAGAGGGAGAGGGGACTTGAGAAAAAAAAGAGGCTTGGTTATACCTTCCACTGTGATGGTGCTAGTAGCACTCTAGGTCTTCGAGATCGAACATATTCCAGGGCAGCAGCAGGTGTCATGTGCTTGTATTCAACCTAGAAAACATAAGACCACCACATGGAAAACATTTAGCACCTTGAAGCATCAACTAATGCCACAACTCTAACTTAAAGACCATAAAATTACCAGATAACAAAGCACAATTGTTGTACTCCTCCCCCGCCCAGCTTTACAGTGAACATAAGTAGTTTTACCACATGTTGCATTCTCTACCAAAACACAAGGGTAATACACAGAATAAAAAACTACACTTTAACACTCAAAAAATAACAAAGAACCACACTCATTGATGCATTCATCGCTCCCCTCAATTCCAAAAAACTAAATTAAAAAGAAAATACCCACGATGAATGAATTGCACAGCCCGGCTGATATCCACAAAAGAGGGAGCAAAAAGATAGTCCCTGGTCGGAATCACCAAATGATCAATCCCGTGAGCCTGAAATAAATAAAGCAAATAAACCTAGATATCAGCAATGCTTATATACTAAAACAAATATAGCAACTACATTGTGAAACTGCAAAGTTTACATGAAAATTCATTATTTAAATATCAATTAAACACACTCTTCAGTGGAAATCAGAGTCCACAATTTCCTAATAACAAATAAACTTTCTACATAACTTAAAAGTATCAAAATAATGATGGCACCAAAGTTTCATAAGGTTCATTGAGACAAGACAGCCAAAAAAGCCGAGGGGATATTACACTTACATGATATAATGATGATGGCACCAAAGTTTCGTAAGGTTCATTAAGAGTAATTACACCACCCACACCAAGCTGCTTCAAGTGAGGAACATCTTTGGGGAACGGAACTGCGCCCAGTAATAAAAACTAGAGAGAAAAAAAAATTTAACAAAACCACAAATCACACCACACCACCGCACCCACCAAACACCATTAACCGATTTCATTTTCAAATATCATTCTCATCAAACAAGGCACACTTTTATTAACAGCTTACACTTACTTAAATTAAAAACAATAAAAACAACGATAATCAATAGCGAAAATAAAGAACAAAACCATCACGAAAGAAGAAGCAGAGCGAGCAAAACCTCATCGATTTGATCCCACCACCTGAACTCAGCTTCAATCTTGTTACGAAGCACATTGTACAAGAGTGTCGGATAAAACAGGATTCGAGCACCTGCTCCAACCAACGCTCTCTTCGCATCAACCCTCACAATTTGCCTCTCGTACTTTTCTTCTTCATCCCTACTACACTCTGCATCGTCCAATTCCTCGATCTTCATCGCACACAACAAACTAAACCAAAAAAGAAACAAAAATAAAAACCCTAAAACCACAAGAGCTATCCTAATTTACATAAGAATGTATTTAGATCGGTGAAAACCCAAAAAATTCGAAGGAATAAAAAAATTAAAAGCAACCGTACCTTGCCGCTAACTTGGGAATCAAGGAAGAAGCAAAATCGAAAATTAGCAAAAAAAAATGGAAACGATGGGAGAAGAGAAAACGAGGAATGAGAGAAATGAGAGAGTGAAATGTTATTAAGAGTAGAGTGTGGAAGGTTCCGAATAAAAATGCCCTTGCGATTGGGTTTTATCACCAAAAAAACCCTCCTTTTGCTGCAAACCCGGAGATAGAGGGTGTACTTTTTGGTAACGATGTATTTATAATTTTTTATAAAAAGTATTTATCATTTGAAAAGTTATAAATAGAAAAAAAAAACTATGAATAAAAATATTTATTAATTTAAAATAATAAAACGCACTTTATACATGTTTTTAATTTTAATTTAAAATATTTAATATAGTATAGTTAATATTTCTTAATAGATAACATACATTAAAAAAGTGTATGATTATTAGTAGTCAAGATCGAAATTTCTAAAAGAAATGAAAATACCATTTATAATTATGCCTTTTAATTTAAAATTTATTATTTAAATTTTTTTAAAAATTATATCATATTTATTATATATTTTTAAATTTAACATTATATATGATAATAATTTATATACAACAAATCTTATTAAAAAATATAAAACTTAATTCATTGATATTAGTAAATTTTAAAGGTTTTAACAAAAAAATATATTTTATATTATGTATACTATTATACAGGTTAGAAAAAAAAGTTATTTTTAAGATTTTTATTAAATAATGTGAGAAAAATTAATCAAATCAAAAATAATTTTAATTAAATATAATTATCTATATATGATGTTAAAATTATAATTATTTGTAATTATTCTATAAAACTTCAAATAAATACTTAATTCAACTTACAAAATTATTTAATTTGGTTTGCTCTTTCAAAATAAAAAATAAACTAAAAGTGAAAGTGTGAGACAATTTAGTTATTTCAAATTTTTTCTTTATTTTTAATTTAAAATGTTAAATTTTAGGATTTTGTTAACTAAAGCTGAATTTAAATATTCACAAATAAATAAAATTTATAAAAAAGTGTATAATTATTATATTAAAGTTATAAAAATATAATAAATATTTTTTTAATAAAATTTTATTATTATTAATTTTTTTATCTTTAATTCTTAGAGTTAAAGGTCGAAATTAACAAAAATTTAAAAAAAATGAAATATATATTATTAACTTAGTCTTTATAAAATTATAAATAAACTAAATTAATTTTGAAAATAGTAACTCAACGAAGTAAAAGGAATAAATTATTTTTTATTTGTAATTTTAAAAACTTGATTATTTTTTAGAAAACAATGTTTTAATATTTTTTAAATTTTCGTTAAAATAAAATAAGTTGGTAAGTGATTGCAAAATGATAGACCAATCAAACGCTTAAATTAATTGCTTTCCTTCACGTTTGACAATTTTTTCCTCCATCAATCACAAATTTCCATATCGACAACGAGAACTCTTATTCGAGGTTTTTTTTTTTCATATTTCCTTTTTTATGGCAATTAATATATTTGCCCACGCTTCGCGCGCGCACGGGTGTATAAAATCATTGTATATAGTTAATATTGGCAAATATTTTACAAACAAAAAATTGAATATTTTAAATTTAAAAAAATGATACGTGCAGATATATTGCTTTCGCATATTTACCGTCATTGTATATATATTATGTTATTTATTTATCTATTATTACTATTGTGTATTTTTTTTTTCATTATCGTAAAGTGTAAATAATAAGTTCATTTGCACGTGAATAATCTCAATACTATCCTTTGTTGCATCTAATGTCATATTATCATAGTTAAACTCTTGAAATTAGTCAATCCTCATCCATCTTGAATCTTAATTGTAGAGAATGATTGAGAATTGGAGGAGTGTGAAAATTTTCTTAACACAAAATTTAAACTATGGTCATAATACATATATTTTATTAGTTCTCACCAGTGATACATTACTATTATAAATACCTCTAGTGTATGATGTGAATAGTTGCAAGTGATCTTTGGGCTTACAAAACATCACCAAACTATGACTTTGGAGGATAATGGCCATCGACACCACGTAGGTGGGGCCTTTTGGGCCTTGTTATTTAGATGCATGCAAATGTAGCCCAAGTAACCTAATTCAAAACAAGATAGAGTCTGAGAGAGTGAAAATAAAATAATTAAATTTTTCTATTGTGACGAAATGAGAAAGATGGTTACAAATTAAGTGTTTAAAAATATCTATATTTAAGAGATAAAACACTTATTATTAACCTAATGTAACTCATTACTAACTAGCAATAATTTTCTAACTATATCTAAATCCAATTTATACCCCTTTTCTTGTAATGCAATTTCACTTATTCAAATAAGAAAATACTTAAAAAATAAAGTACGTGCAACTATAATCATTAATTTAAAAATAATTGTTAGAATTTTAATTGATTATATAAATCCCACATCATTAAACTCAATCACAAACTAAATTATTGTCAAACACTAAATTTAGAATTATAATTAAATATATAAAAAATATTGAAATCTTAGTTATTAATTTTTTAATATAACTACATTTAAAATATATCCTCTTAACTTTACAGAAACTAAATATAGTAAATTAATAGACACGGAAAGATATATTACTTCACTCCACGATTTTTGTTGTTATTTTAGAATGCTCATAGCATAGAATATTATTTAGGCTTGCAATGGCACAATATTATTTATGTTAGTTAAGGATTCCTTGGTCATATTAAATAGAAATGATAAGCTAATTGATTAAATGAAAAATATTATATAAAATTTGTTATTTAACTAACTAATAAATATAAAACGATAAATGAGGACATAATTAATTGTTAGATCACAACCTAAAATTTAATAATAATGTATTTTAAATAATTATAAAAATTATTTAATTATTTTAAAAATGTTTATCATCTTAAAATTAAGATAATGCTATTTCATTCATATTTATAAATATTTTTATTAAATAAAATGAAAAAAATAATTAAGATAACATTTATTTATATTAGAAAAGCATAAGTTTATCGTAAACTTTGTATGTTTTACAAAAAAAAATATTTAAATCTTTCATATTTCGGATTAATTATTTGTTAGGCTCTTATTAAACACGAAATTTCTAGCTCCTGTTTCATTTATAATTAATTTAGGACCTGGCTGAACGGCCCAAAATGTATTGTGTATCAACGTACTCAATCCATTTTTGCAAGCATATAAAACCAATTTAGAGTTTGTTTATAGGGTCCTAAATAAATTCACTTATTCAAAAGAAAAAACTTTTTTTGCAAAAGACTTATACATGTTTAGTATTTTATAATTTTTTAAGAGTTTTGTAATAGTAAAATTAAAAAAATATTTATTATATTTTTATAACTTCAATACAATAATTATGTATCTTTTTAAAAAAAATTATTTGTGAATGCTTAAACTTAACTTTTAGAGCTGAGATGAATAAAACTTTTTTTAAAAAAATTCAACATCTAAAAAATACATTAAATCATGGCTAATCTAATTCAAGTTATGCACATTTATTTAAAGAGATAAAACTTTTTTGTGTTTATTTTTTCATTTTCCAAATTCGGTTTGAGACTCTCTCTTTTTGGAAAAAAAATTAAGTTCATTATCACGATAAGTTGATACTACATAGTTTTACTTTATATGTAAAAATAGAAATAATTTGGGTTATACTAAATTTTATGAAGTTTGAGTGAAACTTCATTCTTGAACCAAACTTATTTATTTGATGCTAATTATTTTTCAACACCTAATATAATTTTATTAATAGTTTGATTTGATTTAAAAGCTCATTGAAAAGTCTATTTTGTAATTAAATTTTTTAAACAAATAAAAAAAATCTATCTCTAAATAGACTAAAGAATTTAAATTTATATATAAATAAATATATTCAAGCCTTTAAATAAAATAAATATATAATCAAAACATTTCACTAAAATTTTAATGCAACAATTATATCAGTAATATAGGCCTACACAATAATATTGTTATTACAATATTTATATTTACTAAAACAGGTTAATCTGCCAAACTTTACTTTTTTTCAAATGTCTGGAAACCTAATCTATTTGACTAATAAACATGTTTTTAAAAAAAACTAATTTAACTTCTTTAATAAATAAAATTAGTATAACCTACTCCTAACTTCGTTACATCTAATCTATTGTTGCAAGAGCTTTGAATTAAATAATTAATATACATTAGTAACGAATTACAAATGTTGATTAAACATTTTGCTTGCACTGTTATCATCGAAATCAAGAAGGAACTTGTTTACTATTAATCAGTTTCTTTACGCTCGTCCAACCAAAAGGTTAGGATATTTGTTTTCCAGCATGTCCTGATCCAACTATGATTCATATGCTGGACACCATTATCTGGGCAGATAAAGAGAGAAGCAGACGTAAAGGTCAAGCAAGACAACATTTATGCAGCAACTAACCCTTGAAATTCTTGGCAAAATCAAAGATGGGACCTAAATGAAACCCATGTTACAATAATTACAGAAGGTGACCACACCAGTCCTATTCCTATACGTGATATAGCACATGCAACTTTGTTTTTGGCCAGAGATGACTGATTAAAGGCAGCAACAGAGAACGTGAGGATGTCCAAAGCACAAAGTCAAGTATTCTTATATATGTTAGGGTCATGTATTTGCAATATTCAAATCTTATTAGTTAAAAACATTCACTTCCTGGGTTTCTCGTAGTTATTCAATTGATTTTTTTAACATACAATAAAAAACATTTTATTAAAAATTGTAATATTTAATATTACTAATGAAAAAAATTAAAGTGTAATATTGTATATTTTAAATATATAAACTTATATTATTGATCTTTGAAGACACGGTAAAGAAAAGTTATTTAATTTCCTTTGAATAAGGGTTTAGATCGAGTATTTAAGGGATGAATACCTAATTTAAGTACTTTCATTAGATTCGTCCTAATTCTGCCCATTTTTGCGGGGTGGGTTGGTGGGTAGCAACATCTTTATAAAATGTACCATAAGCTTGGTGGCTATGGTTTAAAAATGTAACTACACTTTCTCTTTTTCGATCAAATTTTATTAATTTTATTTTCCTCCTTTTTCTTGTTAAGTGGAACAATAGTTCATGACCGGCCATGGAACTTGGAAACTAGCTGTTCCATTAGTGGTCAAAAAATGGTGTGCGTTCTTCTCTGCGATCCTTTTCACACCAATATCACTACGTCTAATGATTGATTTATGGACCATTCTCCCCATTATTTAGGCAAGGGAATTGAACCCTGCACATCCCCACTAACTTTTGTTGAACTGTAGACTTGTAGTTCAACCTAGAATTCAACAAAATTACTACTTCAAACGCAACATTATTAGACAATTGAATACTCTTCATTTTGGATGCATCATAGAGTTAACCCAATTTGCTAGGAAGCAATAAACCTTGGCCGAAATCCATTTCATCAAATGTTAGTTGTGTACGTTGTGGCTTAGTGGTTGACCCGGTATTATTGCAACTCTAAGCTTATGATTGCATCATTTGATTTAGTATTATGGAATGGCAGTAGTGTAGTGTTATATATATATAAAGAAATATTAAGTATAAAAAAACTTATATTCTATTTAACTTTTTTATTTAACTTATATCTAATAGCCAATAAAATAATAAATTATAATTTACTAGATATAAATTAAATAAAAAATTCAGATTGAGTGTAAAATTTTTTAAATTTATACTAATATATATATATTTAAAGAGTGTGATTAGATAAACAACTTAATAGAAGAGTATTTAAAATACTTTTCAAAAAGCTTATAGAAATAAGGTTTCTACAAACTCTTTAACTTGTTAAATTTATTTTAATCAAATTAATATCATAAAAAATAATTTAATTTAATAGATTATACTAATTTTTATATATAAAAAACTAAACATTATTTATAAAATCATTTGAAAAACGATAGGGAGACTAAATTGTCATTGGAAAGTTAACAGCTAGAAAATTAATCAAGAGACAAGTTTTGGAGACCATTGGCTAGTAGCTACCATCTGGCACCATTTATGACAACTTGAATTGGGTCTACCAGCCACGCTACTACAAGAACAAATATTTGTGTTTTTGCTTTTACTTTTTCTTCCAATGGCTTGTGTGGAAATCTGAAGAATTCGACCATTCAAGTGACCCAACAAAACAAAAGCCTGTGTGTATTAATGAAGCTATAGGCTTGTATTTGTGTTGTGCAAATCACACGAGACTAGACGAGCTCCTGTAGTGGCTGCGGTCCACGTACTCTAATCTTGGAGTCTCTGTCAAGTTTAACCATGTGTGAAGAAACAGATTAATCAATGATCAAATGATATTGCTTTGGTGTGAGTTTTCATAACATGTGTTTCTTATATATTTTTATTATTATTAAGTAAAGCTATGAATTTCAATAATTTTAATAACTTGTTCGCTTATCTTTGTAAAAGGCATATGAATTTTATTTAATGCATAAAGTTGTAAAAAAAAAAATTATTAATATTCCTTGACATCGACCTGATCCAGCTAGCCCTCCCCATCGGGTCTATATTATTGTGCTGTCTGGAGTTTAGAAAGGTCAACCAATTTATTCTGCCACCTTTGATTATTAATGACAACAATAACCAAAATGTTATAACATGTACGCCCTCCCCATTATCCATCTCTTATTTTTGCTTATAATAAGATGCAACGTATTTTTTTAAAACTAGACAAGAGATATTTTTTACAAAAAATAATTATATTCAAATTAAATAAGATTTTTATAGCGATAAAATTGTTTTCTACATATATACTAAAATTGCATAGTTACTAATTAAATCCGAAACTATTGACTAAACTTTAATAATTCGATTCACTCTTGTTACGATAAAATAGCGTAGTTTATTATCCCCTCCATGTTAAATCTTTAAAAAATTACATTTGTCTGTTATATTAAAAATCATAAAAATAGATTTTTAATTTAAAAAAAAAAACTCTTTTTAAAAATATAAACAAACATACTCTTACTACATTAAAAAAGAGTTTTATTTTTTTTGGTTGTCCCTACCATAGATATTCACCAACCGTCTTAATCTTTCCTCTTTTTATATCTTAGATTTAAATAAAAAGGTTAGCAGGAACATTAAATGAAATATTGATGGTTGTGCCTGCACATCTTACCAGCTTTTCATTAAATTTATGAGTAAACTACATACAAACACCACTCTTACCTTTTTATTAAAAGGTTACATATTTCTTTTAATTTAAAATATTAATCAAGAAATTAAAAATATTATTAATATAATTTTACAACAATTTTAATACACTCTCAAGTGATTTTTAATAAAAAAAAATTAATTATTATTTTTTAAACAGAATACCCGTAAAACACTATTTAATGAGATCCTTTTATTTATGCATGATCATATTCATTTTTTAGTTCGTAATGAAATTATTTAGATCAATTTAAATTAGTCAAATAACTAATGTAATATTTAAATATCAATGTTTCTAAACTTAAAATGGGCATGTTAAAAGTTACAATATATAAAAAAAAGTAATATTTAAAATTTCCAATGTATAAAAGCATACGTTATCGTGACTCTACATTTATCCTAATTTCAAAATAGCTAATTATATCTCACACTTGGAGTAAAAATATAGGTAATTGTTTATCCTAATTTCCTTAAATAAAGTTCGTTTGAGTATAGGCACGGATGCTTATACAAGTGACATAACTATTAAAAAGGATGGATTTTAAATATTATTTCAATTACTTCTTTCCATCTATTCTGACACAGATAGAGTATAGATAAAGTTATTTTTATAATAATCAATAACCACTATAAATTTACAATCATAGTATTTAATACGATTTAGAAACATATTAAAACTTATTAAGGAGTTTACTAGGTCATTGTATACTAACTTGATTTTATTTATAGTTTTTTTGAATAAAAAGGGGGGTCCCAACTCCCAAATGTTAATGCAACAGAAGTCAACATCTGTACTGAAAAAGTAGTACAAAACCATAGCCAGTAGTCCAAACGCGTAACAAATGGTGAAGGAAGACCAATTGACCCCATTACTATACCACTCTGTGTCCTCAATGTAGCAACCTTATCGGGACAACCTCACAGCCATTCCAGAAAATAACCATCTTGGTACCTCGAGCTCAAAATGTACAAGACCTGGATTCTAACTTTTCTTCTCCTCCTCTTCCTTCTTCATTCAAATGTAAATGCTGTTGGTGTTGGTGTTGGTGTTGGAGGTATTGGTGTAGGTATTGGTATTGGTAATGGTAATGGGGGTGCTACCCCACGACCCTCAGGATCACCAGTGTCAAAGCTGAAAAATGCTTACATAGCTCTGCAAGCATGGAAATCCGCAATCACTGATGACCCATTGAAGATTTTAAGCAATTGGGTTGGTCCTGAAGTGTGTTCTTACAAAGGAGTCTTCTGTTCAATTCCTCAAGATGAAGATGGAATTGCTACATCAGGTCCAACTCATTCTCTTGTTGTTGCAGGAATAGATCTCAACCATGCAAATCTCCAAGGAACTCTTGTCAAAGACCTCTCTTTACTTACTGATATCACTCTTCTCCACCTCAACAGTAACAGGTTTTCTGGTACTGTTCCTGACACATTCAGAGACCTCATTTCCCTGCAAGAGTTAGACCTCAGCAATAACCAACTTTCAGGTCCTTTTCCCATTGTTGCTTTATCCATGCCAAGCCTTGTCTACCTGGACCTCAGATTCAACAGCTTCTCCGGGTCACTTCCTGAAGAACTCTTCAACAAGAAACTGGATGCAATATTTCTCAACAACAACCAATTTGAAGGTGAAATCCCACAGAACTTGGGTAACTCACCAGCATCAGTGATAAACTTGGCTAACAACAAGTTAAGTGGAAGCATCCCATTTAGCTTTGGCTTCATGAGTTCTAAACTAAAGGAGATTCTCTTCCTCAATAACCAGTTAACAGGTTGCATTCCTGAGGGAGTGGGAATCTTCACTGAGATGCAAGTTCTTGATGTGAGCTTTAACTCACTCATGGGTCATTTGCCAGACACAATGTCTTGCTTGCAAGACATAGAGGTCCTCAATTTGGCACACAACAATCTTTCTGGGGAGTTATCTGATGTGATATGCTCTTTGAGAAGCCTAGTGAATCTAAGTGTTGCTTTCAATTTCTTCTCTGGGCTTAGCCAACAATGTTCAAAGCTTTTCAATTTCAATGTGGGGTTTGATTTCTCAGACAATTGTATTCCTGGAAAGGACATGCAGAGACCTGAACCAGAATGTTCTACGATCCCTGGTGGTAGTTTGAATTGTCTTAGAATTCCTACTCCAAAGCCTCTTGTTTGTGGTACACTTGCTGCAAGTTTGTCTAAGCACACAAATCCACCTTTCTCATATCCCTGATAGCTACAGGTTGGTCGTGGCTTTTTCCATTAATTAATGCTACTGCCAGTTTAGTTCACACCCTCCTAATTTTATTCTCCATGGATTCAGTATATATGTTAGTGAATTATTATTATACTTGGCCCGCACGGATAAGATGTGCCTTGATTTTGTGGGCAACAAGATTTGCTAAAATTCCATGATGGTGTTAACAAACAAGATCATTTATGTGTCACGTGGCATGCTTGTTTGATTTGGTTACCTCAATGATTCACGGGTTCTTTTGATTCTGTATTCTGCTATATGACGTGGCCTTGATTGCTTGTGAGTCGTGACCAGTGAAACTTGATTTTGTTACTCAATTTGCTATGAGTTGGCATGCCAATAATATTACAAGATAATTGATCATTACATGACAGCAATTAATGCAAATAAAAATTCGGAATAGGTTTACACTTGAAATGAAATGTCATTGATTTGGATAACTTAATAGCTTAGTTTAAGAAATAGTCTTGTTCATGGATCCAATGACAAAACTACCCACTGAAATTTTCAAGTTATAATGAGACAGAATTCCCAGTTGCGACACTTAGCTAATGCAAAGTTTGATTCCGTAGCATTCTTGTGATACTCTTTTCCCCCAGTTAAGAAAATAACTCTCACATGTGGTTAAGATGTGTAAAACAAGATATAAGCATGATGAACTTACGCAAGAAAATTCATATAAACAATTGTTTTGGTTAAAATATTGGATGAATTCAGTTGAAGCAAATTGGGGGGTGTTAAATTCCAATGTGGACTTGAATATTTCAATGGAAAAACTCAGTAAAGTGCATGTTTCACTCGTTTTGGTAAAGGTAGAGCTGATGTCAATTTCTTTTTCATAAATTAATGCTATTTACATAAATTTTTTTAATATACTTCTAATTATTAATTAAAATTAATTTATTAAAAAATATATAATTTTATAGTTTCACTTTTTTAAAAATTAATATTTTTCTTCCATGTTTTTATAATTTTTAATAAATTTTAACACAGTTAAAAACTTATTAAAAATAGTGCGTTTTCAGTAACAACACAGCTTGGAAAGATTTTGTAGTAAACCAAAATTCCACATATGTTATAGATATGTGATAAACTCTGTCTATGCTATTTTATAGTGTTAGTAATTCTTTGGCAATGAAATCACTCTTCCAAACGTACCTTACCATGACCCCCACTAAAATTACATTACTTATAAGTTAAGCTTATAATTATAGAAACTGAACTCTCATGATGAAAAGGCATGGCTATCTTTAAGCTATGATTAGTTCTAGTTCCATTAATTAAGTTTCATGATTTGCAGTAATCACAAGAAGTTTGAACTTTTTAATGACGAAAGCATCAACATTCAAGGATTCCAAGAGGCGACTAAGAAGAATTACTATATACGGCATTGTCTTGATCCTCGTAGATAGTTAATTAGATGGGATCATTAGGATTAAACATCTGACACATTACCCTAAAACTTTCTCTGGACTAATCCAATCCGCATTTAAATTTTGAATGGTCAATACAAATTATTTTTAAAAAATAGTGAAATAAATATGAAATTTGTCAGTAATTTTTGTAATGGTTGACATATATCTAAAAATTAGATGGGATCATGAAGGATGAAACAGCTAACATATTACACTTCCATTGTCTTGTCGATAAGAATAATCATTCTTTATAATAATTAATTTAAAATGTATTTTTATAATATATTTTAATTAGTAGATAATATAATATTTTTATATTACTATTACACCAAATTAAACTTTTAAATAAATAATATTCACATAAAAAACGTAAAAGCAAAAAATCGTTATCAAATTAAAGTTAAATTGAATACTTCAAAGCACAAATATGAATTGTTCACAGTTTAATTTTATCAAACGGTCTAATTTAAGTTAACATTGAAGTATTAACTTGTCCCAGCAATTCACCACATGAAACACGTGGCGAAGCCCGATGAATTATAAGGTGTTAACCAGCGTTAACCCAGTTTATTTGAGCTAAGTCAAAAATTTTAGTTTGATTTAGATTAATTTACATATAAAATTTAAGTGAATTATTCATCAATTAAAATTGAAAATTTATATAAAATAATCTGTAATATTATTGAATACAAATATTTTATTAAAATAAAATTTAATTTTAATTGATAAACAATACTTAAAATATAACGTAAATTTTATCCTTAATTTAATTGAAACATAAAATTTTATGTCAAGCGCAGTATATAGTGAGTTGAAGATCAAACGGACACTGTAGATTTACTTTTTTTCTTCAAATACTTCTAAATCACATTATATGTATATAACATTATTATCATGGTAATTCAATAATTGGTCTATTAATATTAGGTATAAACTTGAATATTTATATTATTTAATATTTTTTTATATAAAATATTAAATTTCTTAATAATTAACTTAAAATCTTAATCGAGTAAATCCATTTTATAAACTTTAATAAAAAAATTACTAAATATTATATTATATTATTTTATTTTCATATGTAATATATTATTAAAATATAAATAAATATTAAGTAACATACTTACATACGTCCAAATTATTTAAAATTATGATAATAATAAATTTTAAATTTTATAAAAAAAATATAAAATAATATAAGTATTTAAGTTTCACTTAAAAAATTTTAATTCATCAAAAGCATACTAAAAGATTAGGTTAGACGTGTATGCCAATTCGAAGCAACACAAATTTAGAGAAGAAAAGAAAAAAACTAATGTAAATAAAATTAATTAATTAATTTTAAAAAATTTAAGTAACTCAGATTTGTGAACAAAAAACTGACATAAAAAAATAAAATTTATAAGGAACCATTTTAAGAGTATAAACAACTCTCTCTCTCTTTAATGTATAGAAATCAATTTAAGAATAACCAAAATATTTAGTTATAAATTATATGCTAAATAGTTATGAGTATACATGCATTAGAAAATATAATAATCTAACCTTTAAAATAATTTTTATTTTTTATATAGCAGTAAATAAACAAATAAATGAAGAATTTAAGATGTCTTATCTTAATTATAAACATGGTTAAATTATTTTTATAAAATTTAAGTAATTTTATTTTAGTTAGTTTTTGGAAGTGTTCAATCCTTATTTGCTAATAAAGTACACAGGTTTACCATCTAAAATCGAGCTCTTCCACGATATTACAAGTGTTCACCTTATTACAATTTTGTTATGACACCACTGCTGAATAATATGTTAAATGTTATTGAGTGTAAATCGATAAATAAAAATGCAATGAGGTGGATTGAAATTAAACTCAATCAATAGTCTAGTTTTCATGTGAGTTTGCAACACAATGAATGATGTCCAAAATAAAAATCACAATCATTAAATACTTCAAATAAGAAAAGATATGAGCTTAAAAAAAGAAATAAAATTAGGATTTTGACCCTTTTTTTTTTTTTTTTTCATTTACTCGACCTCGTCTTTTTTTTTTTTTCCTTTCCAAACTCGATCCATTTTAACATTCTCATCAATTCAAACTAAATGATTATTGGGCTGTGGCATCTGGCCCGTTTTCTTATTTTATAAATCAACATAAAAAAACAATCAATAATTATATTTCTCCAGCCACCACACGGTCCACGGTCCCGCTCAGAATCAGTCCTTGATGCTTCAAGGAACCAAATCTTGCATACAGACGAACAAGGTTGCTATACGCATAACATAATTGTATTTATTAAAACTTATAAATTTAAAATTATGTGTTAAGTTAAAAACAATCTCCTATCACCGCATTCAAATAATCAGTGGTATCATTACTTTTTACTGATTTAATGAACTAATTATTATTGTTTATAAAAAATAGTAATAATAAAGTTGCATTGGGTTGGATTACAATTAAACTCAGTCAACTTGCTAAGTTTCATGGAAATTTGGAAGATAATTAATGATACAAAATAAAAATCATAATCATTAAATATTTCAAATAAGAAAAGACATGAGCTTTAAAGAAAGAAAGAAAAAATATAAATTAATTATAAACAGAGATTTGATTTAAATCTTTATAAACAGACATTTGTCTATAATCTTTTTATACATTTCAAATCTTGTATTCAAATTTATACACCCAATAACCGGACAATGTTGTTCAGCTGTTAAATCACTCCCCTAACATAACCCGTCGACAAAATCCAACTTGAAGGTAATAAAATCTAGTAACTCTGATATCTTTTTGCAACAGTGTGACTAGAAGGAATAAACTTGCATAGCTATGACAAAGAACCTTAACAACCCAAATCATAAGCTTCAAGAACTCCCAGATGAAGGCCAGAAAGAATGTTGAAGATATGTGTGAGACAAAATCAGGGGTAAAAGAATCATGGGGGGTGACATTTTGGATTGCAGCTACATCTTCTCTCAAACCAAAATTACCCACTCTTTACATTTTAGAGACAAGAGAGTAGGAACTTGCAAGAACATTAACCAAATTCGTCATTTGATGCAAGTTATGAAAGGGAATCTTGTTCAACATGGCAAAGCTCCTTCCTAAGTTTATGCGAGAAAAGCCTACAAGCATCCATGCTAAGATCAATAGCAGCAGAGAGAGCAATGAAGAGAGCAGCATCAGCCATGCACGTGACATGGTGTGCACCAACTTGTACAAGAGGTTTGCTAACTTTGCCTTCACCGTCCACAGTTGAACCCATCACAAACCCTTCCCCGGGTAACCTTGAACCCAATCCAGCATCCTTCATCACCTTGTAATCAATGCAGAATTGGCCACCCTTTTTGACACTCATTGTGCCTTCAGCAATGGGAATTCCATTGACGGGTCCATTGTCAGACAAAAGCTCAACTTTGTAGCCCAAGCCATCAACAGGACCTCTTTCTCGCCATGCCTCAAGACGACTCCATGGCTTCCAGCTACTCACAGAGGCCCCATTGGGCCGCAGAATGAGCCATGCACCTGGGTTTGATCTTGACACACGGTTTGAGCCAGGGGAAGGCACAAATGGTGTCACCATAGAGGCTGCAGCTACTGGTGAGCCTGAGAGATCGTGAATCATTATCATCCAACCCTTTCTGTCCCTCCCTTGACGTTCTTTATCACTTGTGGAAGATCTTCCCCATCCACTAGGATTGTTTGTAAAATCTGATGGAAGAGACCTGAATCATCAACAAGAGATATTATTTACTTGACTTAGAAATGCAAGTAATACACTGTTAATCTAACAAGTTACACTCATAATTTCATCATTTTTAATAAACTATAATCAATAATAAAAAATATATGGGAAAAAAGTATTTTAATAACGTTATTAAATTGATATGCATGATTATTTGTTAAATAAATGCAACAAACATAAGGCAACTGTCAAACAGTGATAAGATAATTAAATGGTACTGTGTGACTGCTGCTTTATATATGTCACATGGGATGGAATCCTAGGTAGTATATGTTTTTGGATCTTGGAAGATCTCGACTTGTCTGTTTGACCCAACATGGCATGCAGTTAATAGAGGCTCTATTATTAATTTTTCAGCTGTTTCACCGATTTGTTGGACATGAGTTGCTGTCTAATTGCCCTAGGATGTTGGCTTTCATTTGAAGCGCAAAAGGAAAAGAGAAGGACCAAAAGTTTCAGCATTAGGCAAAAGGGGAAAACTGAAAAATTAAATTTGAGTGACGGATTCTTGAATTGCAAGAAAACAGTTAAGCAGCTAATTACGGAGAAAAAAGCTATTAGAGTTTGATTAAAATCATGAGATATCGATGTTTCAGATGGAGGAGGCAGTTAGTCTTCACTAAATCGTCTCAATTAAGATTGTCTTTTTTCGTAATGCATAAGTTAATAATCATACTCCCTGTTTTACGGTTATAAGATTATGGTATATAGTTTAAGAAAAATAATTAACGCTGTCATTTATATTAAAATTATTTATAATTGTAACGATTAATGAATTGAAATTTTTTAATTAAAAATTATGAAAGTAAATACAATATTATAATTTTTTGATAAAAAATTACTTTTAATTTTTGAACCAATAAACACCCATTAACATTTTTTAGTTTTAAATACATTATTCATCTTTCTCATTTATTATTTTAATATTTCACACATTACTATTTTTATAAAATTTAAATTTAAATAATTAACGTAATATAAGAATTTTAAAATGAAAGATACATATAAAAAAAAATTTGTCTCTAAAAGTAAAAGATAAAAGAATAGAAAAAATAAAATAGAAAAAAAAGTTTAAAACGGATGAGTTTATCTTTTAAAAAAGTTTATTATAAAATAAAAAGGGTTCAGAGACATCATAATTGGGGCAATGAAAGCATGAAAATTCTGAAACTGGTACAGTACCGTGGGAGGTAAAAGGTTATCTTATCTGAACGTGTAACGTCGATGACTGTTTCCAAAACTAGAATTTTCATCCAGGCATTGGAAAACGACAGATGAAAATGAAAATTTGGTGGCGCCACTGTCATTTTTCACGCTTCTTTCAACAGAAAAAGAAAGAAACAACAGTAGCCAATGATATCCACCAACAAGGAAAGGAACATGAAAATGAATTCCGTTGAATAAGCCCAGACCCAACCAAGCACCTCACATGACATGCCTAAACCTCACCTTAATCCATAATTATTCACACTTCACACCACTCTAAAATTTTATTAAATTCATTTCAATTTTTCCTTATTAAAAAAAAACACTAAAATGTAATGCACTGGCTTTGACACACCCGCGGCTCACATTAGCTGATGGAGTGATGAAAAACTAAAATGCACGTTAATAAAAGAAAAACAGGGTACCGAGTCACTCACCGGGATCTGTAATTGCGATCGGCGCTGAACTTGCAACTGAAAACGGGTTGTCTGATATTCCCCTGAATCTGGAAAACCACGGGGCTGCATTCCGGTTCACCGCCGAACTGAAAGACGAACCGTGGGTCGGGTTCAGACCGGACCACAAGGTGAAGCTGAGCCGAGGGCTTGTTATCCGGTTCACCCAGCTTGACCCACCCATTGTGGAAGGTGTTGGAGCGAGAGAGGGCAGTGGGCAAGTGAATGGTGAGGAGAACCCGGCCCAATAGCTTGGCGCCACGAACGCCACAAGTGCGGCCCATTGGGCCGTTGAAGACAGAAAGTGCGAGGGTAAGGGGTTTGCCGGAGAGACGGCGGAGGGCGGCGGGGTCGAGGTGGAAGGCAGGGGCGGAGGTGGTGGTGTCGGGGGCGGAGGAGGAGGAAGAGAGAGGGAGGAGGGCGGTGTGCGAGGGAAAGGTGTTGATCCGAATTTTGCAGAAGCAGGGGGTGGTTGAGGGGTGGACGCCGGAGAGTGGTGGTGGTTTGGTTGGGGAGGGAAGCTTGAGAGCGAGGGATTCAACGATGAGGCGCACGAAGGGACATGGATCCATGATGGGAATTGGGAATGAGTTAGAGAGAGTAGTGGAAGTTCAGCTTCCCAAACATTAACATCTATGTATCTACCTTTGTCAACTACAAATGGTGTCGGCTTGGGGGTTAAAAGCACTTTCTCTATACTTTTTTATTTTTATTTCGTTTTTGGCTGTTTTCGCGGGAAAATGACTCGAGAAGAATACGAGGATTGATGCATGGTTGGTTGTGGGAATCTGATAATAATTTATATTAATGCATGCGTTCATATGCCACCGTAGATGCAGTAGCCTCTTCTCACTGTTATAAAACGGCTTTTCAATTCTATGCACTAAATACGAAATTAATATAAATTATAATATTTAATAAATGAATTTTAAAAAAGCAATTATAAAATTGTCTGTTTTGTTAGTAGAAAATCTAAAATAATTTTGAATATTGAAAATTTATTAAAAAAATTGTATCATTTTGAATTATTTAAAATTAATTCTAAAAGTGGACAATGAGATTTTCTTAAAATTGTTGTCTTCACCTATTTTCATTTTGGGTAACTTCGGGGTGGAGAGAGAAGCTATTCCTATTCCAACCATTTATTCGCTGATTTTCATTTTAAATAAAATATTTATTTGACCATTGTCAACCTAAATTTCTCTGGTGTCATTCCGTTAGTAAGAGGCCAACCTTTCATATTTAGCTTATTATTATCTATCGTTAATTTGCTGTCACCTATGAATGAATTACTTTTTATTTTTTAAATCCAAAATCATTTATTAGGCCATTTTTTTATATGGTTTTTATTTTTTAAAATACAAAAAATATGAACTTTTTTGCAAAATTACGAGAATATAGAATTTAAAAATTGCCATTGACGATTATTACAATGTTGAATTTATATACTCCGTAATTACCGTATTCTTAAAATGAATAAAAATAAAATATGTTTAATCGTGAGATATTCTTACTTTTATATATGTTGAGAAAAGCTTTTTATTCTCTCTCTTTTAGTAAGTTAGATAATTTGACATCTTAAAAAAAATGAAGAAAATATTAAAAGAATATAATACGAAAGAATCATATTTTTTTTTTATAATTTATGACATTCTTTGTTTCATATCTGGCTAGATATGAAGATCGTATGAGGGGCAGCACAGGCTGGATCAATCATTTGCGAAATCTCACCTGTGATTCTTTATTATAAATAAAACTGCGATATACAGAGAGTTGGCGCAGCATATTAAACAACCAACATTGAGAAACACCAACTGGCAAAGTTTTATATATCTTTATTATTTAATTTTAGTCAGGAGAGGGTACAAGAAAATGACTCCAAATTAAAACATACATATTTTTAATCAGATTTTTATAAAACAAAAGTACACTCAAAGATTAACAAAGACCATGAGTAGTTTGTTGAAGTAATACCCATTTAATTATCTTTAAGTAATGTTTAGTTTCATTGCTTAAACCGTGATGAATCTCATTAGGAAACTAGTGGCTCAAATTGGTTTGAAATTTTGGTGAATGAAACACAAAGTGAAAAGCAGGGTTTCCATCATTCCTTGCGTTGAGAAATGACAACGGGATGACACCCTCAACCAAGCTGTTCTGACCCCACCTCGCCCAACTCTCCTGCATTCATCACTTCCTTCTATTTTTTCTTACCACAAACCATTAATCCAGATGCTGTATCTTATTTTGTATTCAATTAGTTTAAAATAAATAGCTGGGAACCTACTTTACTTCTTTTTTTAACGATTTTTTTTATATTTAAAACTTAATTACTAACTAGTTAGTATAGTTCAAAGCAAAGCTGGTCTTTATTATTTTAATTGGTTTATTCTTGTTTTGGAAAATTAATTCATTAAAAAAATCCTTATTATGTAGGCAAATATGATACAAAATAACATTTAAAATAAGTCCCAACTTACTCTCTTTTGAGCTCCTTTTATTTTTTGTAATATGTTTTAAAAAATAAGAACAATAATAATGTCAAATTAGTCATAAGCTAATGAATTTATAATTATAAAAAAATAATAATGCATAAGAGAAACAATCAACAAATGTCGTAAATATATACTTATTTAAGTAGATAATACGATACATGCTTAACAAAGGATCTCGTGGGCTAAGTGTAATCTAGCTAGTATACTTTTATAAATATTCTTATAGGTAGTGGGGGATGTTGTTATAGGTAGTGTTGAAAAAAATGGATAGGTCTAAAAAGTCGACAGTCATTTAATAAAATGTAGGTATTTAGCTTTAATTTTTTTTAATTTAAATTAAATTTAAATTTTTTAATTCGATACAATGAAATTTAACATAAACATGCTAAAAAAACTTAAAAGAACTTAGCTTTACCTAAGCCTGAACACAATTTTGTGAGCTCTAATCAATTTTATTTATTGTCCACTCAACTCATTAAAGTCTAACTCCTACAACAAACCAGATAGAGACTGTTTTTGTCAACTCTGGTCGTAATAAGTATTTTGTTTCGCAATTGAAAATTCCATTTGTCTTTGTTAAGATCTCCCTATATATATATATATATATATATATATATATATATATATATATGTTTTGGTTGAGCTTCCAATGGTCGAGGGTACTTGATTGCCTGCTTGGAAGAATCCATGAAGAAAATGCATGGAGAGATTTTGGAGACACAATGTAGTTCAATGGCTTTCAAAGCTAATATGAAATCAAAATTGCAAAAAATAGATTCCGAGGAAGCGGTAATGAAGAACGTGGATTTATTCCTACTCATGAACATGCGACCTACATCCTTCACTCGTCATTGACAGTGTTCTCATAGAATCTTGAGACGTTATCTTGAGCAATAAGAGGATACAAGTGACATTCAAGCTAACAAGGGTCGAAGAGAAAAACTAAGGGCTCAAGGGTCTAGGTTGAAATAACCTTATAGGTAAACCACGTTAGCTAATCGACTCAATTTTAATCTAGCAAGTTATTTTGGAGGACCTTCCAACTGCTTAAATGCATTGAACCAGTTGCGTACAAATTAACCCTACCCACAATCTGTCGATTGAGTTCACCCAATTTTTGCATGGTAGTATGCTCAAGCCTTACGTTGGATCGTCTCCCTCCCAACGTATGACATTTACAACACCAGAGTTCATGATTTCATCATTGAGGGCATCTTAGTTACTATGATACAAACATGAAAAGCAGCTCAAGTGACAAAATACCATGTTGATCAGGATACACAACACCAACACGAAGCCTCTTGGGAAGACACTAATGTGCTTCGCCAATTGTTACCCTAACTACAACTTCTTGCACCATCTTAGCCTTGAGGATAAGAGTATTTCGTAGCAAGGAGCAGCGATACGTGCTGAACAAAGGCTCTCATGGGCCAAGTGTATGATTATGCTTGTTATGCATGAAAAATGAGAGCGTTATATGAGCGCTCTACTAGTGTGTAACTGTTTTATCTCTAATGCAATTGAGGAGTACTCCATTTGACTATGTTTTTTATTTTTTATTTTTTATGATTTGCATTAAGTTACATCAATTTATTAATACCATTATTTTATTCTCTGCTTTATCACTTAAACTCGTTATTGTCGATTTAAATACGAAAGACATTAAACAGTTAAATGTTGTAAAATTGTCTTACATGGTTTTTTTTTAAGTTTAAAAGTCGTATTTAAGGAGCTATAATAAATTGTAAATAAATAAACAAACAAATTAAAAACACTTGTTACTTAACCATAGTCAGTAATAATTATAAAAAATAAAAAAGTATAGATCAGCTTCTTCAAGCAAAACAACTTATTACCTTTCATTAATTAGTAATCAAACGTAGATTGTAGCAATGCGTGTAACTGTAATGTATCGGGTATAGTATGCATTAATTAGATGCGACAATCAATTGAGTGTTTAAGTGGATAGGTAATTGAATTAAAATTTTCCAAACGAAAAGAATAAATGATTATGATTTGCATTCAAATCATTATAGTGTTAACAAAGCTCCCAGGTCCCAATCCAATTCTTTTTATGAGGTACCCAATACAATTAGTCCACAAGACCATTACCTAAAGCATGTCAATTATATGAGTAATTTAACTTCTTCCCTTTTTTTTTTCCACTTCACTTTTGCACTTTTTTTCTGCCTTTGTCTCTTTCATGGATCCCAATTGAAGGCGACCCAACGAAGCTCTTTTGCAAACTTGGGGGGGCCTATGCCACTCTGCATAAATCATAAGAGCATGGAAGCAAGCGTGTTGGTGCGCCATCCCTGTGGCTATGGGTAGTTTTTGCCGACCCCCTTTTTTTTTTTCTTTTTTCTTTTTTCAGTGCTTTAGTGTTTGTTGCCTTTGTACGCTACCAAAAATATGATCCCTTCATGCACAGCCACCCAACACAATTTCATTATTTCAATTCAAACTGAGTCCACCGTCCAGGTCACACTTGGGTGTAGTTCCTTTTCCGGCTTTATGATCAATCTGTCCTCGTAAGGCAGTGAAATCGTTTTTCTTTTTCTTGTCTTTTTTATTTCGTTTATATATGACTTCTTAATTTTTTTTTAATTAATTAAGTTCTATTGTGTGTGTACCTGCATTAAATTATACTATTAAAAAGAAAAAACATACATATTAATAAACTGTGTTTAATTGAGTATTATACTCCATATGATATATGGAGGAAAAGTACAATCAAATTAATGTTTTATGAAGATATATAAAGTATCTTATATCCCTTCTTAAAATTTACCAACGATATAAAATCACTAATATTCATGAAAACGGTCATGATATATTAGTGTTGAGGTATCAATGCAATGCGGAAGATTGGATCGAATTTAATTGGAAATAAAGAGAAGGAAGAGAATAATGGAGACAAAATTTTAATGTGAAAAAACTCCAAATCGAAGAAAAAACTCACGGACAACGATGACCAAAATAATTTTACTATGTAAAAGGGAGAGTACAAGAAGTCCTCTAAAATTATGAGGATAAAGAGTAATAAATCTCTCTATTTTTTTTTCTTAATAAATACTCTCTCAAAATGGAATAAGAGTTACAAAATAACACTCACAATTTTCTCTCAGTAATTTTTTTCTCACTGATCCGTCAACATGTGCCTCACTTCCTTCGTTAATTCGTTGCCTTTTATAGACAAAAAAACTAGTACAGTGATTTGTTAATTTTTTAATGTTACTATAGCATTTTGACAAATCTAGAAGACAGTACCAACTGAATTTGAAAACTAAGACACAAAAAAATACAGTGCCTATAAATTTTGACTAATACAATCCAATTTTGACTAACAATTAGAATGTGTGTTCAGAAGGAGAAAAAAAAAATATGTGGGTTAAATTTAGGATGGACTTGTAAAGTCAGGACCGTGAAAGATCAAGTTTATATGTGACCTATTGTGATAGGTAAAGTTATTTTTTTAATTATATTTTAGTTCCTCTTTTTTTATTTATAGGCATTAATATTGTGAAAAATCGTCATATGGTCCTTAATACAATAGGCGCTTGAATGTTGACCGTATGGAACTTCTGTTAATATAATTTATTTTTAAACTTTTAATTTATCTTTAATTATAAATTTAATTTTTGAATTTAAGTGCCTTTCTGCATTTTATTTTTAAAATTTTGACGAAGTTATTTGCTTTTACTATGTTAATTTAACAAAATGATGTCCTTTTAAAATCAAATGATTAGAATGGTTCTTGATAACTTATTGTTAAATTCTTCAAAGTAGAAGTAAAATTAGGTAAATAAATAAATATTTTTAAATGTATTTAAAAGTTATTAGTTTGTGTCAGTAAAATAATATAAAAGCTACCATATTTTGATTAAAAATATTCACAAAAAAATGTTAAATTATAATATAAATAATATATTTAAATAAGAATGAAAAGCAAAATTTTCCTACCAGTTTTTCCTATGATATTTTGGCCGCTATACAACTCTAAATATGATTCGCAGCAAGAAATGGTTGCTTAAACTGAAAAGTAATATATGCAATGTTACATGATTTCTACTTCTCTGAATACTGGTTAGCAACTATCTTTGTGTATTATGGTACTTATTAGTACTTGCAATACAATAAACAGGCTTTAAATTAATCCATAATAGCAATTTCAGTGATAAAATAGTGCTGAAACTTTGGAAAGTTCTCCAAAAACAAGGGCTTTGTTTGGTTGGCATAGGATGCAGCGGTAAACTAGAAGCATCAAGCATGCATACATTTCCATAGATGAAGGAATGATGTAGTTGGTGGCCAGACAGGCTATTTGTGTTGTAATTTTTGCACTTTCACCTTTGCTTCAACCGTTCAATATTCATGTGTGGGTCCAAATCGAACACAACACTTCTCCCATGGCCCCATTGTTGTTTTACTTTGCATGCTATTGATTCATTATTTCCTTTAATTAATGATCTTTCACTCGCACTGAATCCATTGCAAGGACAAATACCAACCATTATATGGTTAACTATGATTAGCATTCTTAATTATATTAGGTGCAGGTGACAGTGCATATATCATGACTTAATCAAGACGTTTTCGTATCCGAAGCTTGACAACTGCTATTGGAATTGGACTGGATATACCTTTTCCCAATTCACAATTCCAATTTCCAAATATTAATAAATTATTTTCCACACACAAATCGTGTTTCTTCATGAAATAACATCATGTTTCTAACATCCTTTTTTCCCCCTCTTTGATAAAAAGAAAAGGTTTGAATGAAAATTTTTAATATATATATAAATGGCTAGGACAGTTTTCCTTCTTGACAATAGTTGTTGTGTTGATGGAATAAAGCTTTAAGAATATGACTAAAACTAAAGAATATTTATTTTCATAATCCTTCTCACAACACCTTTTACATAAAGAAAAAAAAAAGGTGAGATAAAATGAAGGATGTTATATAAAAAAGTAAAATTATATAAAAAGTTTGTGAAATTAATATTATTCATAAATAAAAATAATGAGAACAGAGATGGAAAAGAGAAAGTCACCTTACGCTGAAAATTTTACAATTGAAATAATTCTGCATAGCACTATAAAGACTTTGTTGCTTTATGGGGGGAACGGGTGTCTCTTACTATTATCGTGTTAGTTTTATGCTGATTGGGTTAAAGCTATGGAAAGAGTAACATTTGATTTTTAATAAAATATAAATATTATATGGTTTTTAATTTGGTTATACATTGAGTTTGATTCATCGAATTATATAAAGGTAACTCGAAACTTGATTCAAACTTAATCAAATGTTAAAATTTAATCATCCAACTTGTTAATTTTAGTTCGAGTCGGATTGGGTTAGTCAAAATTGATAAGTATGTTTTATGAATTTTTACATTAAATTAATTTAATATTTTTTTATTTAATTTAAAAAAGTGTTTATGAATCTTATATAAGTAATTTACATCAGTAAACAAGAATGATATTTTAGATAAAATTGTATTAAAAAAATATAACACGTTAATAATAGTCACTCTTATACAATTACAGAAATGTTTTATATCTTTTAACTATTTTAATCAATAATCAATTGTTTTAGTTAACATTAAAGATAAAGAGATGTTGTAAAATGTCATTAAAATAATATTATATTAGTTAAACCAGCATTTTAAAGTTTAAAAAAAAGTAAATTCTATATTTTTATGTTATAATTCTCAGGTTTTATCATTAATAAAATAATAAATATTAATTTTATATGTGTATATTCATTTATAAATGCACGTACAAGAATGAGAAATATTTGCTAGTTTCTCGTCAAGTACAGTATTTAATCACAGTAAAGCAATTAAAAAGATTTACGAAAAGACTTTCCACTACCCAAGTGAACAATTTGAATCGCTTGTTAGCTGTTTCGCTTTTGTGATCATTCTATGTCCTAAGGTTTATTGTGAGTAGGAGTATAGGTGAGTAATTTTCGTGTAATGAAAATTTTAGAGTGAGGATTCTCAAAATTATCCATTACTATCATTTTTATCTTGAAAAGAAAAATAAATATTCTGTTTCTTTTTGGTCAAGTATTACATTTCTTGTTTTTTAAGTTTTGTAAAGAAATGGGTACTTTGGTAAGGTAAAGAAATTGGTGGAATCTTTAATTTGGAAGTAGATGAGGTTCATATGCAGAAGACCAAGAAAGCCCAACCTGGCCTGAAGAATTGAATGGAACTTTGAAACGACCCACATAAAATTGGGCCACTTACGGGCTTTGAGGGGCACGTGCAAGGAGGGTGTGGGGAAAGGAACGGAAGCTTCTGGGTCTGAGAGAGGCGATTTCACAAGGGAGATCTCAATTCTGAACCGGAATTAGGGCTTTGTTTTCATTATCTTCACTCTGCAATGTCTTCTCCCGCTGAGTAATTCTCTTGATCCTTCATTCTTTTTTAAAATCGCTAGCCAAATAAAATATAACGTTGATGAATCTCTTTCATTATTATTACATCAGTAATTTGAGCAATCGAATTTTTGCTGTCAAATTATAATCAATTTCTGGTTTGTCCTCAAGCTATTTCGTTTTTTTTTTTAAAAAAAAAAGTTAATGAAGATTATTGTGTATAAGTGTTTTCTCTTTTTCAAAACCTTATTTTCGCGCTTTCCAGCTTCAGCAGTAATCGAAGTAATCAACTAACCATGTTACTTTCATTAATCTACTTGGGTTAAGTGTGAATTTTTGTCGGAGAGTTTTATAATTGTTTCAATCACTTTGTCTAATGCTTCAGTTTAAAATTTGCATGCTTTCAGGTTTTATCACTCTCTTCCGCCTATAACCAAGGCTTATGGCACCATTTGCTTGTTGACTACCGCTACTTATCATCTGGGTTTATGCCCTCCTGTTCTCATTGCACTGTTATACGAACAAGTGTTCTATCGTTTTCAGGTGAAAATTCCTTAAGATCGTTGGTATCAGTATCATAGAAAGGGGAATATGCTGTTAATGCTTTTACAAAGAACTGCATTCATTCTAAAACTTCCTTTTTGAATCCCTATCTGCCTTTTATTTGTTATTAGCTAAATTAAAAGAAACATCATAGAGACACACTTTGTTTTAACCCCTCCCATTGTTATTTTGACCGAGATCAATGACATCTAATGATAAACGTAACCGTCTCACCTATTGTACGTTTCTTTGTATATGCATATTATTTGCTGCATAAAATGCTCTCATGATTGTTTGGGGTCTATAGAGATGCTCTGCCTCTTTATAGTCTGTTGTAGAAAATTTCTATCTAATGAATAGCCTCCCCAAGATAGTCATGGCTACATTTTCTGATACATGTGGTGAAAGAGGTGAGGCACTGTGGGTGCAGGTCATTACACTGCTCCATTAAATAGCAAGAGTTTGATCCTTTAGAAACCCACAGGCTGCTGTTGATGTCAGTTGCTTTGCTGTGGAAACTTTTGGCTAATAAGTAGCCAATTGGAGTTTTACTGCCTAAGTCTATGATTTTCAGCTTAGCTTGCTAATGACAACCTTGTGTAATAATTTTTGTGTCTTCCTTTGGTCAAACATGTTAGCAAAATTTTTTTTCATATCACATCGTCTGTAGGTTTGGAGGCTGTTCACGAACTTCTTTTTCCTTGGACCATTCTCTATCAATTTTGGGATCCGTCTCTTAATGATGTAAGTAATTCAAAGATAGTGTTTACAACAACAATTTCCACTTTTCAGTACAAGCAGTTTATGTAAAGCTAAGAAAAGCTATCTTTTACTTCATATGAATTAATTCCCATACTCTACAGAGCAAGGTATGGTGTCCAACTTGAGCAGGGACCATTTGACCGACGAACTGCTGATTTCTTGTGGATGATGATATTTGGTGCCTTTTCACTGTTGGTATGCAAAATCATCTACGTATCTTTCTCATCTTTTGGTTATTTATGTGACATCTTTACTTCAAAATGGTGGCAGTTTTACTTTGTGGAATCTATTCTGGTGGCTCTGGTTTATGGAACTGGAGAAGAATATGGCAAAGCTTTTTTCTTTGGATAAAAGAGAAAATGGAAAACTTTACTTCATCTAATTTTTTTATTTTTTTTTTCTGTTTTCCTGATTTAGCCATTCTGCTTATTGAAGTTATGCTCCATGTGTCTTTAAGAATACTAGCTTATGATCACAGAAAATATTTTGTGATAAAATTATGCTTGATTTCTTTTCTGTGATTGATTTATGTAAAGTTAGTAGAAAAAATTTAGAGCAGTGGTTAATAGATGAATAGACTATATAAACTTTGAATGATGAGACAAGTGAGTAATAAATATGATTTTTTGTCAGAAATGGTCAATGGTAAGTGAAAGATGGTTAGAGTCTCCAAATTGATATGAAGTGTTTGATGGTTGGAGAATCTGTAGGAGACTGAGGCGGATGAATGGTGGTTAGGTAGGGTATGAAGTGTCAATGAAGGCCTGAATGTTATACACAAAACAACTTGGTTCAGTGGATAAAAACATTAGGGAAGTTTGGAAAAGATTTTTAGGAAAAGTTAATTTTAGTGAGACTATGTTCTGATTATAAATTGATGTGTAACTGTTGTTAAAATTGCACAAACTCCATCTCCCTCTCGTAATTTCTTTCTCTGTAATTTCATTTCTAACTTGGCGTCCTTATGTCAGTTTCTTTCTTTGCAATGTCATCTCTTTGATTCTAGGTTTTGTCTGCTATCCCCATATTTTGGTCCCCATTTTTGGCAGTACCACTTGTTTTTATGCTCCTTTATGTTTGGAGTAGAGAGTTTCCAAATGCCCAAATCAACATATATGGACTTGTTGCACTTAAGGTATATTTCAATTTTGTGTAAGTTAGCCTTGTTTGTTTCTATGCATCCATTACACGTGCTCTATGAGGCATATCTTTCACTGTCTGATAGGAACCACATATTTTAATTTATTTTTCAGGCCTTCTATCTTCCATGGGCGATGCTTGCTTTGGATGTCATTTTTGGCTCACCTCTTATACCTGATCTCTTAGGTATCATTGCAGGACATCTGTACTACTTCTTGACAGTGTTACATCCACTAGCAGGTGGAAAAAACATTTTGAAGACTCCAATGTGGGTGTATCCTTTCCGCCTTCTGTTAGTGTGTTATGCATATGCTTCTGTCGTTTTAAGCATTTTCATGATTTACTCACATAGAGCTTTATTATTATTATTTTTATTTTTATTTTTTACGGGGGGGCGGGGTTGTACTGTTTTGAAGCTGAACCCATCATAAGAAACCTTATCCTCCCTCCTGACCTATCTAAGCTGCTCATCTTCGAGCTCTTCCTTCCAAACATACCCATTGTTTAATCTTTGCAGGCATCGCAGTGGCAGACCATGTTCTTATTGTTTAGTCAACGATTTCTAACTCCCTAGAGCACGAAATTTGGCCAAAAGCTTGAAGCTAGTTCTGTTGTTTTCTTAACTGTTATTTTCCAGACATAAATTGGTTGCAAGGTGGAGAATTGGAGCGCGACCGATTACCCGTGGGCAGCCTACTAATGACCCACAGCAAGAGAGGGGCTCGGGAGTTGCTTTCAGGGGAAGATCCTATCGAATTAGTGGATAGATGTAATAAGGGGCTTGAGTTTACCTGATCATCTTCCCTTATTGGTTGGTGACATGACACCACTGACAAATAGGCTAAAATCAGTTGAGAATTAGAATGGGAACAGTGTATGAAATTTGACGGTTCATTGAAAAGCAAACTTTCTTTTGAGGGCGCCTTACAATTTTCAATGGTTTCTCTGAGGAGCTTTTACTTGTAAGAAAAAAAGAGTTGGTAAAAGTTTATGAATTAATTGTCAAATGTTCATTCTAAATTCATTTCTTTGCCTCACCTTCCAGAGTATGAAAGCTAGGCCCCACTATTTTCACCTCCAATTCTAATTACTCGTTCCGAGAATCTAGTCCTTGTGCAAATAAATGGAGCTTAGTTTGATCAGATAGCACGTAGCCACGTACTGATAAAATATTAACTGGGATTTTATCTTGCTTCTGTTTTGCATTTGATTTAAATATAATAGAATTTACGCACACAAACACACTCAAAAAGATACAGCTAGATCTAAATTTGTCAGATGTAAGAAGTTCGGTTCGTATAAGGGAGTTGTCATTGTAGTGTGTTTTTTCGGTCACCGTCCTTGCTATATGGTGGATTACTTTAGAGGATGCATTTTTTATAAAGTTTGGGTCGGTGAGTCACTTTCTGTGATTAAGGGCCACAACTCTGGAGTTCTAACAGGACGATGCGTGACAGGTTGTTATTAGCTTGGCTTTAGGTAAGCTCTCACGCTCTTTTCTTTCCTTTCCCTTTTTTTTTTTTCGTCAATAACCTCTTTGTATATGTTTGAAAACGCATTAAAAATTTAAATATGAATTCAACATAAAAGTTAAACAAAGAGCGTTGAATAAAAGTAAATCCATTCCTAGTAGAATAAATGTAAATTCATAAGCATCTAAACGTAAATGTAAATCTAAACATGAATTTTGATTTTGATTTTGATTTTTTAATATGATCAATGTTTTGGATTTTGACCCACCCAGCTTGTGACTAACTAATCATTGGGCCGACTAGAGTCATGAAACTAAATACATTTTTATAATTATTTGCATTGATATAAAATAGTTTTATTAGGCATAATATATTAGTTTAAATCTAAAAATTTATATATATTTTTTTAAATGTTTAACTGATGTCCAGACCAAAGGAATAATGTGAGATTTACTTAGAACCGGAACATAGAATCTAGATCCTCTTATTTTATAACGGGAATTGGACCAATCAATATATTTTTAATGCAGTGAATTTAGATTCACTTAAACAAATAATGTATAAAAAGAAAATACTTTAGTCTGAATTTAACATCAACTTATACATGCAACTTGAGGTGCCTTTCTCTCTCTCACCTTGACGCTTTTCCTTCTCTTCCTTGTCACTTGTTGTGACAATGTGTAATCTTGCATGCATCAATTGAGGTCAGCGTGATGATTTGTTGCAACTTGTTATAGTAATTTCGTTTTTGTGACAATGCAATATGGTTGTAATGTGTGACATTCTAGGCACTAGGAGCGTGTAAAAGTAATGACTCATGCAAAGAGGCATGAACATTCTAATAGGTTTCTAGCAAAAGAGGCGTATGAATGAATTGAATATAATCAGAATAGAAAAAATCTAAAGACTAAATTGTATAGTCATAAGATTATACGTTTAAGAGTAACTAAAATGAAATAATTAATACTATGTATATCAATAAAATGTATTTACTTTTTAATAGTTTATAGTCTATCATTTAAAATCTCTAAAATTAAATGTGCTTAACTTGGAACAATTATAAGATTAGTTCAAAATCTAATCATATAACCTATCACTCATGAAATTTAATGCGTTAAAATTGAACTTTTGTTTTGAGGTCTATAATTAATTTTGGCTTGAACTTTTTAACCTAAAATCTTCTGGTGATTTCCCTCTTCCCGCTTTCCTTAATTAATATTGTATTTTATTGTTCAAAGATTAGTATATTACACATTAGAAAAAGATAGGTATTCAAAAGAATATAAGCATGTATTTTAGTGTGAATACTTTATTTTATAGTAAAATTCATTTAAATAAATTTTACTTAATTATTCGTTAATTTTTAAAATTTATTTAAACAAAAATGGACTATATGGTAGATTTTTTTGTTATAATGGAGAAAGATCAAAATTCCCAGAACATGCATATTTTTTTCAATTGAACCAAAATATGATGATTTAACATTTTTGCCGATTCTACTCATAAGGAGAGGGTGACTCTATTCCGTAACTAGGGTGACTCAATGAATTTGTCTCTGTCAAATTAAAATCTGGCCCTATTTAAAATGTACTCCACACACTTAGGTGTAATATCAGTTACATTTAAAAAATTACATATACGTAAATCTATATTTGCAGAATTTAAATATCCATAATTGGATCTATTTGAGTTAAATAAAAATATTACTTCATATCCAAATTATAAAATATATCAAATAATGTTTAGCTAAATTCAAATCAAATTTGAAATGCAATAAAATAGTTAATTGTACAAGATAATGTACATAAAGTATTTTGAATAACTAAAATAATTTAAATTCAATTTAATAAATTTTTAAAAAATAAATACTTCATAGACTTATATTTTCAACACTCATACTCTCCAAAATCTATATTTAATGATGTTTAAAGTTAAAATAATAAAAAATGTGATATTATAAGTGTGATTTTAATTCAATATGTTTTAAAATGAGTGTGGAGTGAAGTAAAAATTACAATTATATTTGAAAGTTGTGTTTAGAAGAAAAAGAGAGGAGTTAACTCTTGTTTAAGAGTTATTTAATTAGGAAAAGAAGAATTTGTGAGTTTTTCTAAATCTTTCAAACACTTTTTTAATTCTAATTTTTTTGAGTTCTTAAAATAGGTGAGTTTTCTCTTTTTCATTCTTTCATATTTTTTTACTATTAGAATTCTAAATTTATTTTAATGTTAGTTTTTCAATTGAGATTTTAAAAAAAATTATAAAAAATAAAAATATTAATTTTTTAAAAAATATTTTTATTTAAAAAAAAAATAAAAAAAATAAAAGATATAAAATATAATAATATTGTTTATATAATCAAACTCTCTATTATCTTCCCTTTTCAATATTAAGCATGCAATTAAAAGTAGAATTTAACCTCCTTTCCCTTTCTCTCTCCATCTTCTTCCTTTAAACTCTGTTTCTTTTTTATTTCTAAATTCTCAAGCAAAAGTTAAAGAATCTGCACTTATAGTTATTTTTTTTATTGATTTTATAATAATTACTTAAATCGAAACTCTTACTCATTTAATAGATAATTTTCTTATTTAGAATAAATATATATTTTTGAATACCCATTAAAAAATATTTCACTAGAGCTAGTGGTGGAGGATGTTAAGCATAATATTTCACTTTAGTTTGCAAACTATCTGGCAATCGCGAAGTGATCTTTACTTTTCTTTTAAAAAAAAAAACAAGTGTGGATCGCCTTTTGGATTTAGAAAATGCCTCATAATCGAAATTAATATATTAAATATATCAGGATAAAAGTTAACTGAAGGACTTGTAATTTTTTTTCTTGGGTAGAATTGAGTTTAAATATTTTAATTTTTTTTTATTAAAAACATATTTATTATATTAAAATTATAAATATATAGGAAATATTTTTTATTTAATAAAATCTTACCATTATTAATTGTTTAAACTCACTTGAAAGAGTTAAAGTTAACATTTTTTTAATAATTTTTATCAAATTTCTGTTTATCGTAATAACTATTTTATTCCTGTATAAATTTTGAACAAATGTCATATGAAAAAAAAGGGAGACATTAATTTTATTTTGAAATAATAATAATTATTTAGTCCTGCAAAATTATAAACATACAATATTTTAATTCTTTCATCCATTTGAATTAATATTTTTAAGAACTGATTTAAATTACGACTAATTTGCTCATGACCTAGTTGATACTTGATACACAATTAATATTTTAGGAATTAATGCCTCACTAAGAGATCAAAATGACTCAAACTTATAATTTTTTAAAAATAAAAAACTATTTTATTAGAGACCAAATCACCTCCTATATATATTTTTTGGACCAAAGTATGTCCAAATGAAGAATTCCAGCATAATAAAAAAGAAAATCGATGTATCTGGCCGGATGAATAGTACTATAAGTTGAAGCTTGAATTTGAATCCATATATCTTTACATTTATTCAGAATCGGACAAAACATAAACTCTGTAACAATTTATTCTTATTCACTAAATTAATCTACTCAAAATAATATTTTATTAGATAACAATAATAACAATTGAGTCCGTTGATGAACTAACTATCTGTAATCTATTTCGGGAGTGAAAGGAATAGGAATAGGGAAATAGAGATAGTTGGATCCTAAAACGAAGGAGAAGGTGAAAGAGTGGCAGGAATTGAATGGAGGGAAAGGGGTGGTGGAGCGAGCTTCATCTCTCATCCATGATCCCACCCTTATTTAAAACTAAATTTGAAGTTGACAAATGCAAACGCATCACAACACAACACAAGCATCACAAGAAGAAACAAAGAAACACTAAACAAAATGTCGTGGCAAACTTACGTCGATGAACATTTGATGTGCGATATTGATGGCACTGGCCACCACCTCTTCGCTGCAGCCATCATTGGCCATGATGGCTCCGTCTGGGCTCAGAGCTCGTCCTTTCCTCAGGTAATAACCTTTTCTTTCATTCAGTGTATGTTTAGGTTCAATGCAAAAGATAAAACTAGAGTCTCTGAAGTAAACTTAGATTCATAAATATTTTAACGTGAATTTAAATATACTATTAATTATGTGTGTATTTGTTTCTGCGTCAAATCTACTCAAATACCAATCTAACATTACAAGTTATAATTTTTATGTCAAACGTGATTTAACATACTTTTCTTAAGTTTTCAAACATTTGTCATTCATGTATATGCATGGATCACATGACAACTCTCTTATTCATTACTTCCTTTATATGCACAGATTAAGTCTGAAGAGATCACTGATATCATGAAAGATTTCGACGAACCGGGTCATCTTGCTCCTACAGGATTGCATATTGCGGGAACCAAATACATGGTCATCCAGGGAGAGCCAGGAGCTGTCATTCGTGGGAAAAAGGTAACATGCTGTGCCATCTTACACTTATTCTACAGTTTTTATCATCTTCTGGGATTTTATTAACATTTTAATGGTTGTTCATTATGTTCATAGTTGAACGTCCATGTGCTAAAACTTAAGTTGCCACTTTTATTATATTTTTCTTTTATTCTGTTAATATCGAGCTTTTTATTTTAAAAATAATTTCTATTATATTCTTATACATTTAATATAATAAATATGCTTAAAATCAGTTCTCAAGACTCATGCTAACCCTTCTTTTCTTCTTTTTTTTTTAGCATTTACCCATACTCCAACATTCGCTCCAATAATAGTTCATGTTTTGAGTACAGTAATATAATTTGTTTGTAACAAATTTGTAAAATGAGCAAGTAAATATACATTTATCCCCAAATTTAAAATAAAATATGCAATAATAGTGTATGTGATTGCTTTTCCCCTCTCCCTTTCCAATGCTACAAAAACGATTAGTTGTCATGCTTAGTTTCCACTTGATCTGGAGGAGTAGAATTATCTATATATGCTTTATTTTGGGTTACAGGAATTGACATCTCTGCTTTGTTTTGGTAGGGGTCTGGAGGCATCACCATAAAGAAAACTGGTCAAGCTCTAGTTTTTGGTCTGTATGAGGAACCTGTGACTCCTGGACAATGCAACATGGTTGTTGAGAGGTTGGGAGATTACCTCGTTGATCAGGGTCTGTAGACCAAGATCAATATATCCTCATTGGAACATAATTGTTTCTTGGATATTATACTTTGTTTTTTTCAATTTTTTTATTTGTATCTACTACATTTCAACCCTAAATTAATTGGGAGTTGTTGTAGACAATAACCATTGAGAATTAAACAGTCGCGTCTATTTTTGTTCTACGTTTAAGTTTTCTTTCCCTTTCATCTCTTTTTTTGGTTATTTTTTTAATGCTTAAGTTGATGGTAAATTAGAGTATATATGCAACATATGGGAACGAAAATAAGAACAAATAATTGTCGCATGTATTTTTGGATCATACTATGATAAATGTTGTCAAAAGTCACGAGTCAGGCTCAACAGTGGCTCAATCTAATCCAGCTCACTTTTGTGGTGAGTTAAAATAAAATTGATAACTCAGCTTAATTCACCGTCATTTAAATTATAAAAATATAAAAAAAATATTATAAAATCTCATTCATTGTTATTTATTAACTAATATTCAAATCACCAAAGATTTCATATTATTTTATATTCATTTTTTATATTAATAATAACTTAAATTTCGAAACCCATGAATTAACTAGTTTAATCGATAGATTGAGTGAGTGAAATAAAAAAAAATTGAATAGGTTATGAGTTTTTTTTTTTTTTAAACTTGACTTGCTAGATAGTCACTAAAAGCTGGATTAACTCACGAGTCAAAACTTATTTTAATAACTTTAATGATAATAAGATAAGTAGAGTGTTAATATACAAAATTAAGGTGAGATTGATTATAATTAAATATAAAAAATTTACAAATATAAAGTAATATGTGTGTGTTAAGTAACAACTAACAACATTGTGTTTCTAAGTTGAGAATATGAGTTTGAACGAGATACTAAAAGAGCTTAATAAAGATATTAAAATATTAATTTAAAATTTATATATGTCATATAATTTGTATTTGGTCCATATAAATAAAAATATTATATTAATATCGATAAATGCATTAAATTTTGAAATAATTGTATATTGTTTTGTTAAAATATACACTGGTCCCAATATGTGTCATGTAATTTAAATTTGGTCATTATACGTAATTTTAACTTAGTCCTCGATCATAACTTTTTTTTTTTGTTTTTCAAAATAGCCTTTAATGTTTTGCAAGAGTTCATAGCTAATGGTGTGTTTCAAGAAAAAAAAGTGTTATAATGAATTTAAATGTTAAAGATTGTTTTTAAAAAGATTGCGCGTATAAAATTTAAGTTAAAAACAATTATGAAGACTAAATTAAATTGTAATAAATATAAAGACTAATTTCATATTTTAACTTAATAAAAATTGATATTTCATCGTCTCGTTCTTGTTAAAGATGATTATTATCATTGGAATAAGAAAATTAGTGCTTGATCAATTGTTTCATCCATGGCTCTTGTATGTTACTCTAGGAAATGCTTCTAATCCAAATCTAGTTAACGGCTTGCAAACAAATTATTAGGATTAAAGTAAATAATATGATAATGTGTCCTACTAGATATAGCAAATTACTTTTTTTTTTTTTACCGAACCATGATGATGTGGATGTTATGAATAAAGACAATAAGATGAAGAACATTCACACCTCGTTAACACAATTTAGAACGAAAACCTCCTCTCTCCGTTTTTTAAAGCAGAAAAGAATATTATTACTTTCTTTATCATATATCACTTAATAATTCAAAAATTGGCATAATAATCTAAAAAATTATTATCTATATACGTGTGGTTAATTATTTAGTAATTTTTTAAAATATTATATATTACTTAATATTAATGCAAACATCTAAAATAATTAAATATTATTGATTATTATAACAAAATAAACTAATTTTCTAAAATATATTTAATAAAAAAGTTGAAGTTATAGTAATTGTTGATAGTTAACAACTATTTATAGAATAATGATAGAAATTAATTGACAACATTTATTATGACAAATAAAAATATGATTGAAAATAAATAATATTTTTATATTTTAAAGTAAAAAATAATTAAATAATATTTAATAATATGGGGTCATTTTTAAAAATTGGCATAAAAGAAGGTAATGGTAAGACAAGGGTTAAGATATGGAAATTAGTCTTGGTTTTGGGTGCTTGAAGAAAAGATTAGAAGCGACGGTGAACCTTGAAGAAAAGAAAATGACCACTTTTTCTTTTTCTTTTTTTTTTAATTGAAACGGCTAATCCGATATTAATTTATTTACCAAAATTATAAATAATAATATCTTCTTCTTTTGTCCATTATCTGCCAGGCCAGCCCGAAACAGCGAAAATAGGGTAAAGGAAGGGGCATTCCCGTAATTTCAGCTTCATTAGACCGATTTAAAGGCATAGCTCCGTAGAATCAACGCAGCCAAGCCAAGCTGTAAGAGCGAGTCCCTAATCCCAATCCTATTCCATTTTCTCAGCAGCCAAACACTCGCGAGAAAATTCCCAGTTTGTTGAGAAAATCTCAATCTCCTTCATCCTCTGAACATGTCGTGGCAAACCTACGTGGATGACCACCTTCTTTGCGACATCGAAGGCAATCACCTCACTTCTGCCGCTATCATCGGCCACGAGGGAAGCGTTTGGGCTCAGAGCTCCAATTTCCCTCAGGTTTCCCTTTTCATTTATCTCTCTTCGTCATCAACCATTCTCACTTCTTTAAATCTATTCTCATTGGATCGGTTCACTTCGGTTGCGTAGGGAAAGTTTAGGGATGACTGTTTAAGGAAGGTTCTAGAATCTAGATTTGCCGATCTATGCTCATTGCGCTTGTATATTTAGCTGACAGTTATGGATATTTAGTAACGATCAGCATGCAAAAAACTTCCAAATTGACTTGGACCGATACTGTTTTCCTATGAGAATTAACTAATTAACAACAATAGAAGAGACTTACGAGTTTTGATATCTTATATGCTCGTGTAATGCCAACAGATCTGGTTTTGTTTTTGTTGATTCGTTCTTATTTATAATATAATGTACGGATGTTTGTATAGTTCAAGCCTGAGGAAATAACTGCTATCATGAATGACTTTGCTGAGCCTGGATCACTTGCTCCAACTGGATTGTATCTCGGTGGCACAAAATACATGGTGATCCAAGGGGAGCCTGGAGCTGTCATTCGAGGGAAGAAGGTAAAGATTGTTTATGATCTTTGCTTGAATTTTGATTTCGTAGATTCGTGGTGTATTGATCGAAGATATGCATTTTCAAATTTCTTACTTTATATGTATTAGTTTTAGAATCATTTTATAAATTGTAAAAGTGAGTTGCAACTATAACGTTGTCAACACTACAATCTAGTCAAAATTTTACAGCTTTTTTCTGGTTGGTGTTGAGGGTAACAGGAATCTTGATTGAGCAACCTAATCTAGTTGTGCAACCTATCTTGCATATGAGATTGTAAGCAAAATATATCTGTTCTCTAAACCTTGACCATCCATTTAATGGAAAATTTATGCATTGTTCATGTCTTTGTGGATTGCGTATATATCAAACCATACACAAATGTAAATGTACGTAGGCATCTTTGTGCGGAGTAATTATTTTATGCTCCCTCTCAATAATGTAAATACTGTGCACGGGTATTGTCTGCCGTAAAATGTTACCTTCAATAGTAATCTTAATAACTCTGTTTTTCAAGCTTTTAGATTCAGTAGTGAAAGATGTTCCTTGATCAGCTGTGTTTCTTGTACAATAACATAGTGTAGATATTTTCTGTAATTATAGTGGTAATATCAGTCTTTATCCCCACTGTCCAGGGTCCCGGTGGTGTTACTGTCAAGAAGACCAATCAGGCCTTGATCATTGGCATTTATGACGAACCAATGACTCCGGGTCAATGCAACATGATAGTTGAAAGGCTTGGTGATTATCTCATTGAACAGGGTCTCTAATCCTCTCTTTATGTTTTGTTATCGTGCATATTTCATTGGCTTCTGTACAAGTTTTTGCGTCGACCTCGAATGGAATGCTTGATTGCAGTGTAATAATGTTGTGGGTATGAAAAGTCACTGGATCTGCGTGTAGCAAAAGCAAGTGTTTGGTGCTAGAGAAATGATGACTATAATCTTTATCGTTGTACTTTTTTAGTGGGGTACCTGTATACATTACAATGGTTTTAAAATTTAATGCTATGGTATAATGGTTGGCATATTTATCAAAATTTTGCAGATTCTTATGTATCTGGCAGAAGGCCGTCATATTTACACCCCCGTAACTCCTAACTCCTTTCTTTTCCTGATGCAAATAATTTTCTTTCAGTTAACTAAGGTATTAAGTAAACTCATTTTTCTACGTTATGCCAGGTTATCAGTATTATTTGCCTGTGTCCATGTTGTACCAATCCCTGTTATCGTTAGTACTAGAAGATAGCCAGTATCATGATAACTTATCCAAATTAACTTGATCTAAACCTCTTGTAATTGCATTGCAATATTGAGGCTGCGGTCTGTTTTGTGCCCGAGGTCTTGTGGGTATGGCTAGGAAAAAAGCGATTTTGATCCTACTTAATATGTTCCAAATCCGAGCTTGTGCAATGTTAATTGTTCGAGGTCTTCAGGATGCAGGTTGGGTATAAGTTTGTCCTCCAGGCTAAAAAGAAGCTTAGTAATGTTTTATTTAAAAAAATTGTTATAAGGACAGGATTGGGCCAACATATAGGTTGTGCTACCCGGTTTGAATAATATTGCATAATTACATTGTATGCATACATACTCTCTTTTTTTTCTTGATTAAAAAAAACACGTACATGCTTTTTCTTATAAACTTATTTTAGAGATGTTTTACTTTTTAGTCAAAATGACTAGCGTAAAATAGAGAACTTTTAACACGTAGGATGTAAATATATCAAAGCTTATTTTGATTCAAATTAGATGTAATAACGGATTGACTAGATAACGTTATTGGTATAGCCTACACCTATAGCTTATTTTTAGGTAGAATATAAGCATAGGATCATGACTAAAAATAAAATAAAATCCATTTTCATGTTTAATTATCAATATACGATCAATTTTTTATGTTTATTTTATTTATTTTCTAGTGTAAATTCTGTTTTATAAGAGACTTGAGTTAGAAATAAAATGTCTCATATAGTATTGAAAATGGGTCCTCACAATTTTATTTAGCTTGTTATTTTGGTATGCATTAACTCCTATCTTATTTTTAGTGAATTATAATATTTTTATCATTTTTTAAAGATCTTGTTCAGTTTTTAAAATCGACGTAACAAAAGAAGATTGGGCTAGGAACAATCAACAAGTCTAGCATTAAAGGCCATGTGGATCTACTGAACTGGGTTCACTTAAACTCGTTACATGCCTGCATTTTAATGAACAGGCATTTCACAAGTTTATGAAAGCCTGCAAACTCTAGCTAAATTTATTGGTTCACAAAAGTATTGATATTTTAAAAATATCAACATGCTTAAATTTTTTATTGGTCCGTAGGGACTATAACTTAAAATACATTTTTAAAATAATATGAGCAGATAATGACTTATATAATGTAATTTCTTATTTAAGAAATTTTATATGAGAGTAAGATGTTTTAGAAATCATTCAAAACATTGTTAATCATATATTTTTAACTTCTCTCAATTTAGAATATTTTGTATTAATCATCCCTCCCCTCTCCTCCTTTATTCTTCAAACAATTTTTTCCATTCTTTCTTCAAACTCAACAAAATTTAAGTTGATATTTTTTAATATTAATTACTAAAAGAATGTTCATGACATGAACCTTAAAAATAAAGAGATTGAAATGTTTAGCTACTTATTGAAACCATGCTTATTTACACAACCTCACATTTATTCATTTTCTATATATTTTTTAGAGCATTTATTTATTTATTAACTACTTTTTAGCTCACTTTCTATACTTTTTCAATACAACATTTTTTATAAATTGAAAAATAAAGCTTAAAATAGTTAAAAGAAATAAATTTAATTCAACTTTCAAAACTTATATAAAAATAATGAGAATTTCTTATTATTTTATAATTATGCTTTATTGTAAAAATCTTTATTAAATATTAAGTATTGAACATAATTTTGAGTTTATACAGTAAACCTATCTATTTATCTCTCTCTCTCTCTCTCTCTCTATATATATATATATATATAATATATATATATATATAGATATATAGATAGATAGATATATTGCCTTTATCTTTTCTTTAAACTTAACACGTTATTTTCAAAACCTTCTTTAACATTTGAAAAAGGATTTTCAAAAAGGTTACTAAATAAAGAAAAAGTCAATAAAGTTTAACATCTTATTTCTTTATATTTTTCATGATTCTATTTTAATTACCAAGTTCAAAACAAATAATGCCAAATGAAATAAGTAAAGTGAAAATAATAATTGTAACGTTGAGCTGGCTGAAATTGTAAAGAAATAAGCGAAGGAGTGTTGCTATATTTTTTATTCATTTTTTAATTGTTTTACTATTTTATAAAGTACGTGTATGTATTTATTATCTTAAAAATAAAAATATATGATAATATTTTTATTTAATAATAAGAAGACTGGTAAAAATAAATAATAGAAGGATTTAAAATTATTTTTAAACAAAAAGAGCAGCTTTAATCAGAAGATGGATTTCCTTTCATCAATAACAAAACAAAAAAAAAATGAAGCAAAGGCTTTAATGTCTAAAGTGGATAAGTGAAGAGTAATTAACTTTTTATGACTTTCAGAAGTTGATACAAATATATTTTTTTTAAATAAATTTAGTTAAACACACACTAAGAGTGCGTTTAAGAAGTAATATTGCTTAAATAAACAAGTTTTTTAAGTTTAAAAACTGTTTTATGTTTAAACTTGGTACATTTGGCAAACTAATCAGAGGTGTAAAAAGTTTTTTTTAAAGATAAGTAAGATTTTAGAGTTTATAATAAATAAAATTTATCAAATTATTTAATTATCATTCTTCTCATTCTACCGTGAAAATTTGAATATTTTAAAATTAACTAATATAAATAAATTTGTATTTTTTTAAAATAACTATATGAAAAGGTTTTCCAATCAATTCTGATGAATTAAATTATCTTAAATAATTTGTATAATTAAATTAACTATTGATACAATTTTTCTTACTGTTAATTAGTCCACACTCTAAAATTTATTAATTCGCAATTATCGTGAAGGTTGCAATGTCCATGTGTGATTGAAAAAGAATAAAGAAGGGTTTGGCAGTGTTGTTGGGAAAGAAACATGTGTGGGGTTTGGACTGTGGGGAAAAGAGAAAAACCCAAAGACAAACTTTGTCATATGACCAAAAAAGCCGAGTGATCATATCCAGGAATTTTAGGGATTGCACTACATTCTTGAAAGGAAAATGTTTAGAAGAAAAGAAAATGTTGTTTTCAATTTACTTTCACTAGAAACTGAGGTTCAGAAAATCATTATTGATAAAATAAAATAAAACCACTAGTTAGATAGTCAGAAAAATATCTGTATATAAGTAAAATAAAAATAAAAAATCTTTATTTTCATCAATTTCTTATTTTAAAAACATATCATGCATTCTAAAAAGATTTAGGGTGGTCTCTATTGTGCAATGCTCCTATGTTTAACCTATGATGCCAAACTAAATGACTTGATTGATATGTGTCTTACTCTTTCTAACTTAGTGAAGTTTTCCGCTTATTGCTACCATTAGTTTTCAATACATCATATTTTAAGACAATATAATTACGAAATATAACAATGCAAATAAGATTACCATAAAAGAAGTTCAACAAAGAGTGAGTTTTCAGATTACAATTAAACATATACGGCAATCTTTTCCATTGCTTCATTTTTAAGATTTTTTTAAAGCTTTGCATATATAAACTTTTTTTTACAAAAAAGTGCACAAGAAATAGAACAGTGAAAAAAGAAAATGCATAATAAGGTAACTGATACAACTGAAATATATAAATAATAATGATAATACTATAACAAATGTTAACATTAATATTTTAAATTAATTTTAAACATACATAGTAATAAAATTTATTAAAAATGGATTTAGTTATCATGTTTTTTTATATATTTAATATAATAATTTTTTAAAATGCCTAAAATTAACAATAAAGAGTAATACTAATAAAACGGTACATAAAATGTCTAGAATTGACATGAGCATAATATAACTCATCATGAACTAAGAAATCATCCCCATCATGTACGAAATTTTTTAAAAAAAAATTAAATAAGTAATAATAATATTTTTATCTATGTAAAATATACTATTTATTGTTATTGTTATAAATAATATATAATGTATTAATTTGAAGAAAATATTCTTTCAAAATCCTTTTTCCCAAAGAACCTAAACGTTTCAGAGACCTCAGTTTTGGACCTTAGCAAAGAGCAATGATGGGTGGTTGTCGGTGAAATCTGCGTAGTGTGTTGCGGTCTTGGCTTGATTTGAACGCTAAGGCATCGTCCTTACAAATGACAATTGAGCCAATCCTACCCATTGTGTTCTTTGTGGCTGTGAAACGAAACTTGTTCACATTCTCTTCATTTGGTGTGGATATTGAAGCATAGAAATATTTCCATTTTTTCAGACAATGTCTTTTCTCCTTAGCATTATATGTTCTATATGGTCACTTGTTAGGGACATCAAAATGAGTTAGGCACTCTTCTCCCATTCTCCCATATTCTTAATTTTACAGAATTAAGAATCAACAAAGATTTCTAAAATCTTATAAATTAAAATACATGACTGTACAAATACTAATTTATTAATTAATTGATCCTATTATATCAAAAGTCAATAAATTTAAATATTTATTGTTTTAAAAGGTGATTCTTGTGTGCGTGTATCAGTGCGAAAATTTTCGATTAAATGTCAAACACGTTGTCAAAATAGCCATGACTCTTTCAAATTTGAATAGAAGCATTAAAACAAAAATCTTAACGCAGGAATTGGCAGTCTTGTTTTTCAAAAATGGTAAATGAGGGTGATAATAACTAGTAACTGGTAGCAGCTAATACAATGTCCCCATTTGAAAAAGAAAGGAAACGAAAAGAGATAAAGAAAAAGTTTAGAAGCGACGGTGAACCTTTAAGAAAAGAAAATGACAACTTTTTCTATCCTTCTTTTAAAAAAAAAAAAACGGTTAACTCTATATTTATTAGTTTTATTAATATCAATTTAATACATTTAAAACATCTTAAAAATAATAAATTCTTATAAAAATATTATCAGATTATAAATATTTTTTTAATAAATTTTGATATTTTTTTCGTAAAGATTGATATTAATATTTTCTATTTAATTTTAAAATAATAATAATAATACTACCGATTTTCTAATTATAAAATAAGAAATTATATATAATAAATTTTATTAAAAACTACAGAATTTAATGTAATTAATACATTTAATATTATAAAATATTATATTTTTTTATAAAAGATTATTGCATATAATTTTTTATATTATAGATTTAAAAAACTATAGACAAGTAAAATGTTATGTATGATAAGTTTTTATTAAAAAAAATTAATAGAATTTACGTATTGACAATATTAAATTAATTATTATATATTTTTTAAAAAATTACTATATATATTAAAAGAATGTAATAATAATATTTTTTCTTTTCTCCACTCTCTGCCAACCCGAAACAGCGAAAATAGGGTAATGAAAAGGGTGTTGAGGTAATTTCAGCGTTATTAGACCGATTTATATCTCCGTAATATCAACGCAGCTAAGAAGCAAAGAGGCACTCCCAATCCTTACCCATTTTCTCAGCAGCCAAACACTCGCGAGAAAATTCTCAGTTCGTAGAGAAAGTCTCAATCTTCTTCATTCTCACAACATGTCGTGGCAAGCCTACGTCGATGAGCACCTTCTTTGCGACATCGAAGGCAATCATCTCACTTCTGCTGCTATTATCGGCCACGATGGCAGCGTTTGGGCTCAGAGCTCCAACTTCCCTCAGGTTTCCTTCTTCATCTCAATATCGCTTCCTTTACTCTTTGTTTTCATTGGATTGATTCGTTTCGATTGTTTATGGAGGGTTCTAGATTTCCCGATCTCTGCTCATTGCGTTTGTAAATTAAGTTTGCAGCAATTAATCTTGTTACGGAGACTGGAGATGGATCAGCATGCAAAATACATCTAAATTTAGTAGTGTTGATTATATGTTGTGCAAGTAATAACTACAATGTTAAAAAAAATTTGTTTGTTTTTTCTTTTTGATTTTGATGAGTGGTTGGTTCATTACAAGTATATGATGCTCTCATAAACTGCTATGGCAACAGATCTGGTTTTGTCTTTGTTGATTCGTTCTTATTTATAATATAATGTATGTATGTATGTTTGTATAGTTCAAGCCTGAGGAAATAACTGCTATCATGAATGACTTTGCTGAGCCTGGATCACTTGCTCCAACTGGATTGTATCTCGGTGGCACAAAATATATGGTGATCCAAGGGGAGCCTGGAGCTGTCATTCGAGGGAAGAAGGTGAAGATTGTTTATGATCTTTGCTTGAATTTTGATTGCATAGATTCATAGGCAGTGTAATGATCTGGAATTTGTGATAGTTCAGTTTCTGTGAAGATATTCATTTTCAAATTGTTAGCTATATTGATAATACTTTTAGAATAATGCTATAAATTGTTAAGTGTGTTGCATCTATTTCATTGTCAGCTCTACAATATAGGCAAAATTTTACAATTTTTATTTATTTTTTGTTTGACGATGAGGGTAACTTTGATATTGCATATGGTGTATTATTATGCAACCGAATTTTGATATTGTGAGCAAAATATAATAGTTTTCTGAACCTTAGCCCATATGATGGAACCCTCATGCAATGTCCATGTGTTTATGGATTGCATATCTTTTAAATTATAAACAAATACAAATATGTCAACCTTTGTGTGGAATAAATTTACTTATGCTTCATTTCAACAATTGAATACATTGTATTTGGATTGCTAACATAAAACATTACCCTCAAATATGATTCTTCTTTTCAGATATTTTGATACTGTGTTGAAATATGAACTCATGAACATATATCGGTTGTGTTCTTGCACAATATCTTAGTGAAGAAGTTTTCTCATGCTTATTTCGGCCATTATAATTGTAACATCAGCCTTTCCCTCTGTTATCCAGGGTCCTGGTGGTGTTACAGTCAAGAAGACCAGTCAGGCCTTGATCATTGGCATTTATGACGAACCAATGACTCCAGGTCAATGCAACATGATAGTTGAAAGGCTTGGTGATTACCTCATTGAACAGGGTCTCTAATCCTCTCTTTATGTCTTGTTATCGTGCATATTTCATTGGCTTCTGTACAAGTTTTTGCGTCGACCTCAAATGGAATGCTTGATTGCAGTGTAATAATATTATTGGTATCGAAAGTCAGGGGATCTGCGTGTGGCGAAGAAAGTGTTTGGTGCTTGAAAAATGATGACTATATTCTCTATCGTTGTACTTTTTTAGTGGGGTACCTGTAAACATTTCAATGGTTTTAAATTTTAATGCTATGGCATAATGGTTGGCATATTTATCAATATATTGCAGATTCTTATCTATCTGGCAGAAAGCCATCACATTTGTACCTCCTTATTCCTAGGCCCTAGCTCCTTTTCTTTTCCTGATGCAAACTATTTTCTTTCAGTTAATTAAGGTATCAAGTGACCTCATGTCGTTTTACATCCCAGATGTAGTATGCCAGGCATAATCCCTGTCAAATTATTATCCGATTTTACTTTCTTAACCTCTCTGGTAATTTGAATTATGAGGATTGTGCTCTGTTTTGTGTCGGAGGCTTTTGTTATAGCTGGGAAAAAGGCGATGTTGATCCCTACTGTGCCCATATCCTAGCTAATGGTAATGGTTAGGGGTTGTTCAGGACCTTGTTTTCCACGGTATCGTTCCATTTAAATTTTAAACTTTAGCTAAGAATTAGTTTAGGCCATCATTTAGGTTATTTGGCCCAATCTGAAGAATGTTGTATTTTATATTAAAAGAAAAAACTTAGGCGTGAAGTTTGTTGACCCCCCAAAAAAAATAGTGTTTTGACCCAAAGGGAAAAAAAAAAGGTCGTACTTTTGACGAGTAAAATGTTACATAGGAAAACTAGCTTTATGAAAATGGTTTAAGGGTGAGTTTGGACAAATAATTAGAGTACTTATTTAATTAATTTTTGTCACCTGTTGTGTTGTATAATTTAACTTATGTTGGTGATTTATATTAATAAGTTTGTTGAAATAGGTTAAAATTTTGATAAACTCTCGATAAACTTTTCTAAACGTTATTTAAATTAAATTTAATAATAGATTGATCGAGTTACAATGTTTTAAAGAATTTAATTGAATTATAATAAGCGTCAATTAATCATGAATTGTTATATCATTAAAAATTATTTGGTGTGAATTTTTTTATATTGATAATATATTTACGTTAAATTTAAATTTTAATTATTTGTTTTTGTGTTGTGCACAATTTGAACCAATTTAGTATTGTCTTAATTTTGATCTTAATTGGGCTAATACTTCGTTAGATTGTTTCGTTAAAAACAATGGGATTATGCATTTTTTTTGTGCTAATATGCATTTTTTTTAATGTTCATAGATAAAATGTCCAATAACATTTACAACTAAGGATACTAAACAAAAATTCAATAAAATATTGATTGAACAGGTTAGGAATTTGATTGAATTACACTAATTGAGTCAATTAAACATGAATTATTACGTCATTCAAAATTATAAACAATGTAATTTTATACTGATAATGTATTAAAATTAAGTTTAAATTAATTTATTTATGTTGTTCGCACACTGAACTGATTTGGTCTTGTTTTACTTCACTTTGATCTTAATTAAACATGTACTTAGATTTATTTATTAAAAGATAAGGATTATGTGTGTGCACTTCTTTTTGTTGTTGAAAGTTTACAGATAAAACATACATTTACCCCTGACGATGCCGAACAAAGAAAATACTACAGCAGTACAAATACATATACAAAAAATTAAGCATGCACGTTAAAATTTAAATACAATTTAACAATTTTAAACACTTTTAAACTCAATAAAATCAAGAACTAAATTCACTTATAAAATAACTTTTAAAAAAGCCATGAAAAAGAAAGATTTTATTTTTCTAAAAGCTAAGCTAGACTACTACCAAAGTCAAACTTAACGATTAGAGAAGCAACTTAAATATTGTGGACACTTTCTTCTTTTTATCTTCTTTCAAATTTTTATTTAGGTCCAAAAACAAACTAGACTATTGTGGGATAATTAACTACCAAAGAAAGAAACAACTGGAATAGTATGGCATGGCAGAGCTCTAACTCTAAAAGAGCAGCTCTATTAAGTTCGATTACAAGGAATAAAAGTGATGGAAAAAAGGGTAACCAGAGAAGCAGTCAAATCAAAATTGAAAATGAAATAAGACTATTACTAAATTTGCAATAAACGATACCACATAAATTTATCAACGTCCGTATATTATAAAAGTGAATTTTTTAGATTATCTTAAAATCACTTTGAAGATCAAAATAGCGGTGTCACAAAACGGGTTCATCAATAAGAGACTCGGATGTAGGGCTTTGAGAATTGCACTATAGGCTGGTAACAACAGCTCTAGATAGTATGCGTAAGCTATATTTTTCCTTTTAAATTTCAAGGTAGAGGAAAATGTTTAGTATAAAATAAAATGCTATCTTCCATTTGCTTTTTAAAGTCGCCACAAAATGATATTCAGATAACTATTCTAGATTAAAAATAAATCGAAAGTACTAGTTAAATGTTCATAAAAGTATTTGTTTTTATAAAAATGTATAATATTTTCTTCAATATTAGCATTTTTTTATTTTAAAATGTAACGCGCAATCTAAAAGATATAGACTGATTTCAACCCTGCATTATATAACATTTGATATCAAAATAATGACTTGGTGGATCTTAAAGGAGCCACATTGTATCATTCTTATTCAACAGAACTGAAATTGTCTGCACATCGCCACCCATTCTCTAGTCTAAAACTTAATTGAAAAATAAAAATAGAAGGGCCAATTTTTAATTTAAACCCTGTTATCTGTTATAATTTCATATAAAAAATATGATTTTTTAAAAGAATATGCGAACATATAATTGAATAGAATAAAAGAAAAGAAAAATAGAGCTAGTAAACATAACTCATTATTTTTTGGGAGGTGTGCTAACTCATTTTTTTATAAAGAATAATTGTTCAAAGACATCTTTTTGGCTTTATACGTCTAAAGATAAATGGAAAGCAAAAACAATATAATGAATGATATGGTATAATAAAAGAGAAAAATAAAGGATATTAAATGAGTATTAGTATTATTAAAGTGTTTAAAGATCAAATTGTTAGACAAAACATAGTTATGAAGCATAACGACGCCTATGAAATTAAAAATGAAGTTTTAAAAAGATTATCTTAAGATTTACAGATGAGATTTTACAAACAGTGAGATACATAAATCTTTATTTACCTATGTTTTTACACTTCTTATACCAAACGTGCCACCATTTTGCATAACTTGTTCAAAGACTATCATTGTAGTCAACAAATTTGATAATGGAAGACCACTAGCGTGATGGCATCGTGTCTCCTGAATCTCTCAAATCTTCTGAGTTGTTTCAATATTTGTTATTTAATATATTTAAGTAACCTGATGAAACTCATCAGAAATGTCTTTTATTTTTAACTAAATTTCCATGTTATACTTCACAGGTGAAGATATAGCTTTATATATATAATTAGTTCAAACAAATAAGGGTTGAAAATAATAAATCCAAGTTGCCAAATTAGGTTGAGTTAAGCAAAATTAGGTTTAGAATTATACAATATAATCCACATTATATATCATATTACTTTAATTACTCGAATAAAGTCATTAAACTCAATCTATTTTAATACTTTTTATTCTATTACCAAGTAGATCATGAGGTGTTTCTAATTTTAAAAGTATATGACTAATTTTGTTTACATTTCATGACTGCCACTAGTCTAAGAAAATTTGCATCCAGTTAAGTTTGAAGACTAAATCTCCTACTGAATAAATTACAGCACACATAATGGAACTATACTACTGTATTAACCCTTCAAGTTTTATTAATACCTTTTTTTAAAATTTAGAATGAAGATTTCTAGAAAATAAGACTTTTTTCAAGTAAAATAATAATAATAATTCATGTAATTATAAGATAGCATTAAAAAAACTATTTTCTTTATTTTCTTCATCGAGGGAGATGTTACAAAATATATGGAAAAAGTTATTCCTTCTAAATTCGTTTTTGTTTATCTACAAAAGCATATCAAACAAGATATAACGGCATGTTTTGATACGAGAAATGTTTGTAAGTTTCATTTTATGTTTTTAAAAAACAATAATCAGAATTGTCACATCACCTTTATCTTAATTTCTTCTTCATGATTACGTAGAAAATGATAAAAAAAATATTTAGTTATTTTTATTCTATACACATGCTAAAAGTAAAAGACATTTTATAAATGTTTATAAAAATGTTTTCTAGATTCATATGCCTCAATTTCCTGTCTTTTCAGTTTGATTTCCCCTTCTTCTATAATCATCCCAAACAAGGCCAAACTAGGCCTAACTACGGTCAAAAGAAAAGAAAAACCAAAGCCTTACTGTGTTAAATGCTATGGATTTTACACGATCTTATTAGTGATTAGGTATAAATCACAATAGCCATGAAACTTCAATGGACTTAGTAAGCTTTAATAAATACTTTATACTGATTATGTCAATCATTAAATTTATGTGTAAAATTGACAAAATTATCCCCCTTACCTACAAAATTTGACTTATACATAAATCCTTTTATATTTAACAAATGTATAAAAGAATTATATTTAAATGTTTTTTAATTCAATTATAATATATAATCACAACTACTTAGATTACAAAAATTTTAAAACGACACAGAGGTAACAGTTTCGTACTTACAACGAGAAGTATTTTAAAATCATTGAAATAAGTTGGATCAATTAAATTGCAAAAGTGTCACGCGTAATAAGATGGATCAAACTATTTTGTAATCAGATTTTGAAGAATTAAATTATAACAATTTAATATGTTCGGAATTTAAACTGACAAATCCTGATGCTATATTTATTTTTGGGGTGTGCGTGTGTTTTATCAACTCCAACAAGGATGTTTCTCGGAGCAACAAAATTGCAATTTTCTAATTGCATTGCCGCAAAACAATCTGCACTCGCTGCAGATATCATTGGATGACTTACAATTTCAATTGCTTAGTATATTCGTTGTGTCACTAATATCACTCTGATAAGAATTATCTAGTTGTAAAATTATTAAGGCTAGCAACACTACTAATCGAATTCTATCATGAACTGGTTTTAGTTAGAACAATCTACACGGTGCATAGTATCACTGTCATGAACTATCTAAGTGGCGCTACTGCCATAGCCTAAATTTTCTTAGGCTTGAGATAATCTCACACAATGCTAAATTATCTACAGGTTTAGTTATCTTAGCATGCTAATTAGATCTGTCGCTAATAAGCACACAAAAATTATCCAGAGTTCTGGCCTATCACTGCTCTAATGCAGTGAAAAAAGAAATTTCTTTTATAATAACAGCAAAGGAGTTTACACTTTTCTGATGCATAGCATTGTATGAAAGCTCCCCACTAAACCACTACCTCTCCCTTGCAATTCAAACGCAGCATACATCTCAACAAAGCAAAATCATGCTGCACTTTAAACAATCAAGCTTGTCAGGAT